TCAGCTCCTCTGTTCCAGTCCTTTATACAGTCAACTACAGTCACTCACTGTGCCATGGAACACTAGAACTTACTCCTGCTGACTGTGTTTTCATACCTGTTATCCAACCCCCTTCTGTCTGCTCTCCCCCAACCTTCCCAATCTTTAGGAGTCACTGTTCTAACCTAAACAAACCATTATTCAGGCTGTTGGGTGGCACAGGGAGGTGTCCATGTGGGGGCTGAGAGGGAGCCTCAATGACCCTGAACAGGGTGTAAGAGCCCTGGTGGGTGAGGAGGGATCTATGCAGATAGGTGCCTGGGGTAGGAAGTCTCCCCAGTCAGGGTGAGAAGGGTGTCTGTGCGGTGGGGGCAGTGGGATGGTAGGAGGAAGAGTCTGAGTGGGCAGAGGAGAATGTGGGCATCAGAGATCTAGTAGTTTGAGGTGGGACCCATGGGGTGGGGGTAGGTAGGACATTGGTAGAATGGGAGATGGGTTACATTCAGAGGGATTAAGTAAAATGGTAAATATGTTCAAGATGAGGGAAGGGAGTTAAAAATACAGAAAGAGGGAAAATTAAAGAGAACCGTGTGATGATGGGCAGGACTTGGAGGTGTACGTGTGGACTCTTGCCTATCAATATATATGTTGGTATCTATACCTGTATACAGAATGGAAATAGGCATCTGTCTAGACACACACACACACACACACACACACACGCATTATCTAGCTGTCCTCTGAGAGAGCGCTGAGGCATTGGCTTATATATGATATATTTCCTGAAAGGAACCAGGGCTCCCTGGGGAAATGGTTGATTCCAGGTTGGGAAATGGAAAGATGAGCCTCGATTGCCTTGTGCCAGAAAGCAAGTAAGTCCTCTAGCGTTGCTGTGGAACATGGCAAAAGGACACAGAAGCCATCTTGATGGATTTCCACTGGCTAAATCAGGGACAACCTGAGCATTAAAATGAATAATATAGAAAGAGTGAGATCCCTTGAATAAAATAGGAAACGATGAATCCATACAGAATAAGTAAACACATAAATGTATTAAGCATTCGGTGAGGCGTGGGATCATTTGCATAATATTAAAGTGTTTCACCACAAAATACTTGTTAATGACAAAGAGAAAAGGAGTAACTTTATGGTAGGGAAGACTGCCAGACATCTCTGTTCCAAGTGACCTTTGACGTGCCTGGGACACTGTAATCTGCTTGTCACTAGAACAGCAGTGTGCCTGCATGGCTCAGGGCATATCCAGCCTGTCCCTCTCCTTGACGTTTTGTCTATGGCTGCTTCTGGCTACAATAGCTGAGTTTAGTAGTTGTGATCAGAGACTGGATGAAGTTGTAGAGCTGAAAATTTTCACCATACGGCCCTTTACAGATAGTCTGCTAGGCCCTGCACCAGAACCTGAACACCGTGGACAGAAGCTGTCTTGTTGGTTGTTTTGTTCCCAGAATATGGAACATTGCCTGTTTCTGCCCCTCTTCTCCCCTCTGTCTCCTCCCTTCTCTCTCACTCCTTTGTTTCTCCTGGAACTATAAGAGGATTGACTTAGTGGTCATTATCATTCAGGACCTAGGATACTGCCAGCTCTGGTGGAATATGAGCATAGTTCCATGGCTAAGCAGAATGCCTGGAATGCTATATGATAAGGAACTGTGCAGAGCTTTGCAGAGGAAGTGTGCTCCCTGAAATTCACCATGACTCAGGGCTATGGAATTTGCCTAGAGTAAGCTGTGATCTCTCAGGAAAGTTGCTGAAGTACCAAAAAAAAAAAAAAAAAAAGTACCTGCCTAGATAGCTGAGTGTGGCATGGCAAGCTGTGGGGACGGCCCTTAGGGAGCACCTCATACCATTGTGTATATGTACTCAAAGTTATAAACCAAGCTATTAAACAGCTAAATGATGACCTTTGTAATGATGACCTAGGTTTAAAGGTCAACTTCTTGATTTCCTTGGAGTTCCACACTGGACAATCATAGTACAAATCCAGCTGTCCCATGACCCACCTCCCTTTTCACTCTTCCCTGTTTTTCCATGGAGGCTCAATTACTGTGTGTAGACACCAGGACTACCATTGGTGCAGAAAGCAGCCCACCCAGGCTCTAAAAGTGGGCTTTAGACCATCTGGACAGGGAAGTCCAGAGTTGTGGGCCAGGTGTGCATGTCTCCTGCAACCTGTGGATTCTGTCCTGTAAGGGAGAAGCAATCCTAGAAAGACCAGAGTGGGGTCTGCAGGGAAGACTGGATGGCCTTTTTTAAGGGCATGATTTCTCCCTCCGTTAAAACTAGGCAAACAAAACAAGGATACAAGGGTGTAGTTTTTGAATGTTGAGGAATTTCCCAGCTTTAAAAGCATGTGGTTTTATGAATCTGAAACTCCTAATATGAATCCTTTCCCCAAGTTGACAATCACCTTGGACACAACATGGTGGCAAGTCTCCCCCTTGCCATGAGGAGTCAAGAACTATTCATCTTATGTGACCTGATGAGGCACTGGATCACCACCCTGAGGAAACCACATCCTAGGGCCTGGGCACAGGAGACTGGCCCCTTGTGGTGCCTGAGACAGCTTCCCCTCAATGCTGACACTAGCTTTTCTTGGGGAAACTTCCTTTCTGCCCCACAGGGCTGCTGGTACAGGGCTTCCTCCTCTATGGTTTCACAGTAAGTCCCTGGGCTGTCACACAGACCCCTTCCTCCAAGCCCACTGTCTCTTCAGGGGGGATATGGTGACAGACACAAATGAAGCCTCTGAGAGCTGTCTACTCATGATGGAAATTTACCTTTTGCTCCCAGCTATTCCAAAATCTTGAGACTCCCAAAGAGGAGCTAGAGGCCCAGAAAAGCCGGCAGCAAGTCACATGCCTGGGATATCCCCTTAGTGGTTTCTTCCTCCCTCCCTCCCTCCCTCCCTCCCTCCTTTACCTCCCTCCTTTACCTCCCTCCTTCCTTCCCTCCCTTCCTTCCCTTCTTCCCTTTTTTAAAGATTTATTTATTTGAAAGGGAGAGTGAGACACACACACACACACACACACACACACACACACCATCTGCTGTTCACTCCCCAAATGGCTGAAATGGCTAAGGCAGCTGGGCCAGGCCAAAACCAGGCATCTGGAACTCCATCTGGGTCTCCATGTGGGTGGCAGGTGTCCAAGTACTTGAGCAATCATCTGTTGCTTTAGTAGGGAGCTGGATTGGAAGTGGAGCAGCTGGGGCTAAACCTGGCACTCTGACATGGGACACTGGCATTGCAGGCAGTGGCTTCACCCACAGTACCACAGTGCTGGTCCCAGTGCTTGCATTTCTTGAGTTGACTTTCCAGTTTCTCTTCCTCTTCCATACCAGTCTCCCTTATCAAACTAGACTGGGGGAAATTTCAACTGATGTAACATGTTCTCAGGAAGTTTGGGCCAAGCTTCCCACTTGAATATTCCTCAAATCCAAGCATACTGGGCCAGGACTTTCCTCCTGCCTACTGTCTGTGACTAGTCTTTTTTAAAGCATAGCATGTCTGTTGCTCAACTTGCCATTTGCTGGTGGTTTTTTTTTTTTTTTTTTTTAGATATCATTTTCTTGGACCTACTTCTTTTTGGTATATTTTTTGCTGGATTTTCAGTTTGGATTTTTTTTTTTTAGTATTTTCTGTGTACCAGGTGCTGAAAAAAAAAAAAACAGGGTAAAAAAAGACATAGATCTTGCCCTTGGGGAGCTCAGTGTAGTGGTAGAGGCAGGAGGTGAGCTGAGCTAACCCAGCTCTTTCCAGTCCCTGATTCCTTTCTGAAACCTGCACAACCCACTATGAATGACTGCTCGTCTCCTCCCTCGGGGAGTCTTCTTTACTGTGATATCCTAGTTGCTTAACTTAAATTACATGGCCATCCAGGAAGCAACATTGTGATATAAGTTTCAACAACACATTGCTCCTGGGCTTTCCCAACCTCTATTTTGACCCTCATTTGTGGTTATGATCAGTGGTAGATTTTTAAAGAGTCAAGACCAGATTAAGCCAATAGAAGACGCACATTTGCACCGTGGAGGTAGAAGTGCACTCTATGGGTAAGTCCTGTCTTTAAACAGTTATAAACACATGTGAGATCTCAGAGCCAACCAAGGGTCCTCTCTCAGTTGTCCATGCTTCCTTGTCTGTGTCCTAATTATACCTATATGTAGCGCTCAGATAAGCTAGGCAAAAATGAAATGTAGATTCAGATAATTCCTAGTTGACAGTGGATAATGTTTGCATGCATTACCAGTTGCATGTTTTCTTCAAGTCCTATAACGACAACAACATTAAGACCAGTTCGGGGCGGGCGCTGTGGCATAGCAGGTAAAGTTGCTGCCTCAATGGTGGCATCCCATATGGGTGCTAGTTCGAGTCCTGGCTGCTATGCCTGGGAAAGCAGCAGCAGATGGCCCAAGTCCTTTGGCCCCTGCACCCACATGGGAGGTCTAGAAGAAACTCCTGGCTCCTGGCTTTGGATCAGCCCAGCTCCAGCCATTGTGGCCATTTGGGAAGTGGACCAATGGATGGAAGACTTTTTTTTTTTGACAGGCAGAGTGGACAGTGTGAGAGAGAGACAGAGAGAAAGGTCTTCCTTTTGCCATTGGTTCACCCTCCAATGGCCGCCGCGGCCGGCGAGCTGCGGCTGGCGCACTGTGCTGATCCGAAGGCAGGAGCCAGGTGCTTCTCCTGGTCTCCCATGGGGTGCGGGGCCCAAGCACTTGGGCCATCCTCCACTGCACTCCCTGGCCACAGCAGAGAGCTGGCCTGGAAGAAGGGCAACCGGGACAGAATCCGGCACCCTGACTGGGACTAGAACCCGGTGTGCCAGCGCCGCAAGGCGGAGGATTAGCCTAGTGAGCCGCGGCACCGGCTGACTTCTCTTTCTCTCTCTGCCTCTGCCTCTCTGTAACTCTGCCTTACAAATAAAAAAAAAAAAGACAAGTTCATTCTCTTCCACCCCAGTGTTGTAGAATCCTGCCATTCATAGCACTTGGTGGCAACAACTTACACAGTAGCCTTTGGCAATGACATGGAGCTACACACACTCAACAGAAAATATCTACAGTTATACCAGATGGTTCATACCAGGGAAATGAGTGAATAGGGTTGTTCATGATGAGTGCATTTGCATTTTATTTTTCCTTGAAAATAACACACACACACACACACACACAAAAGCAGATCCACTTGAAATGACAGCAATACTGAGACCAAGGTCACTAGTAGGAAGCACTGGTGTTCCTGCTTCTATCACCTGGATGGAAAGGGTTTCCAATTTGTTTGGCTGAGTCAGTTCCACCATTACGTGTTCCAGGTGAACGAGTCAGTTTGTGTTTCCTTCTTGAAGAGCCTCATTTTGAGTTTGTTGTAAGCTCCATGTGTGTTGTTTTGGCTGCAGTAGATCATTTTTGCTGGCCAGCTGTTTGGATGACCATCGGGCAAGGGCTCCTGCCCCTCCAGCTGCTCAGAGTTCCTTTCTAGCTGCTGGGAGTGCTCCGTGTGGAAGGAGATCAGACCTGCGGAAGGAGATCAGATGGCTTCTGTCATCCCATTATCCCGGAGAGGTGGCCTGGCTGCATCTGGAGTTTTTAAAAGTTAAGCAGTAGGCAGTCTATCTCCAAAGAGGCTCAGCCAGAGGCACTGTTTATTTCCTTATTTATGAGCTGGTAGGCCAGATGATCTCTCAGGGCCCTGGTTCTGAAATCCAGATGCTTGTTAGAATGCCTCCCGCCACTGTGTGCAGACAGCTCACATGTTAGGGAAGCTGCAGCCCAGTGCTATTTCCAAAGGTGGTTATGGAGTCCTTTTAGTTTTTAGCCTAATAAATTACCCTGCTGTTACTGTCTTAAAAGCCAAGAAGTTATAGTTAAGGACAGCCTTGAGGTACAGAATTCTCTTTACCCACTTCCTGCAGAGCAGGCTCATTGGAAAAGTTTTAAGGTTGGGAGGAAAAGGAGGGAGTTCTGGTGGAGTTCAGAATGGCAGGTGCCAGAGGGGAGCTTGGGCACCAAGTCCATGTTCCTTGAGGAGTGGACACCAAGGTGACCAACTTTCCACCTGGAGACATTGTCTCCAGTTACAAAGTGCAGGCAGTTTTCTTGTACCAATACCCAGTTGTGAGGGCAAGGAACAGGTTGGACACAGGCTTTCCCAGTCCAGGAAAACGTGGTTTATGCAATCATCTAGTTTAAAAATCACACCCTCCTAGGGAGAGGACTAGTACAGTATTTAGGACTGAGAACATGCGTTGAGATGGCATGCCAATCGTGATCAAAGCCTTGGGTACTTCTGAAAGTATTAGGATGAGGACAGAAGTTGTCTGGGGAAATCACCAGCGTGTAAGAATAGGATCAAAAATTGGTCTGAGTTGTTCCTGATTTGGGAAAGCACCTGTGATGATCATGCAATGATCAACCCATTTAGGAGGTTTCTAAATTAATTGATTATCCCATACTTCTCTAGAAAAACCTTGACCCTCACCTATTTTCACCTATTTTGTGAGAGTACATAGGACCCCATGTCAAAAGATGTGTTCCAAGGCTGAGTCCTGTGAAGAACTTAGAAGGATAGCGAGAAGCAGACACACTGATCTCCAGGTTGTAAGACGTCTGGAGCTGTGAAACCATCAGCCCACTGGCCTTCCTGAAGCTCAGAGTCACCTCTGCACGGGCCACTGTGAACGCTCTCCCTATAGGAGCCTGTGAGAGGAATCCCCTTTTTCTCTTTTGTAGGATATTTAAGGAAAATTATTTTAAAGTGGTGAATTGGAAACAAGGGCATATTTACTATCTGTTTCACGACAGACTTATTTACACACAATGCTGTACAGATGGGGTTTCGCAAGCCTCTGAAAGCACAATGAGTGTTGTGCTTGTCAAGTCAGGGGTTTTGAATCACACATTTGTTTTTAAAAATTTACCAATTTAATAAATGCATTCTTGTGGGTCTCCTAATATTCATAAGCAATATGTGGCAAACACAATAGAAAAATGGTGACATCCAATAAAGAGGGGAGTAACTGCTGGAGAACATAGAACACCTGTGTCCTGGGCCTGGCTCAGAGGTGAGCTAGCATCAACCCTTAAGAGGGATGGGGAGGCTGTTGGTAGCCTTAGGAAACAATTTTGCTGACCAAGTATGTATTCTGAGTTAAACAAGGGCTCATATCTGCAAGTGGCTTTCAAAGAATAAGTTTTGACTTCTATCAACAACAGCAACTGCAGGATTGGAATGAGAAATAGTGCCTAAAAAATTTCTTCAAGCCTTCCCTGGACAGGTGCCTTCACCTAAGCATTTCTGGACCCTCTCAGGTGGGAGGTAGGGGCAGAGTCAACCTTGCCATGTAGCCATTTGGTTGCTACTAGTGGAGCAGAAGGGGAAAATGCATCATAAGCCTTGCCTGGAGAGGAGTGTTTCAGCTGTATTTTTGTTTTGTTTTGTTTTGTTTTGTTTTTGCAATCCAGACATTTGTTGGGAGGAATGAGAGTGTCTTTGCTTATTGGCAAAATGCTTCAACTTGATTTGATTCATTCTCCCAGTCAGTGGGCTGTGGACAATGGATCAGTCTGAGTACCTTGACTTGTTGGTTGGCTCCGGCAGCACGAGGATGCAAAGGAAGGTCATGAGTTTCAGTCTGCTGCTTAGCAAAGTTCACAAATACCTGGAGCAAAGGAGAGCAAGAGTAGGTAGATGATTCCAGGAAAAATGGCACACTACGCACACCTCCCCTCTTCACTCTCTGTCAGCCACAGTGAATGTACAGCGTGCTGGTGTGACTTGTCCTGCCCAGGGGAGGCTGGCACACCCACAGAAGCCCGTGGACAGGGCTTGCTTCTTTTTGTTTGTTTGTTTGTTGAGATGTATTTTATGGGGCTGGTGCTGTGGCTTAGTGGGTAAAGCCACTGCCTGCAGTGCTGGCATCCTATATGGGTGCCAGTTTGAGTTCTGGTTACTCTACTTCTGATCCAGCTCTCTGCTATGGCCTGGAAAAACAGTAGAAGATGGCCCAAGTCCTTGGGCCCCTGCACTAACATGGGAGACCTGGAAGAAGCTCCTGGCTTCGGATAGGCCCAGCTCTAGCCATTGTAGCCATTTGGCGGAGTGAACCAGCAGATGGAAGACCTACCTCTCTCTCTCTCTTTCTTTCTCTCTCTCTATTTCTTTCTCTCTCTCTCTGTTTCTCTCTCCGCCTCTCTCTAACTCTGCCTTTCAAATAAATAAATTTAAAAAACTAAATAAAATAAGAAAAGAATTATTGATAATTTAACAAAGATTTATTTATTTGAAAGTCAGGGAGATTGTCCCCAAATGGGTGCAATGGCTGGGGCTGGGCCAGGGTGAAAGCAGGAGTCTAAAACTCCATCCTGGTCTCCAACGTGGGTGGCAGGGGCCCAAGCACACAGGCATCTTCTGCTGCTTTCCCAGGCACATTAATAGAGAGCTGAATCAGAAGCAGAGCAGCAGGGACTCCAACTGGCATTCATATGGGATGCCAGAGTCACAGGGAGTGGCTTAACCTATGGCACCACAACACCGGCCCCAGGACTTCTTAGACTCCCTAGCTATCAAAGGAATTTCTGCTGGAGGATTCCAAAACCTCTGGGACCCAGATGCAGTGGATTCTCAGCAGCATTTTTTCCAATCCTCTGAGAAAGAGGTGATCTCTGTTCTATTCTGTTCTTAGTGTTCGGTGCAGCCATGACTCCTGTTTCAGAAGCCCAGTGTGGCCTTCACCTGCTGATGAGAAGGTGCAGGGGAGCAGGGGAGCCAGCCCTCAAGGGGTAGATGGAGGCTTACCCATGCCTGCTGCTTTACTGGACGGTCTTTAAGGATGTTTATTAGAAAACAAAACCAGGGCTGGTGCTGTGGAGCAGGTTAATCCTCCGCCTGTGGCACCAGCATCCCATATGGGCGCCGGTTCTAATCTTAGCTGCTCCTTTTTGCATCCAGCTCTCTGCTATGGCCTGGGAAAGCAGTAGATGATGCCCCAGGTGCGTGCTTGGGCCCCTGCACCTGCGTGGGAGACCAGGAGGAAGCACCTAGCTCCTGGCTCCTGGCTTCGGATCGGGGCAGCTCCAGCTGTAGCGACCATTTGGGGAGTGAACCAGCGGACGGAAGACCTTTCTCTCTGTCTCTCCCTCTCACTGTCTGTAACTCTACCTCTCAAATAAATAAATAAAAATCTTAAAAAAAAAAAAAAAAAAAACAGAAACAACCCAAATGCCCACTGGTAAATGAATGGGTGGATAAGTGAAATATGGCACAAACACAATGGAATGTTATTCAGCCATTAAATTCTGATACATGGTATAAAATGGGTGAACCTTAGGGATCTTGTGCTAAGCAAGGCAAGCCGGTCACAGAAAGACAAGTGCTGTAAGATTCTAGGTGTACAAGGTATGAAGTAGTCAAATTCATAGTACAAAAAGTAGAAGGGATACTGCCAGCGGCTGGGGGGAAAATGGGGAGTTACTGCTTATTGGACAAGGGTTTCAGTTTTGCAAGATGAAAAGCTCTCTGGAGACGGATGGGGATGTTGGGTGCACAACTATGTGAACGTACTTCGTGCCACTGAGCTGTACACTTTATTTATTTTTAATTTATTTGACAGGTAGAGTTATAGACAGTGCGAGAGAGAGACAGAGAGAAAGGTCTTCCTTCCATTGGTTCACTCCCCAAATGGCGCAGCCCCGACCCGAAGCCAGGAGCCAGGTGCTTCTTCCTGGTCTCCCATGCGCATGCAGGGGCCCAAGCACTTGGGCCATCCTCCACTGCCTCCCTGGGCCACAGCAGAGAGCTGGACTGGAAGAGGTGCAACCGGGACTAGAACCCGGCGCCCAATGGGATGCCGGCGCCGCAGGTGGAGGATTAGCCAAGTGAGCCATGGCACCGGCCCTGAGCTGTACACTTAAAAATGGGTCATTTAGGGGCCAACACTATGGCATAGCAGGTAAAGCCACTGCCTGTGATGTCGGCATCCCCTGTGGGTGCTGCTTCATGTCCTGGCTGCTCCACTTCTGATCCAGCTCCTTGCTAATGGTCTGAGAAAAGCAGCAGAAGATGGCCCAAGTACTTGGGCCCCTGCTACCTGCATGGGAGACCCAGAAGAAGCTCCTGGCTCCTGGCTTTGGCCTGGCCCAGCCCTGGCTGTTGGGACCATCTGGAGAGTGAACCAACAGATGGAAACCTCTCCCTTTCTCTGTAACTCTGACTTTCAAATAAATAAGTGAATCTTTTTTTTTTTTTTTAATATCTTCCATCTGCTGGTTCATTTTCCAAATGTCCTCAATGGCTGGGGTTGGGCCAGGCTGGAGCCAGGAGCTTCATCTGGGTCTCCCACATGGGTGCAAGTGCCCAAGATCCTGGGCCATCCTCTGCTGCTTTCCCAGGGGCATTACCAGGGAGTGGGATTGGAAGTGGAACATCCTGGAGTTGGACTGGTGCTCATATGGGATGTTGGTGCTGCAGGCTGTGGCTTAACCCATTGTGCCACAGCACTGGCCATACAAATCTTTTTTAAAAATTGGTAATTTCACAACAATAAAACAGCAATCACATTTTTTAAAAAATCCAGAGAATACACTTATCAAAATTCATGAAACTGTACACTTAACATAATTTTTTTAAAGATTTTGTTTATTTATTTGAAAGTTACGGAGCGAGAAGGAGCCTTGGAGAGAGATCTTCCATTCACTTGTGCACTCCCCAGATAGCAGCAATGGCCAGGGCGAGGCTGGATGAAGCAAAGAACCCAAACACTTGGGCCATCTCCTGCAGCTTTACCCCAGTTGGATCAGAAGTGGAACAGCCGGGACTTGAACCAGCACCTATATGGGATGCCAACATCGCTAGGTGGAGGCTTTACCTACTACGCCACAATGCAGGTCCCAACGTGGATGTGTTTTATTGTATGTTAGTCACATACCAATAAAGTTGATTTCAAAAGAAAAAGACATCACTGCAAATGAGCAATAATGCAGTAGCATGTTACAGTGGGGGAAGGATGATATAAAGAACAAAATCAGTGATGTTTGCTGATGACTAAATTATTCTTAGGAAACACTTCTGATTTACCAAGTTCCACCCTAAGAGACAGAGGGACAAGAGTGCGTTAAAAATCGGCAATGTCTGGGGCAAGCCTTGTGGTGCAGCAGGTTAGGCTGACACTTGCGATGCAGGAATCCCAGGTGACCACTGGTTTGAGTCCTAGCTGCTCTGCTTCCAATCCAGCTCCCATCCAATGTGCCTGGGAAAGCAGCAGATGAAGCCCAGATGCTTGGGGCCCTGCCACCCATGTGGGAGAACTGAATGGAGTTCCTGGCTCCTGGCTTGGCCTGGCATAGGTCTGGCCATTGTGGCCATTTGCAGAGTGAACTAGTATGAAGAATCTCTCTGTTTCTCTCTCACGCTCACCATTACTCTGCCTTTCAAGTAAATAAATCTTAACAAAAAAAAATCAGGAACGTCATGCCTCTCTCTCACCCTGGACTTTGCACCACCCAGCTCAGTGCCTGCAGGCCCTGGGGCCGACTTGCCTGGTCCAGCGTGGTCTGAGTGACCGAGTACTCCTCAATGAACAGGCTGTCCTTGTGGGAGATGAGCAGCTGGAAGATCCTGGCCAGGGAGGAGGAGGAGACCTGGTACTGGAGCATGTTGTAGTGCCTCTCCCTCTGCACACTGCCTGGGAAGTTCCCCTGGAAGAACTGCTCCACGGGATTCAGGTCAGGAAGCACGTCATCCTTCGGGGATCTGATTTTCATTGTGACAATGTAGCCATCTCCAAACCTAGGGCATGCACAGTGTGGAACAGGTCTCCCTGAGTGGCTGGTCTGAGGAGATCCCAGGATAAGGAGCAGACTCCTCAGAAGTACTGGGGGCCTAGGGAGAAACCATTCGATATCAGGCAGCAGAGGTCTGCGTGTGTGGTGCAGGGCCACATGTACTTGTTGAAGTTAGAGGGGGTCTTAGCCCCACGTGGAGAGCTCAGGTCCCTGTAGAGGACCAGAGCCTACGAGTGGTGGCAAAGGCTGCCTGCCCTTCCTGAGCCCGGCCAGGGACAAAGGTTTGGGAAGGCAGTACTTTGCTGAGGAAGCTTCCAGAAGCAAGCAGAATTGCCAGGGCCATTGGATGCCTCCCTCCTGCTTGTGGCCCCCGTGTGGATAGAAGATGGTCTAGCAGAGAGTGTGTACCCACCGTGCCAGTTATCCCCGCCTTCAAAGTGCCCTCCATGATCAAGTGCTGTTCTCTGCAGGAAGGCCTGTGCCTCTCCCCTTTCAGCTCCTAAAAACTGACCATCCCTCCTCACAGGGAATACTCCCTTCTCACTTCTCCATAGAGGGCATACTGAGGCACGAGAGGGACAGGAATGGGGACACATCCATTTCTCCAGCAGCTGGGTACCAGAAGTTGCTGACACAGATCTGGTAACCTCCTGTGCTACTGTCCCCATGGATTTCTAGGCAGTGTCCAAGCTGTAGCTGCTCAGCAATCCAGGGTCAAGTTCGCTACCTCCCTAAGTGCAGCTGATCTACTAGACCTTTCTTTCAATCACTTACCTGCCTGGATGCTCCGCTGGGTATACTAAGCACCTTGGTATGGATGAGGTGGACTATAGGCTGGGCATTGGGCCTATAGCTGCTGGAGGACCAGGCCCTGCCACCACCTGCCTTTACTCCTGGAAGCAGGGGCAGCAAGACCCTCCCAAGTCAATAGAGAGCACAGGGCCTGGTGGAAGCCCACGAAAAGTGGCAGAAGGCGCACCCGCCTCCATCTGCTTACTTGTACTTGAGGTGCTGAATGGTGCCCAGACACTGAAAGGTGCCCTTCACCATGATGGCCAGCCGGGTACACAGTGCCTCACACTCTTCCATGCTGTGGGGCGGGAGAGAGGAGGTGAGCAGGGGAGGACTCCCCCCCCCCCCACCTGCCCCACCCTCTGGGAGTCTCTTGCCTGTGGGATGTGAGGACCACAGCTCTTCCTTCTCTGATGATGCTCACAATGGTGTTCCACAGCATGCGGCGTGCCTGGGGGTCCATCCCTGTGGTGGGCTCATCCTATTGGGGGATGGCAGGGGGACGTGGGCTTGGAACTGGCCTCTCCCAGCTACTTGTGCTCTCCGGAGACTGCCCCCACCCCGAGCAGCTCTGAGGCTGAAGGCAGTGAGCTGGCAGACAATGCGCACGGTCACTCCCCCATGGGCCAAGATAGGGTACCCAGGCTCAGGCTGCAGAAGGCAGGAGGTGACTCAGAGAATGAAGGGTGCTATATATACCCCAGACCCATTTCAACCTGTATGTGGGTTGATTAAGGCAATAGTGGAGTTATCCTTAGAAACAGGAAAAAACAGCAAATGTGGAAGGAGGCCTGGAGATGGCCTGGGTGACTTTTCTGGTTCCCTCCATGTCCCGTGGCCATGTCCGCATACATCTCAGGTTGCCTGTCACGGGTCCTCAGGTCTGGTCTAGCTCAGGTGAGAGTACAAAAGCCTTTGAGCCAGGTCCACCCTCCTGTCTACTGGGGATCCCACAGGCAGCGGTAACTTCTGATCAGATACCAGCGTTTCACAGAGCTGAGCTGAACCTGGGACCCACAAGAGACCTCCCAGAACTCATGATGAGACCAGCCTGTTTTCTCATAGCTGTGGATCAAACTCTGGGCTGATTCGCTCACAAGGAGCAATATAAGGAACAGAGCAAATAAGAAGCAGCTGTTGGATTTTCTAAATCTGCACACATTTCCCTGGCCCAAGAGATGCTGCACTTGGTTTGAGTTTTGGGGGTTGTCTGTGTCCACAGCCTGCAGTGTTCTCACCAGCAGCACCAGCGGCGGGCAGCCAATGAGTGCGATGGCTGTGGAGAGCTTCCGCTTGTTGCCCCCGCTGTATGTGCCAGCCAGGCGGTCCACGTAGAGGGACAGGCCCAGGCTTTGAATACACCAGTTTGCAACCTAGGGAAGCAAGAGAAAGGCAGTGAGGGAAGACGTGGGTGATACTGTAGCTGGTGGGGAGTCTGCCTGCCCTGCCCATGCAGGAGGCTAAGAGGGCATGGCACACCACGCCTCCCAGGAAGGACCCCACAACCTGACTGCTGGCAGGCAGCAGGAGCCCCAGGCACTTTTCCCCACTCCTGCTCCCAGTTAAAGGGCCCTGTGATTGCCAGTCAGGTAAACAGCTCCCCGGTGTAGCCCAGGCCCATTAGGACCACCTGGAAAGCTATCCCAGCTATGTGGCCTTACAGCTGATTGGAGAAGCATAGTGGCACTAATATCAGTTCTATCCTGTAGAATTTGTGTTGCCCTGAATTAGTTACGCCCCTTCTGCCTGCAAAAAGTGTGCGTGGTCGTTAATGAAGCGGACATGTTCATTGAAACTTGTCTCCGGTGCCCCTTGTGGAAGGATGCCGTCACCCCACCATCCTGGCAGTGTGTGGGCCTCATGGGTCGTCAAGCCCGCAGGAGACAAACAAGGGAATGTGCTACACCTCCACCAATCCAAAGCCTTGGCCCCCAGGTCTCCCCCCTCCAGGATGTCAGACCCAGCCAGGCTCAAACAGGGCCCCTGCCAGCTCATGTCCTGCTCCGGGTCAGGGCCAGATGAGTCTCCGCTCTGCTCTGCGCCTTTGGTCCTCAGGTGCAGCCCCTTGGAAGTGGCCGGCAGCCTTACAAAGCGCCAGACAGCGTTTCTCTCCTAGACTATGGCCAGGTGCGGAAGACGAAGACTCCTAGAGTCTGTGTGAGATGATGGCTCCCAGGGCCACCTCTAGACAGGGACACACCTGAGGTCTTGCACATCCCTCGCACTCTGTGGAGCACCTACTATGAGCCTGGAACTGAACCAGGCTCTGGCAAACATAGCCATAGCCACTGTAATCACAGAATGGGGAGGAGCAAGAACCAATGGAAACGGAGTAAATGAGAGAGTGTGATTGTGCCTTGAGAGGACTCTGCATGGAACTATGATAAAGTGTGTGTGTATGTGTGTATGACTGTGTGTGTATGCAAATGTGCATGCAGGTATGTGTGAAACTGTGCAGGTATAAGTGTGTGTATGTGTATGTGCATGTGCGAGTATGTGTACATGTAAGTATGTGCAAGTTATGTGTGCACGTGTGTGAATGCATAAGTGTGCATATGTGTAAGTATGTGTGTGCATGTATTGCATGTGCATGTATGTGAAAGACTATGTACATGTATGTGTGTGCTACAAAGGAAGAAACCAGGAAAATCACTGGAGACCAGTCCACCATGCTTCCACCTTCTGCACTTGTGCCCTCAGCCTGGAGCATTCTTCCCCGAGTAGCCCCGTGACTCCCTCTCTGCCCTCCATCTTCTCTGAGTTTTCCTCTGGCCATCCTATCTGAAAGAGCAACTCTCCCCTGCTATATTCTACTCCTCAGGACCTTCACTCTCCAATGTACTCGCTGTTTTATTGTAGACGTATCTGCTGACTATCTGCCCTCCATTTGAAGCTTTTTGTTTGGAAATACTTTCAAACTTAGCAAACAGGTAAGAATAAAAACAGTAAAAAGAGCCTTCATAAACCCTACTCTCCCCACTCCCACTCCCCACGCCATGTTCTCCGGCTCCATCTTGGCCCTTCCCTGCTAAATACTCCTGTGCGTGCTTCCTGAGAGCGGGGTGTCCCTGCCATCACCTGACCGCGGGACAGCGACCCATGTCAGGACACTGTGGAATCGGCCGCCGGGGCTCGGGTGTGTCAGCTGACTCGCGCTGTCTTTCGTGCTTTTTCCCTGTCCAGCATGACAGGTGGTCTGCTGTCCCTCACTCATTCTGTCTGATCAGTGTCGCATGATCAGGGACATTTTCAGGGCCATGGCGTGTTGGGACTTCGAGGGTTTTGAAGAATATGGTCCTTCCTTTTAAAACAAATGACACGCTCCTGCCCTGGGGTTTGCCTGCCCCTTCCTCATGATGAGATTCAGTGACAGCTTTCCCAGTCAGGAGGCTGTGTAATTGAAGCCGCGTCCTCTTGAGGGCATCATGCCGGAGGCGTTGATGTCCCCCGTCCCTCGGAGGTGGCATTGATTTTGATCACCCAGTTCGGGGTTGTCTGAGTTCTCCTGGCCGTCAGTGAGCAAGCTGTGCAGAGGTGCTTTTACGCCACACACAGCTGCTCATGCAAACCTTCCCCGAGCGCGAGCACCCCTCCCTGATCCCTGTGCAATCCCGTCTCTCACCATGCCCCCACTCCAAAACTTCTCCACCCTGACCGGCCGCCTCGCAGCACCCAGTGTGGGCAGAACTCTCCCTTCCCTCCTGCTTATTGATTTCTCTATTTTACAGCATGATTCATGAGTTCCCGCCGCCTCCCAGCATCCTATAACGCATCATGGCTGAACTTTTCCTGTGTTTGGCCACTGGGAGCCCATCCTAGATGGGCCTTATGTTCCTGTGACATTCCCCCGACAACTGAAAAGAAATCTTACTTTCTGGCATAAAAAGATGTTTCAGGCCCATTTTATGCCTCTGCTGTTCCAGCTCTGAAATATGTCATTTGAGGAATTGTGGTCCCTTTTAGTGGAAAAAGATACTGAGACTCAAATCTGGGCACTATGTGTGCTCATTCTTATGGGGTATTTTTGCTTCCTGGCCCTGTCAGAGGCCCCATCTGTATATATACACACACACACACACACACGTGCATGTGTGCACTGTACATGAACACATCCATGTGCACACATAAACACATGTAGATAAATATTTCATGCATTCACAGTGACCTCTCCAATTCCAGTCCCCCAGACAGGTTCCTTCTTGCTTTCGCCCTTTCTATATTATCATGTGCCCAGGGAGAACTCTGGCTCCCCATGACATAAGCACATTTATTTATTTATTTACTTATGTAATCCTATAACATACCTAAAATTGTTTCTTGATTTATATGGCCATACCAATATAAAAAGTAAATAGGCTAAAAAGAGCCCAGAAATTATTAGTATATGTTTCCCCCATACCACCCTGCCCAGGTCTGTGGGTTTATAGTAACAAGTGTGTTTATCAGTTATGTGTTCAAGTTCTCTCTTCTTTTGTGTGATTACAATATCTGTTTGAAATGAACTTGGGTTAATTTACTTCAGTTTACTTTCAACATTAGGTTTTTCTTGTTTTTATTTTTACTCCCTTTCCGTTCTAATTTTTTTTCCAAAAGTCAAAACTCTTCAAAAAGGGATTCTCAGAGAAATGTTATTCTCTCATTTCCCTTCTTCCCCAGGTGCCTCTTCTTGATCACCAAGTTCAGTGCTTCCTGGCTTCTTCCCGATGTGTTCTATTTGTAGCAGATATACATAAGCTTTCTTATTTTTCTTACTCTCTTGCATAAAAGTAGCATTCCTCATGTGCTCTTTAGCACTTTGCTTTCTTCATTTAACAATATCCATGGGAACTAATTCCATATCAGTTCAGAGCTCTTATTTGTTCCTTTTTTATAGTTACATAAGACCTTACTGTATGAATGTGCTATAAATTATTCAACCAATCTACTATGCCCTAATATGTAGGTAATTTTCAGTATTTTGCAATTACAAATGCAATGAATAACCTTGTGCCTGTGCATTTTGTACTCCAGGAGGTGTATCTTCAGCGTAAATTCCCAGAAATGTGATTGCTGGGTTGAAGTGTATTCATTGTCTTGTTAGGTATGAGGAAAGGATTTTCTTTTTTTGTCTTTTTTGTTCATTAGTTTTATCCCCCTCTTCCAGGACAGTACTTGGCATGCAGTAGACACTGCTAAGCATTGGTTGGAATAAACAAGTAGACATATGCTCCAGTTTCTCATCTCTAAATGAATACATGCTCATGAAACAGGCTTATTTATGGTTTAACAAAGCCCTCTGTGGCCACGGCAAACCATTTTTTACCTTCCCGATTTCCTTGGCTGGTACCCCTCGAAGTCGGGCATAAAGGTAAAGGTGTTCTCGCCCCGTGAGCAGGTCATCAATCGCATCAAACTGCGGACAGTAGCCCATACTTTGGTGGACGTCTGAAATGTTGGTTAAAATACTGAAAGAAGAAGAAGCAATCGGTGAGATTCCTGCACAGAGCAGGTGAGCAGAGAGCTGGGCTGGGGCAGCTGCTGCCACCAGGACGAGGATGCAGCCCCTTGTCTTCTCTCACACTGCTTCAGAAATATGCACAACATTTAGAAATCAAAGCAGATCCCTTTGGTTAGAAACTGCCGAACTTCAGGAGTTCTGAGCCTTGGCTCAGGAGATCTTTCCAAGTTTCCATGTCTAGGAGTCATTGATGGGTCTTACCCAAAACTAGCTTTGGTTTTAAACTGGCTCACCTTGTGTGGATTGAAAAGCAAAGGAAGATCAGGCTTAAGAAAATGGTCTGAGGGTGGGTGTTGTGCTGCAGTGGCTTAAGCCCCTGCTTGGGATGTCCACGTCCCACGTTGGAGTGCTGGTTTGAGTCCTGGCCACTCCACTTGCATTCCAGCCTCCTGCTAATGTGCACCCTGGGAATGCACATTATGACTCCCTGGTTGTTGCAAGCATTTGGGGAGTGAACCAGTGGGCAGAAGATCACTCTCTCTCTTTGTCTTTCAATTAGATGAAAATAAATAAACATTTTTTAAGAAACTTAACAAAGTAAGAAAACAATCTGTGGGTTTTAATCCCTTCCAGATATTTGGGAATTAGCTAAAAAAGATGGGTACCTCCCAGTGGGAATAAACTTCTTCATCTGTATTTATTGGCTGAGATGTTGTCAATAAAAGGAGATTCAACTTGCTAACCACCCAGAGCAATAGGCTAGCAGGGAGCAGCGATGAAGTGAAATGAGTTCTATCAACTCCCTTAGACTAACACATTCTAATAGAAAATATATTGCCTTAACAGAAAAATAAACTATACATAGGCTATTTGGTCAACTCACATCCTTCTCCCCTTATAAATTAGGGTCTGTAATAAAATTTGAATGCAATAGGGTGGGACAAAGAAAGGCCATTGGGGTTCCCCACTGTGTCAAAAGCCACCAAAGATATGAATGGGCCAGTTAAAACCACTCAGGGAAGCCAGGAGCCAAGAGAATACTTGGTCAAACTCACGGGAGCTACCCCAGCAGAAAACCTCAACCTGTATCTTTTTTAAAGAATTTATTTATTTATTTGAGAGTCAGAATTATGGGGGAGGGGGAGAGGAAGGGAGGGAGAGAGAGAAAGAGAGATCTCCCATCTGCTGGTTCTCTTCCTAAATGGCTGCAATGGCCGGGGGTGGGCCAGGAGAAGCCAGGAGCCTCTTCCAGGCCTCCCACAGGTATGCAGGGACCCAAGCACTTGGGCCATCTTCTGCTGCTTTCCCAGGTACATTAGCAGGGAGCTGGATCAGAAGTGGAACAGCTGAGACTGAAACCAGCACCCATATGGGATGCCAACACTGCAGATGGTGGTTTATCCCAGTATGCTACAGTGCTGGCCCCTCAACCTGTGTCTTAAACCTGTGGTTTCTTTCTAGCTTCCAGCTCAGTTTTGCCCTCTGGACACCAGCCTGTGTCTCCTTTGGATGATAACCAGATGTCCTGTGTTAAATTCCTATCACACCCTTCCCCATCTCCCCACTCCCATGAATCTACCTGCCTGGTTGTCGGCTGGGCTGGATCTGTGGGTGAGATAGACTCAGCCATGACCAGGCTCCACTCCTGCCATTCCCTTTGCTGTAGATCCAACAGGGATAGCCGTGGGAGGTCAGGAACCAGATTCATCCCCTGTGAACTAATGAAGGGTGCCCAGGACTCCCCCTGCCCATTGGGCGCTGGGTCATTTTGAGGATGGCATTCAGCTGAAGGATGGAGCCCTGGTCAAGTAGAGGCTGGGCAGATGGCAGCAGTGCCCAACTTCACTTATAACCAGGGCAGAGGGTTCCTCCAGGCACCTCTTCTGTGTGTCAGCTTTGCTATTCAAGGAGCAGCCAGGAAAGAGGTAAACAAGTGAGAGTTTATTCTCACTGCACTGTCCTGTGGAGCACCAGTCTGTTTAAGACACCTGATTACAATGAGCACTTGTCACCCTCTGGACTCCAAGGGCACTGCCAGTTTACCTTTGTGCTTTTGGTCTGGCAAAGCCAGGCATCAGCACACAAAAGGCCAATGCCAGTTGGGCCCCTGAGGTCCTTTGAATGACCTCACATCTGGAAGGAGCCCAGGGAAAGGAGGCTGCATCACGGGGCTCCTGCAGGATCATCAGTGCACTTCAGGGCTCAGTGGAGTTCCTGAAACTTTTTGCTAAAGTGTGTGAATGGAGGTAGTTGGAGGCAATGGTGTCTTTTTTCATAGGACTTTTTTTATAGGAAGTATTTTTATAGGAAGAGGGTACAGGAGTTCATGACTCCAAAGAGTCCATGACCCCAAAGAGATTAAGAACCACTGACTTTGGACTGGCTAAGCCTCCGCCTGTGACGCCAGCATCCCATATAGGCGCCAGTTCTTATCCCAGCTGCTCCTCTTCCAATCCAGATATCTGCCTATGGCCTGGGAAAGCAGCAGAGGAAGGCCCAAGCCCTTGGGCTCCTGCACCTCTGTGGGAGACCTGGAAGAAGCTCCTAGCTTTGGATCAGCTCACCTCCGGCCATTGTGGCCATTTGGGGAGTGAACCAGCAGATGGAAAACCTTTCTCTCTCTCTCTATCCCTCTCTCTGTAACTCTTCCTCTCAAATAGATAAGTAAGTGTTTAAACAAACAAAGAACCACTGACTTAGTGATTCTCAGAACTTTCTAAGAAGTCATGTGACAGAGAAATCTCAACACTCACGATTTCATTCCACTCTCCAGCACACCTGTGTCTTGGGCTTTGGGGACCGTACATTCTGAGATCTGCCTTTGCCATACAGATCCTTCAGGGTCTCAGAGTTACCCTGACATTCAAAGATCTCCTCCCCTATGCCAGGACAGGGACATGGCCTGGGACCTGGTGGGACACCCTGAGACAGATGAGGAGAGCACTCACCTCTTGCCTGCTACCGTGGCATCACCCGAGGTCACCGTAGTGTCCCCTGTGAGCATCTTGAAGGTGGTTGTTTTACCAGCACCATTTACTCCCAAGAGGCCAAAGCACTAGGAGAAAACACGGAGAAGGTCTGGAATTTCAGGCCCAGGGCAGCATGTGGCCCGGGAGACATCTGAGACCTTGGCTGCCACAAGCATCTACGGAGCCACTGAACCATATCTGTCCCAGTGGACAAGGGCTCCGGGTGTAAAACACACATCAGGTTTTGGAGACTCAGAATGAAAAAATCCCAAATGTAAAATATATCATTAATAATATTTTATTTATATTAGTTACCTGCTGAAATGATAGTATTTTGGGTGTACTAGATAAAACAGTATTCAAATTAATTTCACCCATTTTAACCTTTCTCTTGAGACTACTAGAAAATTGGAAGCCATGTAGGTGGCTCCCACCACATTGCTGCTGCATACTCTGCTGTATTTGGGGAGGAGTCACGCCGAGGGCTGATTTCCTGGAGCCCTTTCATGTGTGGTCTGCGGGTACCCACCTCTCCAGGGCGGACTCCGACACACAGCCTGTCCACTGCCGGGCTCGAGGTGCCTGAGTAAATCTGCAAGGTTCAGAGACACTGAAGTGAGGCAGGGTTCGAGCAGGAGAGGAAGGGGGCAGAGAGAAGCGTGCTTCAGGAGCACACTGCCAGCACCAGGAGGCTCCGGACCAACATGGCCGGGGGAGGGGGCCGGGAGCACGGGCACAGCTCACAGGTGCTGAGCAGGAACAGAACCGAGACGCATTGGTGATGCGCAGCGGGAGCGGCTCTCACTGTGGTCCTGTGTTAGTCCCCAAGGCAAACAGCAGGGGATTTGCCTTGGAATGAGATGTTCTCAGAAGACAAATTACAAGAGAGATGACCCCACATACAATTAGGAGAACAAGCTCCTTGCAAAAGCACACGACTTGTTCCCAGAAGTGACAACATTGTGCCATGTACGGGCCCAAACTAACCTAGGCCCTTACCTTGGTTAGCTCATTTAACTTTAAGATATCGGTTTTATTTCCCCCGCTAATGATTCTTTGTCTTTCTTCAGCCACATCATCATCTTCATCGACAATGGGCTCCTTAGCAGGCTCAGCAATCCTAGAGGGAGGAAAGGGGCAGGAGTGGGCTCGTTGTACAGCTTCTTGGTGCTTCTTCATCTGACCTCTCTTCCTATTCTTTCACTTCTGCTCCTACCTGGGTGTCTGTCCCCTACAGCTTCAATTCCAAGAAGGGCTCCCAACAGGAAAGGCATTAGGCATTGGGCCAAGGTCAAGTTCTCACACCCAGAGTCAGCCCTGGGTTCCAGTGCTGGCCTCCCCCTGCAGGATGCTGGGCATGTCACTGGGCCTCTCTGAACCTTTGCCCCTTGCATCCATTTGATGGGAGTGGGATCAGCATGTCTACCTCATGGGATGATGGTGAAGACGAACTCAGCACAGTGCCTGGCACGGAGTAAAGACTCAGGACCCTGCTGCTACAGCAAGCGCGCTGGCAGCCAAGCTCACACTTCCTCCAGTCCAGCCTACTAACTCAGCCTCTTCAAAACAGTGTCCTTCCTCAAGACCTTCCATGACTCTCCATCAGCTGTGGTTAGAGCTCTACCTCCTTAGCTGGAATCCCAGGTACTGCTTGCCCTTTGCTCCTGCTCATCTCTGGCACTAACTCCTTCTCCAACCACTGGCATCTGCCCCTGGCTCCTACCTCTCAGCCTTGCGTGCATTTCCAGTCCCTCAGTGCCTTTTCCCTGCCCTGCCAAGGGAACCCTCTGTCCTTCAAGACACAGCCTCTTCTTAGAAACCCTCCCTGACCATCTGGGCCTCCATGTCTCCTTCCTCCCTAGCTGGCCACATCTGGTCCATCACCAAGTCTTGTCTAGCAAACTCTGTATTATTTACTCAGTCAACCTATTTTGCTCCGTGGAGAGGGCAGGACTGAAGCCTGAGGGCACCCCAGGACCCCTGGGATGTTTCCATCAGGGGAGTGAGTGATCTGCTGGGCTGGGAGCAGGGAGACCAGCGAGGAGGTCATTTTGGTGCCCAGCCAAGAGCCACTGGGATGGGGTGGAGGTCCTCAGGCTCGCGTCCCAAGTCGTCAGGTCAGGTGGCATTTCATGACCTCACCCAGTCTGCCTTTCTCTTGATTCCCCCTCACCTTCACTTTCCCAGGTCTCTGAGCTCCCTGCATCCCAAGCATGAGCCCCGCTCTCTGGGGCTGCTGGGCCCTCATGCATTCCTGCTCTTCTGCCAAGAGTACCCCTTCTTCCTCCCTTTCCCTCGCCTTGCTTGGTTGCCTCTCCCTAGGGGCATGGCTGTGAGCTTCTGGAAGCCGGAGACCACGTTACGCTGCTCTAGTCCTCTCGGGCCACCTGCAGGCAGGACTCACTCGCTAGAAGCTCATGAGTCAGTTTTGGTAACTGCCCCTCTGCCCTTCCCCCTGCCACACTAAGGCCGCCAAAAGGTGTGGTCAGTGCTGCCGAGGGGGCCTGCAGGGGCTGAGGGTCCTAAGCTTAGGGATTCCTCACACAGCCTCCTGCAAGTGAACCACTTCCTGCTTGTATTGTGTTCAAAGGATGTTGACACCCACTTTCTCATTCAGGCCTCACAACCACAGGAGTGGGGAAGGTAGATCCTTTTCTAAGAAATCAATAAAAGCAAGTCTTGGAGTCTTTGCTTACAGTGACCAGAGGAGGCAAGCTTGTTAAGGAGATTGTGATGTAGAACACTGGGTGAGGCCAGGAAAGCTGGCCCGGGATGCAAAGCCCCCAGGTCAGAATAAGGCAGGGGCAGGCAGAGCCTGGGGAAGAATGGCTGCTCGGGGTCTCCAGCTGACCCTCCGGCTGCCCACCCATCTCCAGGGCCAGGGGCGTGGTCACTGCTCCTCCCCCTCCCCAGGCTCCGGGCCATCCTCACCTGGCACGTGGCTCATAAATTATTTCTTCTGTCCTGACCTGCCCTTCTTCTCAAATCTATAATCAGCAAAGGGTCCAGCTTTATCTCTCTTTGCTCCTGAGTGTATAAATCTGTCCTAGCACTTTGGATATCCCTTCACCAATGCCATTTGCCATGCACTTATCTCTTATCTGACTTTTTTTTTATTTTTATTTTTTTTTATTTTTCTTATCTGACTTAAAATGACTGTCTTGTGATCTAGTTAGGAAGGTGTGCTATTAGGAGCTGAAACTCACCACATTGTCTTATAAAGTTGAGAGGGCCCACATCTGAACGTGCCTATTGCCACCAGTCTCTCCCTGTTATTTGGAGCAAGCCAGGCTCTTAGCATGTAAAAAGCTATCATGGAGTGGTGCCCCTGAGGAAGGACATGACCGTGTCTGTGTGAAGGCCACGCCTGGACACACTGACCTGCCCCTGGCACCACCAGGGCACAGCATGGACGTACCAGCGGGTGAGGAAGAAGTGGTGCTGGATGAGGAGTGTCAGGAGGAAGTACACGACCCCTTCTACTGCCATGGCAACCAGGTTCTTCCCAAGCAGGTCCCACTGGAACGGATTCGCAGAGTGCTCCTCCCCTGCGGACGGAGGCCACTGGCAATCAGTAGGAATCCAGTGCCAGTCGGCAGCCCGGCTCACCCCGGAAGACCCGGCTACACCAACAGGTGTGTACAGGGCTTCAGCAAGAGCCCTGGCCCCCCACGTCAGGGCAAGGAAGAGTAAAGGCTTGTCCTTGACCCCTTCCTTGGCTCTTCGGCCTAGTCCCTTCTTGCTGGCAGGGCAATCCCACACCAGTAAGGTGCCAGCCCAGCCCCAGTCCCAGCCCAGCTGTGGGTCGACAGAGTTGGGGGCCACGCCCCAGGGGCCTTGATGGCCACCCACCAAACCGGGCATAGACGTCCGTCACAGCCTGGCTCAGTGCCAGGTCAATGAGGCCCCGGCCCAGGCAGAAGTGGGGGAAGATGATGAGCAGCTTCCTCAGCAAGGCGTTGAATCTGAGCAGCGTCTGAAACAGAGAAGCAAGACCGTTGGAAGTGGAGGCCGGGCCTCCCAAGCAGGTGGGCCAGGAAAGGCATCTTTGCAGCCAGACTGGCGGGAGGCAGGCCTTGTCAAACCAAATGTAGAGTTTTATATGGAAATGACAAATCAGTGGCTGGGGCTCCCTGCAGGTTTCTGGTGGGCAGCAGCTACCCTCTTTGGTCATTTTCCAGATACCTCCTGGGTGCCAGGCCACTCTGTGCATGTGTGGAAGAGCAGCAGCCCTCCTGCCAGCTTGGGCCATGTGTGCTACAGACAGAAGCTTTGCCAGCAGCTGCGGGGAATCTCCCTGGGTACAGCTGCGAGCCACCCCGGGGATGCAGGAGGCTGTCTCCCAGCGCTGCCTTAGCCCAGCTTGTATCAAAGGAGGCTGGGGCCTACACCATTGCCTAGCTCTGCTTCTCAGCTGCACAGGGCGGCTGTCAGTAGAGAGAGCAGAGCTGGAGACTTCTGGGGTCTGGCTTGAGCAGGGGGCTTGTTTTGTGGTGCTCAGACTGAAAAAAAGAACACAGAGCGCGCAAGGCTGGGGAAGCACTGCTGGGCCACTGCTGTCCCCTCTGGCCCATCCTCACCCCAACCTCCCACCTCTTCAATGCCACAACTTGTGTTACCTCTTCCTTCCCCAGCTATACCCCATCCGCCACAGGTCCCTTCCCAGAATGCACTGTGCTCCTTTGCCACCAGGCCTCTGCACTTGCCATTTCTATGCAGGAAAGAGTGTTCTATCCCCTTCTGCTGAGAGATTCCTTTTTTTTTTTTTTTTTTTGACAGGCAGAGTGGACAGTGAGAGAGAGAGACAGAGAGAAAGGTCTTCCTTTGCCATTGGTTCACCCTCCAATGTCCGCCCCGCTGCGGCTGGCGCACCACGCTGATCCGATGGCAGGAGCCAGGTGCTTCTCCTGGTCTCCCATGGGGTGCAGGGCCCAAGGACTTGGGCCATCCTCCACTGCACTCCCTGGCCACAGCAGAGAGCTGGCCTGGAAGAGGGGCAACTGGGACAGAATCCGGCGCCCCGACCGGGACTAGAACCCGGTGTGCCAGTGCCGCAAGGTGGAGGAATAGCCTAGTGAGCCGCGGCGCCAGCTCCTTCCATTCTTTAGAATCTTGCTCAGATAGCTAGCTCCTTCTTGCGTAAGTGGTCCTAGGCTCCCATGGTAAGATATCCATTCCTCTCTTAACACTACTTACCACGTTCCCATGATTAATTTCTTTAATCTCCCTACTTCTCTACTAGTCCGTGGTCCCCTGGAGGGCAGGGTCTGGGTCCCAATTCTTTTTTTCCTATTTTTAAAATTATTATTAATTTTGGGACCGGCATTGTGGCATAGTGAGTGAGGCCACCGCCTGCAATGCTGGCATCTCATATGGGTGCCAGTTAGAGTCCTAGCTGCTCTACTTCCAATCCAGCTCCCAGCTAATGCACCTGGGAAGCAGTGGAGGATGGCCCAAGTGCTTGGGACCCTGCATCTAGGTAGGAGACTGGATGAATCTCCTGCTTCCTGGCTTCAGACCAGACCAGCTCAGGCTGTTGTGGCCATTTGGGGAGTAAACCAGGGGATAGAAGATCTCTCCGTGTGTCTCCCTCTCTGTAAACTCCTTCTTTCAAATAAATAAATCTTTAAAAAACTATTAATTTTAAACTTACATAACAAAAATTAAAAGGTAGTAAGATGAGTTCCTGTATACCCCCACCCCGTTTCCCCTCATCTCACATTAGTATATTTGTCACAATCAATGAGCCACACCCAGCGTCCCCTATTTTATCTCTCCACTCCTCCCAGCCTCTAGTAATCGACATTCTGTGTTCAGATGGAGTGTGGTTTTTGTTTGTTTTTAATTTTAGCTCCTGCATAAAAGTGAGAACATGTGGTGTTTGTCTTCCTGTGGGTTATTTCACCCCACATGATGGCCTCCAGTTTTTAACAGCTGAGTAGTATTTAACAGCTGAAGTGTGTGTGTGTGTGTGAGACATTTTCTTTTTCTTTTTTTAAAGATTGTATTTACTTATTTGAGAGGTAGAGTTACAGACAGTGAAAGGGAGAGACAGAGAGAAAGGTCTTCTTTCCATTGATTCACTCCCCAAATGGCTGCAACGGCTGGAGCTGTGCCGATCTGAAGCCAGGAGCCAGGTGCTTCTTCCTGGTCTCCCACTCAGGTGCAGGGGCCCAAGCACTTGGGCCATCTTCTACTGCTTTCCCAGGCCACAGCAGATTGGAAGAGGAGCAGCCAGGACTAGCTGGCGCCCATATGGGATGCTGGTGCTGCAGGCAGAGGATTAACCTACTGAGCCACGGTGCTGGCCCCGTCACATTTTCTTTACCCATTCATTTGATGCTGGACACCTTGGTTGACAGTGCTGCCATAAACATGGTGGTGCAGGTATCTCTTTGATACAGTGAGTTCATGTCTCTTGAGTATATACCCAGTAGTGGGATTGCTGGATCAAATGGCAAATTTAATTCTAGTTTTTAAAGAAATCTCCATACTGTTTTCCACAGTGGCTGTACTAATTCATGTTCCCACCAACAGTGTCTTAAGAGTTTGCCTTGCTCAACATTCTAACCAGCACTTGTTACTCCTTCTTTTAGATAACAGCCATTCTGACAGAAGTGAGGTGATATCTCATGGTGGTTTTGATGTGCTTTTTCCTGATGGCTAGTGATATTGAGTATTTTTTCATGTATTTGTTGGCCATTTGTATTTTTTCTTTTGAGAACTGGCTACTCAGGTCCTTTGCCCATTTCTTAACTCAATTTTTTATGTTGTTGTGGAGTTTTTGAGTTGCTGATATATATATATATATATTTTCATTCATATATAATTCATCCTTTGCCATATAAGTAACTTGTAAATATTTTTCCCATTCTGTCAGATGTCTCTTTATTGTTTACTGTACAGAAGTTCTGAGTTGGATATAACCCCATGTATCTAGTTTTGCTTTTGTTGCCTGAGCTTTTTGGGGTCTTAGCCAAGAAGTCATCACTTATACCAATATCTTGAAGTATTTCTCCAATGTTTTCCTCTAGAAATTTTATAGTTTCAGGTCTTACATTTGGGCCTTTGATCCATTTTGAGCTGATTTTTATATGTGGTGAGAGGGAGGAATTCATATAAATACACCATTTAGTGAAAAGCCTATCTTTCTCCAATGTATGTTCTTGCCACCTGTGTCAAAAATCGGTTGGCTGTATCATGTGGATTAATTTCTGGACTCTATTCCGTTCCATTGATTTGTGTGCTGGTTTTTGTCCTCAATACCCTGCATGATGATGAGATCACAGTAGACACATTAGTATTTGTTACATGGACAAATGTAATCCTGCTTACTCCAGGCCAGCCTGAATCTCCTCCACCAAGATTCTCCCAGCGTCTTTTGGTCCCTTCTGACCCATGGTATTTTATCTGCCTCTCTCCAATGCTGATCTGTTGCACACTGTCTTCCGGAGTGTCAGGTACCGCAGTTTATATCAGCTCTAACTTGGAGTGCAGGCCATTTCCTGAACTGGGTCACACTGGTTCATATCAGTAGATCCATCACGCGATGTTCACCCAGTAAATACCTCCTGACCAAGCCAGGACAGTGGCTACAGAGACCTGGGAGCCTGCTGTGGGACGCTGGGAATTTGTGCAGCAGCGTCTGCCTCATCTCGTCATGAACATGGAAGTAACCGGTTTCTCTGGGAGGCGGCAGGGCTCAGTAGCTGCCTGCTAAGTGAGTTGCATTAAGCCTACTCTTATAGTGACACACTGTCTTGGGACTTAGCAGGCCGCCGTGAGCCTGGCACACACACAGCTCTCAAAAGCAGAGACTGATCCAGGGGGATGCTCTGGCTCCCCCCCGCCCCGCCCTGCCGTGACATGCTGTGTCTTATCATTCTTGGGGCAGATGAGGTTTCACTTCCTGCCTGGTGGCCACAGAGAGCCTGACAAGGTCTCAGAAAGAGCGGCTCTCAGGGGGCTGTGGGACTGGGTGGTTACTTGTGGGGCCTTGGCAAAATCAGCCCTTCCAGGGGTGGGGTGGAGGTGGGGCTGCAGGCAGCACTGCAGAAACACTGGCCATGGGCTGCTGCCCACTGGGAACAGTGCTGGGCTGGGGAGAAAGGAAAGGCTGGGGAGGTGCCTGGAGATGCAGGCATGTGAGTGAGCCCAAATTCTCTGAGGACAGCTACAACCCAGGCGTGCACACACACACACACACACAAACGTACACTTATCTGCTTGTATGTCTGCAGAACACACAAGAACCAAGACGTTGCCTCTGGAAAATGGAACTGGGTGATTGGGAAACAGGAGTAGGAAAAGGGTTTTTGTTCCTTTAAAATTTCCAGGGACTAGCATTGTGGCATAGCAGGTAAGGCCACTGCCTGTAGCAACGGCATCCCATTTGGGTGCTGGTTTGAATCCCAGCTGCTCCACTTCTGATCCAGCTCTCTGCTATGGCCTGGGAAAGCAGTAGAAGATGGCCCATGTCCTTGGGTCCCTGCACCCGTGTGGGAGACCCAGAAGAATCTCCTGTCTCCTGACTTTTGCCTGACCCAGCTCTGATTGTTGTGGCTATTTGGGGAGTAAGCCAATGGATAGAAGACCTCTCTCTCTCTCTCTCTCTCTCTCTCTCTCTGTCTCCCTCCCTCCTCTCTCCTCTCTCCTTTCTCTGCTGTAAATCTTTCAAGTAAAATAAATAAATCTTTAAGCAAAATGTTAAAACCACCTGAAAGCATTGTGTGTGTGTGTGTGTGTGTGTGTACAACCTAACATCCAGGACACTTTCAGGGGAGTCAGCAAATCTAAAATCTTACCATCGTTGAGGGTCCTTCCTAACTTGCAGAGTGCACTCAGAAAACCGTGGCACTCAGCACTCAAAAGAGCAGGAGGGAGGAAAGGAAGGTAGGGGGAGGCCAGCAGCCACCCTCGCCTGCACACTAGCATCTGCACATCCAGTGCGTGCTTGATCAGCGCCTACCTTATGGGACCCTATGAGTCCAACAAAGCAGCCACAGGAGTCGCGCTCACCCGGTTATTCTCAAATAGTTCCAGAATGAAGGTGATGGCACTGCTGTTGATGCCGATGAACAGATTCGCACAGGACAAAGCCACGTAAGCTGTGCTGGGGACATCAAAGAGGAAAGACGCCGGGTACATCATGGGAATGACTGCCCACCTGTGGGAAAGGACACAGCTCACTGGGATGTGTGTTACACTTCTGGCTAGGATGCATGTATGGGCGACATGTTTGAATGGGCCAGAGTCTCAGGGTGACCAAGATCACCCATCATCCCATGGCCTCTGTGCCTCATCTTTCCATGAAGACAACAATGGCTGCCCTGATAACCTTATGGGGTTTTGTGGGGAACAAGAGAGACAGTAGCTTTAGGTGCCTAAGGTGTTCCATCCTGCAATGCTTCCCGCTCTAGTCCAGATCAGCAGAGGTGAAGGTCCCAACATGCTCATCTTCACAGCTTGCTGGACAGTTCACAGTCCTGCTGGTTCCTGAATGATTACCAAGAGACAGAATGGAGACCACTGCTCCAGTAACCCCCTACTGAGCCACAAGGGAAGGGCCAGGCATCATTTTTCCCACTTCACAGATGAAGGAACTGAGGCCCAGATGGCTGAATTATTTGCACGTGGTTGTACATGCAGTCCGTGGCAGGCCTGGGATGTACAGCTGCAGCTCTGGTCTAAAATTCTGTTGGAGTTAATGCCTGTGCCACCTTCCAGCCCCAAGGCAGGGGCAGCCAGCTGGAGTCTGCTTCTGTGTACAGAGCACTCCTGGTCACTACAGAGGGAGCCACTGAGCTGGACACATAGGCTGCAGATGATTCAGAGATAGATCAGAGCTGGCTGAGGAATTGGGGTGACCAATTCCCAGACTTTAGTCAAGGCCACAGTTTGAGTGGAAGAAGAAGTCAGACCATGTGCAGCTTCATTCATCGTCTGTGAATGAACCAGGCCTTGGTTCATTCAGATACCTCCATTGGTAGAGTCAGAAACGAAAGCCGGAAGGATTCCTGGCTAGTAGCCACAGGTGGATGCTAAACTTGTGCATGCTGTCACCCCTGGAAAGCCCACATGTTCCAGCAGAAGGCAACACCCTCCCTGCTTCCCTTGGGGTGGCATTAGCTCTAATGGCCAAACAACTCACCCGTACAGCATGAGTAGCGCAACAAGGGCAGGAAGATTATCTGGGGAAGTATAGGCTTTCTTCTGAAACCCGATGAAGATGCCCACCACCAGGGCGGCGCTCACAGCGTAATTCATCTTGAAGAGAAGAGAGGAGCAAATCACTTAACCTCTATCTAGGACTTCTGTTTCCTGTTCCACTAAATGGGAGTTGGGACTGGGTCCTCCAGCTCTGATGCCATTTGTCCAAATGGTTCTTGGTTAGCAAACCTATATTAAGTTGTTCCTAGTCCTCCTATCCCTTCCTGCTCAGGGAACCTTCAGTTTGTATCTTTCAAAAAATGAATTATAAAATTCCACCAGGTCTTTCACTCTTTAAATTGGTCATGAAATCTCATGGGTTCTCCTTTCTAAGCAAGCGTCCGGGATTGAGAAAAACTCACAATGTAGTCCTTGGCCTCATGAAGCTCTAATGCCGATACCCTTTCTAAGCAATGCGGTTCTAAAGCCTTCAGGTTGGGCATGGAAAGATGGGCAGGGTTGGGTCTTGAGCAGGACGAAGACCTGAGAAGGGTGAGGAGGGCGTCCTGCAGAGGGGGCCTGGAGCAGGGTGTTGAAGCCCCAGCGGGTTGAGGAAGGTGTCCTTACCGGAGTGTCAGAGCCCGAGCACAGTGAGGAGGAGCTGCACACAGTGGGGACAGCTGGGGCAGGGAGGGAGGGCCTCCATGGGGAGGAGTTGGTGGCCCTGATTGATAGGGTGTTTCCTATACAGAGGAGTATTGCTTGGGTTGGTAAATGATTTGGGGGGAGACACCAGCAATTTCTCACCCTTGGAGAAAGGAGTTACGAGAAAGATGGAAAACTAGAATGAGTCCTGTGTGTTGGACTGGAGCTGGAGACTTTGGTGGGTTCGTAGTGTTCAGTGCACAGATAGACTGAGAAATACAGGTACATGTGGGTGTATTTCCACATCTGCACACATACCTCCCCTACTTCTGTCCGCAAACGTGCCTGGGACCAAAGACACTCCAGCAACATAAACATATTTAGTATCCATATTTTGGCTTCTGGGGGCCTTTTTCCATTGGAAGGAACCAGGACTCCTAGGGGAGATGGTTGGTTCCAGAGTCCGTGTCGGGAAGATACAGGATGGGCCTTTCTGTGCCATCTTTCTGTGCCAGACCTCAGGGAGGTGCTCAAAGAGGGCGGGGACACAGGGGAAGAGGCCACAGAGGCCAGCCAGAAGAGCTGATGGCCACGCGTGCAGACAGTCTGCATCTTGAAACAGCTCATGATGTAACTGGACCATAATCCATTGATCAACACAGGAATCAAGACTGAATCAGATGTAAATAATTCAAGGTACAAATAAAAAATTCTATAATAAACAGAATATTTACATTTCTCTAATAAACCTATCCCTAAAATCCTGATTCATTTATAAAGGGGCAAAGAGCTACTTTACAGTGGAGAAATGATCAAAGTGAATGTCGTGTCATCACTGACAGGACAGCCTGGAATCTGAAGCCAGCTGACAGATGCAAAAGAGGAACCAGCATCCACTGTGACCCTGCAGCTAAGGGCAATCCTGAGGAAGCCCCAGGCAAAGCCCGGCGGAAGGACACCGTGGCCTGAGCCTTCAGCTGTGTCCAGGCCATGTGTGTCCAGGAGAGGCTGAGCACTGTTCCAGGCTGAAGGGGACTGAAGAGTCAGGACAACTAAATGCACTGCACGAATCTGGGCCGGATCCGTTTCTACAGCAGGGACGTTACTGGGGCAGCTGATGGAACTTGAGTGGGGTCTGAGGACTGGGTGGTGGTAACACAGCAGCGATGGCTTCCTGATGTTGACATCATATGGTAGCAGAATGGGGCATGTCCTTGTTGGCAGGAGGCCCAGATAGGGGGTGTTGGGTGCGTGTGGGAGAGGGAGGAGAAAGAAGGGGCATCTTGTTAGGAAAGTTCTCGTATGGCTCAGAAAATTTTGAACTAAACTTGGAACTTTTCTTTTTTTTTTTCTTTTTTTTTTTTTTTGGCAGGCAGAGTGGACAGTGAGAGAGAGAGACAGAGAGAAAGGTCTTCCTTTGCCGTTGGTTCACCCTCCAATGGCCGCCGTGGCCTGCGCGCTGCGGCCGGCGCATGGCGCTGATCCGAAGCCAGGAGCAGGTGCTTCCCCTGGTCTCCCATGGGGTGCAGGGCCCAAGTACTTGGGCCATCCTCCACTGCACTCCTGGGCCACAGCAGAGAGCTGGCCTGGAACGGGGGCAACCGGGACAGAATCCGGCGCCCCGACCGGGACTAGAACCTGGTGTGCCGGTGCCGCAAGGCGGAAGATTAGCCTAGTGAGCCGCAGCGCTGGCCCGGAACTTTTCTATAAGTCTGTAATTGTTTCAAAATTTAAGAGAAAAGAAAAAGCAGATGATACACGTAAGAAGCTAAGAATTGAAAACACTGGATGCATTGAGTGAATGATAGGGATAACTGTCACCCATTCAGCAGCAACCCTAGCACACGCTGTCTTTCTGCCCCTGGCTAACGAGGGCATTACATTCCAACAGCACAGATCCTGGGGTTCATGTTCCAGACCAGCCTGGAATCTGGAGCATCAGGGGCAGGTGCTGGCCTGCTAGTTAGGATGCTGGTTAAGATGCTCGTGTCCCACACTGGAGTGCCACTGGCAGGGTTGTCTGATTTGGCAAATACAAATACAGACACTCTGTTCAATTTGACTTTCAGATAAACAATAATTTTTAGTATAAAATACTTGTAGTAGGATATACTTACACTACACACTATCAGTTGTTTATCTGAAATTCAAATTTGACAGAGTATCCTGTATCTGGTGACCCTACTATAGGGGAAGTTCTATCCTTACCCTTTTGGAAATGGGGCTCGTTTAAGAAGAGGACGAGGGGAAGGGCCCCCTGGTATGACCTTCTCAGCCTCACACTGTTCCCAGGAAGGCCAGTCTGGTGCCGCACAGTGCAGCAAGTATTTTCTGGGTTAGAAGCCTCCTTGGTGCAGGACACTGAGAGTCCCACTCAGCAGTTATCAAGCTGTGCCCCACCTTCTTCCTAGCTTTGGGGTGCTAATTCTGTGCCTTTCGAAGAAGATGTAAAAGTGGCTGGCACTGTGGCTCACTAGGCTAATCCTCCACCTGCGGCGCTGGTACCCCGGGTTCTAGTCCCGGCTGGGGCACCGGATTCTGTCCCGGTTGCTCCTCTTGCAGTCCAGCTCTCTGCTGTGGCCAGGGAGTGCAGTGGAGGATGGCCCAAGTGCCTGGGCCCTGCACCTGCATGGGAGACCAGGAGAAGCACCTGGCTCCTGGCTTCAGATCAGCGCAGCGCTGGCTGTAGCAGCCATTTGCGGGGCAAACCAATGGAAGGAAGACCTTTCTCTCTGTCTCTCTCTCTCTCTCATTGTCTAACTCTGCCTGTCAAAAAAAAAAAAAAAAAAAAAAAAAAAGAAGAAGAAGAAGAAGAAGAAGATGTAAAAGGACAGTAGGCCACAGAGGCCCTGGGCCCAGCACTTCCCAGCAACCCTGGCAGTGTGGGAACACCCACACCTCCTCATCAGACCCCTCACAAGCGCCACTTGTGTGCAGAGGTGCGGATGAACTGTCACTCACAATGTCCCAGAGGAAGTTGGTCAGCCAGTAGGTGGTGGGGCTCACGCCGCTGATAAACTGCAGGTGCTTGGCTTTGCTCACCCTCTCCTGGATCAAATAAAGGACAAAGCTGGCTGGGACGAAGGACATGGCGAAAATCACGCAGATGGCAACCAGGGCATCCACCGAAGTGGTCAGCCTGCAGCAGGATGGGAGACCCAGGGAGAGAGTGGTGAAGACAGGGCAGGTGCAAGAAGAGCAACGAGGCCAGGCCCTGGGAATTCCTTACCTAAGCCCGGGTGATGGCCTCCAGACTTCCTTCCCTAGTCTGAATAGTCGTTCCCTTGCACTGTTAACCAGTCTGGGTCAAGCTTAAGTGGATGTTTGTGGGTTGTCCTTCCATTTCATGTGAATATTTCCAGACACCACTTCATCTTCTTCTGATTTCTAATGAGTTGTTACGGTGTCTGGAAATATATGTGCATGTTGCTCTCATAGTGCAATGCACTGATTAGCTCTAATAATGTTTCTATCAAGTCTCTGGAATGCTCTGTGTAAACACCATATGGACTTTGAAATTGATTTCTTTTGTTGAAAGACATTATCTTGTTAAGTCACATTTTCAAGAAACACAAGGTGCCATGGGTGGATGTCCATAATGTAACTTCAGGTGACAGGAGAGCAGGCATGGCCCATGGGAGCTTGACTATATTCTCCCTTCCCTGGGTCAGATAGAAGGAATCTGGCTGAGGGGGCAGGTGGAGCTGAAAGCCCACATGTGCAGGTCATAATCCCCTGGGTGTAGGGCGGTTCCTGCCTCCCTGGACGAGCACTGTCACTGACCCCACAAAAGCATCATTTGTCGTGGTCACCGAGCTGATCAACCACACACGGCATCACCCACAGTCACAGTGAGCCCAGAGCAAACAGCTGGAAGGAAGCACCCTGCATCCCACAGTGCTAACAATAACTGTGCTCTTCAAACTCTGCTACCTACGCTTTATTTAATGAACACACACAAGGGGTCTTCAAGAAGTTCCTGGAAAATGAGTATTATGGAAAACCTATGCATGGATCTCAAATTTTTTTTGCACCAAAATAAATGTATCTTTTCATTCCATTTTTCTACAGACTGAAGTACCCTCAGACCATTTTATAATCCCAGAGAGACTCCCATTTCATACTCAAAAGGCTTGGCAGAAGGTGAAGGTGCGGAAACTTGGGCTGAGTGAGAACACCGGAGACCACAGGGTCCCAGAGGGTGTTCAGGGGAAGGTGCAGAGGAGCCACGCCCAGGTATTTGGGGATGGCCCGGGGCATGCTTGGTAGCACTCAGCACACTGAAGCACAAAGTCCGGACTCCACAGAAGCAGACTGCATCCCCCCAACCCCTTCACATTGGCCTTGAACAGAGCAAACAGACTGCAAAATGCAGAGGCTTGGTGTCATACTGCTGAAGCAGTGCCATGGGCTCTTACCATGCTGGAGGAAGGCAGAGACCTGCGGCCATCCCCAAAGTAGGACATCTGACCAGAATCTGGGCTAACTACCATTGGGACATGGAAGCGTGCTGGAATGCTCCCAGGTTCTGGCAGTTCTTTTGCATACTGGCAAAGGAGAATATCTCTCCTTACTGAGAGTAAAAAGGCGATGGAACCAAACATAATCTTACTTTCCAAACACAGGTGGGGAAGAAAGACCGGTCAAGCAGTCTGGTACACGAAGCACTTACAGGTCTTACAGTCACGGTCACGGCTGCCTATCCAACAACGCAGCCACCCAGCCCTGCACTTGCTGTTGGGGAAAAAGCCTCGGAGAAAACCTGAGGCCAGGCCCGGGCAGCTTACACTGTAACCTCTGAGAGCTGCTCCTTGGTCAGGTTCAGCGGCTGGCTTATGACGGTGACTCCATACTCTTCTGGGTTCCTGTCCGGGGGCAGGCTGGCCCGGAGGATGGCGTTGTGGGCCACGTTCAGAAAGCTGACCAGGGCGTGCCAGCCTTTGTTGTTGAACCACACCTAGCGGGTGGGAGGGGGCTTGGTGAGGCTGTGTGACACCCAAGATGCGGCATGAAGAAAATTAGCCATAGGACAAAGCAGGAGCAAGGTCTGGCAGAGGGAAGACATTCCTTGCTGGATTTCAGCAGGGGGAGGGAAGGGCAAGTGGAAATAAAATCATTAGCTCACGTGAGGATTTAGCCCTGGGGCAGATCATGCGGGTCACCTACCTTAATGTTGTCTTCCGTTTCCAGATGTTTCAGGAAATCAGACATTTCTTGAGTAGCCTTTCTGGTGACAGGGCCCTAGGGGACCAGGAGACACAAGCAGGAGGGTTTTTCACTGCTTCAGCACTCAGCAATCATTTCTATTTCATAGGAAGTAGGAAAGTCGCAAATCCTGCTCAAGTCTTCAGTCTCCTTACATACCCCGCTCACGTTCATTAGGTGGCCAAGGTCGTTGAGAAAAGCAACAAGTGCTTTCCCGGTGAAGGGGATGGCTGGGAGCTTCCCTCCGATGGAAATTCCTCCGTACCTGGCAAGGCAACAAGAGATCCTCAGCGTGGAGCCGTGACCTTCGCGCCTGCCAGGAGCATTCTGCTTCTGCAGGGGAACTGTCTGGGCCAGTGAGCAGAATCAGCCTACGTTACAAATCCAACTCTGCAGTCTTCCCCATTGCTGACTCCACCGCGGCCTAGGCTCAAGGTTCTTCTGAGTCTGGTCTCTGCCCCGACAGCCCTTCCCTCCCTAGAGCTTCCCTGGAGGGCCACACTGAACCACTTGCATGGACCCGAATGGCCCAGGCTGCCCGCTTCCCGGGGTGCCTCCTCCTTGCTCTCTTGGGCATCTGGCCAGCTCCAGCTCCTCTCTCCCACGTGACCTCTCCGGTACCCACCAATGACTCCACTTCTCTGCCACCTCTGTCCTTTGCAGGTACTTCGAGCAGCACTGGACACAACAACTCGGCCTATGCAGGGGGCCGAGTGCTGCCACACACACCCCCCACCCCTGCTTGGTGCCTCTCACCCCCAACCCCAGCTCAGGCAACCCCACCATTTCTGGACTCTGCTCCTAACTGATCCCAACCTTGGGACCCATCCTCTGTTAGGCTCTGGAAGTCTACAGCCATGAGGATGCAAACACCCACCCGAGGAGGTCACTCTCTGGCTTAAAACCCTTCCATGGCAGGATGAAAGCCAGACTCCACAGCAGCAGCGTTAATTACCACAGAGGAGAATTTGATTTCTCAGGGCCTCAGATTGTCCCCTGGCTCCCATTTTCTGCTTCATTAGAATCCTCAGAGTTCCCTCCAGGGGACAATTCTGCATTTCACTTTTATGGTCTAGAATCTTCCCAGGAAAGCAAGTCAGCCTCATCCCTGCATCCATTCTACAGACCCAGTGCTTCAGACGGCTTTCTCCTGGGATGCCCTCATGGATTCTCCACACCTCTGGGGCCACTGGAACCTCTGGGATGCTTCAGGAGTGGGGTGAGTCAGGGGCTGGGCCAGATCCCCTGTCCAGGGCTAGGTTGCAAGTCCCTCTCACTGGTGCATTCTAATCTCTTAGAGGCTTGCAGGTCTTAGAATGTTCTGGAAGTCCTCACCAGACTACCTTCTCCCACGTGTGCCCTCCAGGGACACAGCTGAACATCTCCTGAGCCCAGGTGTCCCTGGACACTTGGCCTTCAGGACACACTGTCTGAATTCCTGAGGCCAATCAGAACAGCCTTGGAGGTCTGGCTTTTAACATGTGCCATTGCTTTAACTGGCTCAATCAGAGATTTAAATTTCTTATAAAAATGCTTTCTTACCTCTGTTCGTTGACCCAGAATTTGCTCTTTAAGCTGAAAGTCAAAATAAAATCATGCAATGAATAACACACATTCAGCAGCAGTGTTAACTTTCTTCCCTGGGGAACTGGCATGATTCAATCTATAGGGACATTTTTGCATTTCTTAATATCCAAGTCATGTGGGAGCCACTCAGCTCCGAGCCTGAGCCTGAGCCTGAGCCTGAATACACATGCGGGGAAAAGACTGGGGTTTCCACCATTGTTCTCCCAGTCACACCCTGCAGCTGGGCTGAGTGATCTGTTGTCAGGTCACACATCAGACCAGGGTGTCCACTCAGACCCGGAAAACATGGGAAGGATTGTGCCCAGGTGGAGGGAAGGCTGCAGCCCTCCCCCCTTCCACCAATGGACATAACTCTACTAATCACCTGCACACTTAAGGCGTTCACTTTCAGACAATCTGGGCTAAAACAAGAAGCTGGGAAATGAGCAGACAGCAGCCCCAGACCCTATGAACTGTCATGGTCGTCAACCACCAAGCAGCAAGTCCAGTATTCCATATTGCACATTGCTGCTGAGGTCAAAGTTTGGAGGGGCTGCTGTTTATCACATTACTGGGGACATCCACGTGCTCTGCTTTTGTCTGGGGGCTTGGGTGGTGTCTTCCTTTCGCTAACTGCCGGCCTGGCGCAGTGTCTCAGCAGGTGCGTTTGCCACGTGCAGTATTCTAGCCATTGGAGTCTGTCTGTCCCTTGCTCAGGGCGCTAGGAAGGGAAGCAGCTGAAATCACTGCTGAAATGAGGATGCTTGGTTTTAAAGCTGCAGAGCGCGTGGGGCTGCATCCCTCTCTCTGGAGCATCCTGTGGTCAAGCTGCTCGCTCTGATGGCCAGGGATGCTGTGGCTGCTGTGTCTGGGTGGGGCTTGATTAGGACAGCAGCAGAGCCAAGCAAACCAGAAGAGGTTCCAGGCACTTTACCCGTTAAGCAGCAGTCCCTGCACTGCCCTGCACCGCCTCTTACTTCCTCCTCTTTCTTCTCTTTTTCCCCCCTTTACTCCCTCGTCTCCCTCCAAATCTTGTCTCTCTTTCCTAACTGGTTAAAATATGAGGCTGCTGGGGCTGGCATTGTGGTGTAGTGGGTTGAGTTGCTGCCTGTGATGCCAGCATCTCATCTGGGTGCTGGTTCGAGTCCCGGCTACTCCACTTCCCATCCAGCTCCCTGCTAATGCGCCTGGGAAAGCAGCAGAGAATGATCTAAGTCCTTGGGCCTCTGAATCCACGTGGGAGACCCAGAAGCAGCTCTGGGCTCCAGGCTTCTGCCTGGTCCAGCCCTGGCTGTTGTGACCATTTGGGGAGTGAACTAGTGGATGGAAAATCTCACTTGCTCGCTCTAATTCTGCTTTTCAAATGAACAAAATCTTTGAAAACAAAAAGCCCCACTGCCCTGACCATAGGTAACTTGTGAGAGTGCATTGTCCTCTATCAGTAGTGAATACTTGGTACAGCAAGCCGGGATGAGGCGCAGAGAGGGTCCCTTCTCACCTGCTTCTTATGAGAGCAGGGTACGTCTTCACCAGGTAGTCGGAGATGTTCCTGTCTGTAAGGTCCTGCAGGATTTCGGTGCTGCGCTGTGTCCTCTGAGGCAAGCAGACACCCTGTGAATAACTGCACCCCGAGGCCTCACAGTGTGTGCAGCTGCTCACTCCTCTCCCCAAATCACCTGTGGCCTCAGTTGCTGGGAAAATACTAAATAAGGCACTGGCATCTCCCAAACACATTGACAAGTTGGGATGGCATATCCCCAACAAAAACCAGTCACCCGCATCTCTCCAGCTCCAGTGCCTCCACTGTAGCCCAAGCCACTACCCAGACTCTACAGAAGCTTCCAGACTGGGCTCCCCGATTCTCTCCTGGGTCCCCCACATTCCATTCTCCACACAACAGCCAGGGGAGCTTTAAACATGAAATTAAGAATACCCCTTGTGTGGGTGCAAACTGTTGAAATCTTTACTTAATATATACTGAATCAATCTTCTGTATATAAAGATAATTGAAAATGAATCTTGATGTGAATGGAATGGGAGAGGGGGCGGGAGATGGGAGGGGTGCGAGTGGGAGGGAAATTATGGGGAGGGAGCCAATGTAATCCATAAACTATACTTTGGAAATTTATATTTACTAAATAAAAAAAAAAAGAATACCTCCGTCATCTTGTTTACCACACGCCAAAAAGCCCACAATCAAATCCAAGGGACCCCACGTGGCCGGGCCCTGCCTCCCTCTTGAACTCCCTGGCTGCCACCTTTCTCTCCCTCCTACCCATTCTCCCTGGTTTTCATGATGTAGCTTTGAACTCGGCCGTCCACTCTCCCTGTAGAATCTCACATTCTACTTCCAGTTCCTCCCTATCATCAGCACTCCCCTGCCTGATCTCCCTCGTGGATGACTTGTTTTTGTCTGTTGCCGCCTGCAGCAGAGGCCTTCTGGGCAAGCAGGGGCTTCCTCAGACTTGTTGGCTGTTGTGTCCCTGGCACCCAGAATAGTACCTGGCATACAGATGACACGTGCTAAATCTGTGACACAAGTGAAACGACTGGAACCGTGCCTTATGGTTTACAAATCACTTTCAACAGGTTCGGAAAAATTCAAGCAATGTATAAGTTTGGCCGCCAGGTGGCAATATTACTGTAATTTTGGGAAGCCGGTGCTTAGTTGCTCATATTAGCCAATTGCATAGGTCACTCATGAACCTGGGCCCAAGCATTCGCTCTGTCCCGGGGGCCCACCCAGAGGGGGCTAAGGAGAATTTTTGGAGGCATTAAACCACCACCACCACACAGCACACTCCTCATTTTTGCACGCTGTCTTCCCTCCCTTTTCCCCTTTGACTTTCCCTTCTCAGTTCCTTTTGCTCTCCGTGTTCCTCTCTCTCATACTAGCAGGACCAGCACCTGCTCATGCTGCTGTGTGCCAGCGTACAGAACACGAGCCCTCCTAACTCCAGCACCCTGGTGAGGGAGGAGTCGGACTTGATCGGACAGGCAGAGATGTTGAGGTTCAAGGAGGGCAGCTGCCTTGCACTGGTCACAGAGTGGGTGGGTGGTTGGCCCAGGGCCTGGGCCTACATCTGTCTGACTCCACAGCCCTTGCTCTTCCCTCTTTACCGTCCGCTTCTCTTGCCGCACGCAGCACCCTGGGGAGCCACCGTGCTCCTCTGGTGAAACCCAGGTCAAAACAATTGGGACAGCTTATGATACATTGCTTTCTGATAAATTCTGGCAAACACAATGCTCCTCCAACATAATCTCCACACATTCCAGAAGTCAGGGACCCAGCGCTTCCTGCTCAGGACCCACCAGCATTCACAGAATGTCAGAGCAGGAAGGGGCCTAGAGACCACCACATCCACCAACCCTGGTTTCCAGACACAGCAGTTTACTTGCTACCCCTGAGCCAGGTCCACGCCTCTGACTTATGGGCTGAAGAGAAGGGAGTGTTTGAGGAGGGAGTGTGTGTGTGTGTGTGTGTGTGTGAGAGAGAGAGAGAGAGAGAGAGAGCGAGAGAGAGAGAGAGCAGTCCCTGTGCAGATGTGTGACGTTATTTTACTGCAGAGAGGCATGAATGATAGGGAGGAAATGCAGTAGTGAAAGAAACTCAGAGGAACTGGTGTGCCTTTCTCTAGGACTGCAGCGGCCCTGTAGATTTCTCCCCAGGGACCGAGGACAAATGCTACTGAGGAGTCTAAGTGTGGAGGTCGGGCTTCATTTAGGAAATGAATCACCACGTAACTATGCTCGGCCTTCTCTTTTTCTCCCAGCCAAGAAGTTAACGTGCAGTGACACAGGCTTGGGCGTCCCAGCGCTGGGGAGATTTGAGTGGACACAGCCACAGAGGCCCTTAGCACTTGACCGCCAACCAACCAGAAGCCAAGCTCCCTTCTGGAGTGCAGGCAGCTGAGGCAGGCTCTTTGAGTTCTTCTGCTGGGACCCCCATGAAGCTTAGTGGCTGAGTTGTGATCCAAAGAGAGGATACATTGCTTGAGAAATATTAAGAAATATAAAAGTAGATGCTTTAGAATAAAAAAAAAGACTGGGTGTTCATGAACAATCGATCTGTTAGGAGCCAGCCATTGTGATAATGGCTGTGGCAAAATTCACTCGTCCTCATTACTGGCTCTTCCTCGCTACCATCCTAATAACCCACTTTGTTGGGTATGGCCGCCCAGAACAAAGATGATGGCTGCCAGTCTCCTTGACGCTGGGCTCTGGCCTGTAACACACAAGTCTAAGTGCAAGTGCCACGTGGTGGCTTGTGGCAGTCTTCCTAGCGCACACTGGCACACCCTGCCTCCTCTTCCCCTTTGTCCCTTCTTCCACTCTGCTGCCTGAAAAGCAGATTCTGCCATCTTGGCTGATGAAGCTGAGGCCTGTTTTAGGGAGCAGTGGCTCATAAAGCATCAAGGACCAATCATATCGCCTTCCTCAGGAGAGAAAAGCTGGGGTTTGTCTTATCCACTCTTAGCTCGGGGCTGTCATTACTTGAGTTGAATCTAAGTCATTCTTCGCTGACATTATTTCATTGAATTAATGCTCTGCATGATGTACATTCATCCCGAATTTCTAGGTGAGGAATTGAACACCGAGACTGGCCGGGGCAGCCAAGCCACGCCTCCCTGATCCCCAGGCCTGTGCTCTGCCCGCTACACCGCACTGCCTTGCTGGGGACTGTTTACTCGCTGTCAGATCCCGAAAGGCTGCGAAAGGGCTTGCTCTGGCCACGTCAGGGGGAAGGCCCATTATCAACCTGAGACAAAGTGCCATTGCTCTGGTCCCTTCCACCACCTCTGAAGCTCCCGGGAGGGGCTCCCTGTGATGCACTCCGGAGTCTAGGGCTCCCGAGAAAGGCTGGTACTCAGAGCCACGGTGTCCATCTATGTTCCTGCGAGATAAGCTCCTGGCTGTGTGTGCGAGCACCTGTGCACCTAGGTGCACCTGTGTTAGATGCACAGCACACGGCCAGCCTCTGAAGAATGTTCATACGTGTGTAAATGTTCACACATGTGTAAATACATACATGTGTAAATACACAGCCCAGTATTGTCTATAATGGAGAAAATTGGAAGTCCAAATATCCAACAAAGGGAAATTGGTTAAATAAACAAAGTCCAACTAATGACCTAGTGTGCGGGTGTTAGATTTGGTGCAGATGTGTATCTGTTGGCATGGATGTATGTCCATGATGTGTATTAGGGGAAAAGAGCTGGTGTCAAGGTGAGATTTTAAATGTTTGGGTGGATGGCAACCGAGCGCTATGGGTGGTTATCTGCAAGTGGTGACTGCCTTCCCTTCTGGCTTGCCTAATTTTTGTATCACGGGCACACATGACTTGTGTACTGTAAGAAACATGTTCTCACTGGATTGGATAGGAAATGTTTGGAGGAAAAGGAAGCTTTTGGTCAGGGACTTCCTCCAGGTGGCAGTGCCGGAGAAACCCCTGGGAGCCTCGCTCAGTCCTTCCCCTCAACTGCCAGTGGGGATGTTAGTGGGCTTGAGGCTCACACACGTCCCCCATCCCCCAACCCCGCTCTCGCAGGCCTTGGTGTCCCATGGGGTGGAGGGGTGGAGGTACCTGCGGGGGCGGGAGTCCCCCGGCGCCCCTGGGGCACTCGGGCAACATGGTGAGCTTCTCCCTGGTGCTGCACCTGCAGGAGGGCGAGGGGTTGTCCGGCGTCCATATCTGCTGCTGGAATAGGTGGGTGATGTTTGGGGACACAGAGGGAGTCTTCCAGGCGGTCGAGTTGCCACAGGGGTACCCCCTCATAGAAGAAAAGAGAATGTCCCAAGGTCAGTTCCAAAGCCCCCACGAGGCTCCCTGGCACCCATCCCCATCCTTCCTGGCCTCTCTGTCTCACGTCCAGGCACTTTATTCTCACCCTCTTGAAGACTGGTCTCGGGTGAGGTGTGGGGCTGGGGATAATTATTATCTAGTTTGTGGATTGTTTCATCTTCCTTTTTCTTTCTAGCTGTTCAGAGACTGAACAAATAAAAGCGAGAATTTTGGTCCTTACTAATAGCTTTGGGAAAAGACTGGATGGCACAGAAATTAAAATTACATCAACCTGTTGGGGCCCTATAGGAAGTTCTGGACCCATCCTCTCCAACTGCCTTCTCTATATTCTAACAGTAGTTGCGAGCTGGCCGTGTGTGGCGTTAATGCCATTGGACAGACAATTAGAAAACAGCACAGCCCCCTGGTCAGAAGCCGTTCAAACAAGGTAGGGGGAACCATCTGTGAACTCAGCATAGGGCTTCTGCATTGAGAAAGGCAGAGCTTCCCCGGGAGGCGGGGGCTTCCCAGCAGGCGTGGGCGGGGGAGGGGTCGGAGATGTGGTGCTGCTCTGTGAAATACAGGACAGAACCGAGGTGGCAGAGGTCTCTTCCTGGCCCTGCCAACCCGGACCCCAGCATCGGGTCTCGGGAGCCGCGGACAGTAGGGCAGGGATGTGCAGCCACTTACGGAAGCCACTCTTGCTTCAGGCAGCGATTGCCAAAGCCCGGCTTGTTCAGGAGGACGTCTGCCAGGGTGGCGAGGCGCTCGTTGCCAGGCTCGTCCATGCTGGAGAGAGGGAGAGAGAGGCTTAGCTTAGGGACCATGAGAGAGAGGACAAAGAGGCCAGGGAGTGGCAACTCTGTGTCAGGCAGGTACAGGAGGCATTGCCTCAGCACCGCTACAGGCCTGCTGGGAGTGGGGCAGGCTGCTGGTACACCTGTGCGCTGATGCTGTGTCGCCTGCCCCTCTGAGAGCCCGAGCCGCAGCCCCTCGCCCTGAGCGCATCCGCTTTCCTTACTCCCCTTCCCAAGGCATCCTGGTTGCCCACGTGGGATCCTTGCCAGGCAGCGGCAGACACCGTAACTCCTCTTGCGGGGTAACACTAAGAGCCCTGCACAGCGGCACGTGGCCTGGGAGCCCACGCCACAGAGGGGGAGGCGACCCTGGGGATGAGTCTGCGCACCTGAAGAAGGTGTACTGCTGCCCATACATCCAGGGGTGAAGGGTCAAGGCGGGATATTCACCAAAAGGAGGCACGATGATGGAAAGCATCAGAGCCAGACACACAAACGTGGCCGGGAGCACGATCTGTTGGGTTAAGTATAAAAATGGGGCTGTGGCGTGTGAGATGGCTCACACACACACAGGCATGCATGTACATGTATGCCCACCCAATGCCAACTCACGCACACATGCCTGAACACTCACACATCAGTCCCACAATGCACATTCACTCACACGCATGCACAACTCCTGTAGTGTATACATGCACACAGAGACATGCATGCACACACGCTGTCACATGTGCACTCACACACATGATGCATATGGGATGCACATACTTAGACACGCATTCATGCATACTTATGAACATTTGCAAACTCACATATACATTCATACCAAGACAAGCACACTTACACTCTTGCACACACATGTGCATGCATATACTTGGACACATACAGGAGTGTGCACACATGCACACACATTCATACTTCCAAACACTCATCCTGCTGCCTCACAACCAGGGCTTGGGGGAGAAGGTCAGCTTTCTGGGGGAACTTCCCAGGCAGGGTGTGCACAGGCAAAATGTGGGAGACAGAATGTTTGGTAGCAACTGAAGCTTCTGGATGTAGGCCAATGCTCGGCAGAGGTTGAAGGGCAGTTCAAAGAGCAAGTCACCATACTCACCACTCTTTGAAGCAGTTTCTTTTCTAAATAAAAAACATAGCAAGAAAAAAGGGGACAGTGGCCTTGATGGATGGGATCATCGTGGAAACAAAACACAACACGATGGAACCTTTCACTGTAAAAATAAAAATATGAACGTTTCCCCTGCTCTTCTATGGTTTTTGTTTAGTGAGGTCCCAGACTTGCCAAGAAAGGTGTTAGAGAGAATCGAACTGCAGGTGGGCAAGGAAGAACCAAGGGGACAGAAGCTGAAGAAGCTGCACCTGCCATGTTGGAACCATGTTGGCCGCACACCCCGGAGAGGCTGGAAAGCCCCGGAAGAGAGGCAGCGGTACCTGGGCCAGGAAGTCCTTGTGGCTGCGGATGGCGTGGTGGAAGCGCTTGATCAGCAGCGCCTGCACGTGTTGGAGGATGAGCCTCACGCCCGTGTTGAGCGGGACGCCTGTGCCCTCGGGCTCTGGGGAGGGCGAGCCCTCGGAGGCAGTGGCCTGGGCAGACTCTTCAGCCTTCCCGCTGGGACCCAAACAGGGGTGACGCAGGCTGACGGGCGCACTTTTCTGCAGAGGGCCACCTGGTGGGAGAGATGCAATGGAAAATATCCATGAGGTCTGGATCTCACAGTGGTTTCCCCGTCATTTAAAACAGCAACAGTAATCCTTTAAAAATCTGTTTTCTGGGCCTGGCGCTGTGACTCTGGCATAGCAGGTAAAGCCGCCGTCTGTGGTGCCAACATCCTGTGTGGGTGCCTATTCGAATCCTGGCTACTACACTTTTGATCCAGCTCTCTGCTATAGCCTGGGAAAACAGTAAATGTCCCAAGTCCTTGGGCTCCTGCATCAACATGGGAGACCCGGCAGAAGCTCCCAGCTCTTGGCTTTGGATCAGCCCAGCTCCAGCGGTTTGCAGCCATTTGGGGAGTGAACCAGCAGATAGAAGACCACCCCACCTCTGTAACTCTGTCTTTCAAATAAAATAAATATTTTAAAAAGTCTGTTTCCTAGTATAAATGATCTAGCAATCAAATCAATTGAAATCACTTAAAACGTCTCTTATTAGCATTAAAGAGAACAGAATAGTTCTAAATGCATTGATAGGGAGGGGGAGGGGCAGGGGAAGGGGAGGGGGAGAGGGAGAGGGAGAGGGAAATTAACTCAATACCAACCAAAAAAGCACAAAAGAAGCTTAGGTACAGAACATTCCGTATGATAAGATCACACTTATGTTAGAAAATCCATACATCCTACACGTATGACGTCTCCCATTCACACCCATGGTAGTGACCACGCTCCAGAAGAATGCCCACAGCTGTCCACAAGCTCAGCCTGGGGAGCTGGATAGGGGAAGAATGGGGAGGGAGACTTCAGCCTTTTATGCATTATTTCATTTTTTTAAACAAGAAATATATGAGGATATTTCAAAAAACTTGTGGAAAATGGAATGAAAAGATTATTTTGGTGCAAAAATGTTTTGAATCTATGTATAGCTTTCTCCTAATATGCATTTTCTATGAACTTTTTAAAGATCCTTCATATTCACGCATTGCCTGTGTACTTGAAAACATTAAAATCAGAGTCCACGAGGCACTTTCTGCCCCCGCAGGGGCCACTAAGCGGTCGGGAGACTAATGAACTAGGAAGCTGGAGACCTGAGTTTGAGAATGGAGTCTCGCAAATGCCTAAATTCGAGGGGGTGGCCCTTCCTGTCTGCAGCTGAGTTTTCTGGTCTGTGAAGTGAAAATGAGAGCATTTCCCAGGATTGTTCTGAGGGCTAAGTGAGGCAGCCCACGGGAATGCGCTTTCTAAACCACTGCGAGGAGTCAGCGCTGGCGGAGCTGCGGTTATGTCACTCAGCGATGCTCCTCAGCTCATCCGTGGTGGATGCCGAGGGAGGGCCCAGATGACTGCGGCCTAGGTCCCAGGAGCTTTTCTAAATTTATTTTTATTTATTTGAAAGTCAGAGAGACAGACAGACAAACCATCTGCTGGTTCCTTCCCCAAATGCCCACAACAGCCAGTGGGCCAGGTTGAAGCTAGGAGCCAGGAACTCAATCAGATCTCCCAGGGCAGTGGCGGGAAGCCAGTTACCTGAGCCACCTTCTGCCTCCCAGGGTGCACTTCAGCCATTAACAGGAAGCTGGAATGGAGTAGAGCCCAGACTCAAATGCAGACACTCCGATACGGGATACAGACATCCCAAGCTGCATCGTAACTGCTTTGCTAAATGCCAGCCCTCCCCCTTTTTATTTTAATTTATCTATGAGGTAAAGAGACAGAGAGACGAGACAGAAGACATTCTTATCCACTGGTTCACTTCCAAATGTTAGCAATGGCTGGGACTGTACCAGGCTGAAGCCAGGAACCAGGAATGCAATCCAGGTATCCCATATGGGTGGCACCTTGAGCCACCACTGCTGCCTCCCAGGGTCTGCACTGGCAGGAAGCTGGAGTCAGGAGCCAGAGCGGGGAACTGAACTCGGGCACTTAGCTATGGAATGTGGGCACACTAACTAGTGGCTTAACCACTGGGCCAGATGCTTTCCGCACTCCTCCACTGCCCCACTGCTTTCTTAACCTTCCTCAAGTCCCCCAGGACTAGGGCAGCTGTGAAAGCAGTTAGGTCAAGCTCAGTCATCCTTTCAGCTAATAACCTATGATGCGCCAGGCCTTGGATGCAGAGGCCCTGGGGCAGACAGGAGACATTCTACAGGTCTGACCACCTGGAGTGGGAGCCCCAGTTCTCCAGCCCCCTTTTCCTGATCAGGGCTCAGGGCTGATGCCTGCTGCGGCTGGGGCTGGAGCTCCTTCTGCAGGACCCCCGTTGCCTCGGCCCCTTTGCAGGCTGGCCTCACCTCCATCCTGTGCTGGTCCCACCCAGAATGCAGCCCTCTGTCTTAGCCAGTTGTGGTGGCTCCAGGCCTGTTCAGAATCAGTGGTGTGTCCTTTGCTTTCTGCTGCTCTCTAGGGGTCACTGGCAGAAATGACATTGACCTCCTTGCAAGGTGTGACCCAATGACTTGCTCTAGCCTCCTTCAGACCCTGGAGATGTTATCAGAAAATGTCATCATCTAAAATAGAGCCAGTTCAAAACACATGAGCTCAGCCCTATGCAAAATAAGAGGTAGGGGGAGTGTGGTGGAGGGTCCTGGAAACCCGTATGGTTTTAGGCAAGTCCTCCAACCTCTGGTGGAGAGCTCTTTTTCCCGAGATGGGGCAGATCCCCGCCCTGCCTGCCTCACGAGCTTACGGTGAGGATCAGACAACAGGTGTTCAGAGCTTCATAAAGCATCGCACAACTCTGAGGAAACAGACGATTTGTAAATGTTGAGATTGGAGCGTTGCTAGAGATCCCCCACTGTGTTCAGACCTGGCACTCATGAACTCATTTAATTCTCTCAGTTGCTCTAAAAGGTACAAAGAGATCAACTCAGTCAGCAAGTTCTGGGGCTTGGGTTTGACGTTGGTCTGCTTGACTCCCAGGCTCAGCCTCTACCCTGACTGTCCCCTTGAAGCATCCTGCTCTATGCCTGTGCTGACCCGACAGTCTGCCGAGGTCCACTTATTCTCTCAAGACAGCCCAATTATGAAGGAGTATTCTGTGCACAGAGAGAGTCCTCTTGAATCCGGTGGCGCTTTGGCTACATAAGTTAGCCTATTTGCATTTGGTCTTGGTTAGTGTCCGTCTCTGGCTTTGAGTGAGCCAAGTATTCGCTTTCTATGTCTGACGAGCTTTAAAGTTTGTGGGGAGCAGCTAGGACTAGACTAAGTTACTGGAATTAAGACTTATTCTATGCATCTGCTCTCCCACAATATGGCGCTGGGAGAGGAGGAAACAGCTTCTACCCAGCTGCCTCCAGTTCAACCAATAAACAGCAGGACTTGCTCCTGATTGGAGGAGAGCAGCGTACTCGGCGTGTGGGCAGCCGAGTTGGGATTGGCAGAGGAGGACTATAAAGGAGGAGAGAGACGGCATGCACGAGGAACATCTATAGGGAACATCTAAGGGAACCCGTGCAGCCCCCGAGAAGAGCCGGCCGGCGGTGTGCCGCTCCCCTGCGGAAGTGGGGAATGTTGCCAGGGGGAACTGCCCTTCCACGGAGGTGGAAGGGATAGTAGCCAACCCGGGAAGAACCAGCAGCAAACCCGGGGAGGGCCGAGCAGACGAAAGAACAGCGCAGGGTCCTGTGTTGCTCCTCCACGAAGAGGGGGAGCGACATAATGGTGCCGTGACTCGGATATGAAGCCTAGGCAGGGCTTAGTGTCGTTCCTCCACGAAGAGGGGGAGCGACAAAGTTGACCTGGGCCCTGTGTGAGTTGCTGCACCCACCCCAGACGATGGCTCCCCACCCCACACACCCTCTGGCAGGATGGCCACCTCTTTGGGGCATCACATGACCTAACCGAGGGTCTGGGGCACACTGAGCTGATGCCTGGCAGTTTTAGGCATGGCTGATAAACTTCTTGGATTGCTTAGAAGCAAGACGGAAACCATACCGAGGGGCGGTACCAGGACTCCCACAGGGAGGGACCCACTCTTTGCCCCAGAAAACACCATGCTGAGCCACACTGGGAAGCAGGAGGTGGGCAGTGGTGTGGGTGGTGTCAGGAGCACATGAGAACTGTAGCATGGCTCTTGCCTGTGACCAGCAGAGCAGTTTAGCAGTATGAATGATTGCCTCTTGTTCCATCAGAAGTGGGTCGTGGTAGGGCAGCCACGCCACCTCCCTTCTCCCCTGCGCTGCTGTCTTCCTCTCTTCCACCCCCTGCAGTCAAGTCTCAGAGGCTTGTGTGGCCTCAGCTTTGGGTGGAGATCATAGAAGGGGCTGGTTGGTGCCTAGGCTGGCACACATGGAAGAGAGACTCACCCCCAGGACCCCCGGGAGTTTCAGCCCCCATCGTTTCAAAGCCTACAGGCCACTTGATGAAGGTTCACAATGATGTGCTCTTGATTTCAAAGGGACCAGGAGACTGCAGCTGGCATCTGGGTTGGATTTACTTTCTTTCTTTCTTTTCTTTTCTTTCTTTTTTTTTTTTTCCACAGGCAGAGTGGACAGTGAGAGAGAGAGACAGAGAGAAAGGTCTTCCTTTTTGCCGTTGGTTCACCCTCCAATGGCCACGTGGCCAGTGCACCGCGCTGATCTGAAGGCAGGAGCCAGGTGCTTCTCCTGGTCTCCCATGGGGTGCAGGGCCCAAGCACCTGGGCCATCCTCCACTGCACTCCTTGGCCACAGCAGAGAGCTGGCCTGGAAGAGGGGCAACCGGGACAGAATCCGGCGCCCCGACCGGGACTAGAACCCGGTGTGCTGGCGCCGCTAGGTGGAGGATTAGCCTAGTGAGCCGCAGCGCTGGCTGGATTTACTTTCACTGTTATCTTTACTGGCTCTGCCAGTTGTCACTCCTGCAGACCGGAATGAACGAGGGGTCCTCAGTGGAAAGGACAGGAGGACAAGGGGTGGATGACGTGGCAGGAGCAAAAGACTGGGGACAAGCAGTCCTAAGGCAGGTGATCAGCCTACCACCACCAGAACCCCGATTTCTCCAGATGTTCCTACCCAGTTGTAGCCCAGCTTGCCATTCCCGGGCCATTCAAAGACACAGAGAAGGCACAGGGTGCACTCGTGCGGGTCAGCCACCCTGCAGGAGCCTATTCCCTGCTTTGGTGTGACCTGGGGGCTGGGGAAGGGGAGACGCCACCCACTCCAGCACCATACCAGCAAACAGGCCCGAATCAGCATCTTCCGTAACCTTCAGGAAAATCTGCCAGGAAATGAAAGAGAGAGAATTTGGCCTGGGCACCCCCACTCTCAGGAGAATCTAGCCCAGCTCTGTCTTGCTGGGTGCTGTTTCATAATGGGAAAAACATACCTCGTGACTCTTTATCTAAGAACATAGTCTTCTACAAAGACAAAAACGTAAGCACACGGTGACCACAGCTACGTGAAATATGCGTGCACATGGACAAAGACAGGAGGAAGTAAGCCCCAGATGGGTGCAGTGTGCTATGCCTGGGTGGGGAATGACGGCATATCACTTTATAAAACCGCACTCTACGCGTAGGGATTTGCAAGGGACCGCCTCTCCTGGCGCCTGGCCTCTGCTTTACCTCTTCCAGGGGAGTGTCAGAAATTCCAAAACTGCTGAGCCCCAGGTCAGCCAGCGTCTCCTCCAGCTCCCGGAAAAGGCTGGCGTACGCTCTCTGCTTGAAATTCTTGTTTGGAAGAAGGAAGACCAGTTCTTGCCCGATGCACTCCACCAGCGTGGCCTCTGGAACGTGGTGTTGAACCACATCCACCAGCTCGTTCACATCCCCTAGGACAAGAGGGAAGACTGATGCCCACTGTGCTCCAGACGCCGGGAGCTGGCGAGCTGGCTCAGGCGGGCCACTTTCCCCGATTCCCCCTCGAGGAAGGCGCGCTTTGTTACTCTCAGGATTGACATGTGTGCTTTTGGCTCAGCTGGCCCTGTGATGGTCCCTGACGGGTGGAAGGAGATGGAACCAAGGCTGCTCCCTGCTGTGCAGCCTCGGGGAGGCCACGTGACAGGCCTGTGTCCGTTACTTTTTATGTTCTGTCCCCTCGATCTATGTTACATTGGCCAGGTCATAGCCGGATTGCCTCATCTGCTCAAAAGGGAAAGTAACAGTACCCTCTTGCTTGTTGTTTGTGAGACCAGCTGAGTTTGCCATGCAGGAGCACAGGTGAGTGGTAGCTGCTGTCAGTAGCAAGCACCTTATCACAGGTGGGAAAGCACTTCAGCGTTGTGGGTGATTATTCTCATTCACCGCAAACCAAGGTAAGACAGGTACGTCTCTTAACTTATTAAGTGTTAAGCCAGGGGCTGGCACAGTGGGTTAAAGCCCTGGCCTGCAGTGCCGGCGTCTCCTATGGATGCTGGTTCAGGTCCCGGATGCTTCACTTTTTTTTTTTTTTTTTGGACAGGTAGAGTTATAGACAGTGAGAGAGACAGACAGAAAGGTCTTCCTTCCATTGATTCACTCCCCAAGTTGTGGCCAGTGCTGCGCCGATCTGAAGCCAGGAACCAGATGCTTCTTTCTGGTCTGCCATGCGGGTGCAGGAGCGCAAGCACTTGGGCCATCCTCCACTGCCCTCCCAGGCCACAGCAGAGAGCTGGACTGGAAGAGGAGCAACCAGGACTAGAACTCCAGCCCCTGCTCCACTTCTGATCCAGCTCCCTGCTAATGTACCTGGGAGAGCAATGGAGGATGGCCCAGGTGTTTGGGCCCCTGCACCCATGTGGGAGACCCTGAAGGAGCTCTTGGCTTCAGATTGGCTCAGCTGCAGCCATTGTGGCCTTTTGGGGAGTGAGCCAACAGATAGAAAAACTCTCTTTCTCTAACTGTGTCTTTCTGATAAATAAAATCAATCTTAAAAAATTAAGTGAAAGTTGTCCTCATTTTCCTGGTCTGGTCCCAGCTGTCAGGAATTGCCCAAGACACATACCTGTAACAGGTGGCCAAGCTGAGTGAATCACACACCCATCCCTGGTCTAACATCTCAGGAGACTGTCTCAGGATGGCACTGATGCCTCAAATGGAACAGGACTTTGTACCCAGCTCCCAGGAAATGCAGAAGGGGGTTGAGATACCACGGAAAGCACTGAGGGGTGGGCATAAGGTGTGTAGCACAGATGGTGGACAAATGTCAGGTAGCAGGTGTTTACCTGATACCCTCATGCAACTGGAATTAATTATACACATCAGAATGTGTTTGCTGGGCCAGCAGTGTGGCATAGCAGGTAAAGGCGCCGCCTGCAGTGCCGGCATTCCATGTAGGTGCAGGTTCGAATCCTGGCTGCTTCACTTCCAATCCAGCTCTCTGCTATGGCCTGGGAAAGCAGTAGAGGATGGCCCAAGTGCTTGGGCCCCTGCACCCACGTGGGAGACCCAGAAGAAGCTCCTGGCTCCTGGCTTCGGATTGGTGCAGTTCCGGCCACTGCGGCCAACTGGGGAGTGAACCAGTGGATGGAAGACCTCTCTCTCCACCTCTGCCTCTCTGAAACTGCCTTTCAAATAAATAAGTAAATCCTAAAAAAATATGTTTGCTTACAATCTGAACTCTAAATCTAAAACTAAATCCTGCACTTGCAGAGACCCTTCCCTAGAATATCACTGTGAGGAGCAGTTCGGAGGAAAGGGATTCTGGGAACTTGAAACAAAACTCTTTCGAAAGCAGTTCTCTTAGACTGAGTCGGGGTTACCACTGGATTCCTTTTGTTCTTTGTCTTGAAAAATGACCCATGTGCTGGGATTTCGTGCCTGTCCACCTCAACGCCTCGGCTTAGCTGGACTGGAACTCATGTTTTATGTCAAACCTGCAAATTGGACTCGATTGTCTTTGGTTCTGGGATGACTTCATAAAGAGGCTGGGGAGTTCTCCACATGAGGAAGCAGCTCTGCCCTAGCAGCTCTCCAGGGGTCACGTTCATTGTTCTCTTAGGAAGGAAGTGAACCCAGAGCCACTGGCTTCCCAGGAATTGTGTCTTAAATGTGTGTCAGTCTTTCCAGAAGTAGTCCTGGGGGTTAGCAGGGCTTCCAGCGCCTGGCAGGGGGGCCTAGGGGAGTGGGAGTGTGTGTGTGTGTGTGTGTGTGTGTGTGTACCACAAGCCTGCCCAGAGCTAACCGAAGAGTACAATGACCTCCCCTCCCTTACTTGGGCTGTAACCACCCACTGCACTTCCCCACCCCCCATCCACAGCACACCCATCCTACACAAAGAAAACTCTTCTTAACGGAGTGAAGTAATATTTAAGAGAGACCACAGCAGGCCTTATCTAACTTGATTTTGGTGGCCCATAGTAATTAAACATATTAGTAGGAACTTTTTTTTTTTTAAATAGAGCTTGTTAACCATGATTTCCCTAGGAGAAAAGCAGGAAGAGACCCTCAGCAAGAGAGGCAAAGGACACAAAAATGTCCTAAAAAGATGCTTTTTGCTCACTGCAGCTTCTGTCAGCGTGCACGGGTGGGGCTGTTTGCCTGTAGGTATCTATCTCCCCTCAATTTTAAGCACAGTTCATAAACTTTGTCCAGGTTTCCTGGCTTATCAGGTTTCGGTTAGCAAATGGTTCAGGTTTAGAAATGGTCTATGCTAAATAGGAAATTATTTTTTTCTTTGATAAATAGATGAGGGTACTTCAAAAATTTCCTGGGAATGGAATTAAAAGATAAGTTTATTTTGGTGCAAAAAAATGTTTGAAATCCATGCATACATGAAGTCTTCAAAAAGATTAAGGTAAATGTGCATTATGAAAAATCTATGCATGGAACTCAAAATTTTTTGAGCAGTTTTGATGAACTTTTTGAAGCATTGGCATCCTTCCCTCTCTGCTGACCAGGGTCAGTACATAAGCTTAATTTTGCTTCTCTACAGATTTACCGGGTGTGCGGAATTCTATTTACTGAAACCATGGACAGCGTACCAGGCTGGGCAGCAATGGAGAATGGAAAGAGCTGCTGGTAAGCACTCTGGGCCTCCTTCAAGCACCCCGCCTCCAGGAAGGATCACAGCAGTGAGTTGTGTTAACAGGGCAGTGTGGTATTACAGACTTGCCTTCCGCACAAGCAATGGCTGTGAAGAGCTGTGCGTTGCCACGGTTCCACCAGGGGGCGTCATGGCACATCTTTAAAAATGGCTCGCTCTCTAAGGCCGGACCCCAGGAATAGAGGCTTAGTATGAGTAGGGGCATGGAGTGACCAGGAGACTGGATTCTTCATTCAACGGAGAGGCCATGAGGTGCATGATTTTTAAAAATCCATGTGGAACTGGCAAAAAGAGGAAGAGCAGAAAGAAGCTCAAAGAAAAAGATGTGCAGTTCAGGCCTTGGGGCCCCAGGAGCTCACAGGGTGTGCTTTTTGCTCTCATTAGGATGCATCAGGACAGGACACACCCGACAATGCCAGGCCATGGTTGCCAGACAAGAGCGAGGCCTGGCCCACCCCGGTCCTCACCGTCCAAGGCTTGCTCCGAGGTCATCTCATCAGTGCGTGCTGGACACCTGCTGGAGATGCACTTGGATGCACAGCTGCAGGTCGCCTGCAACAGATGGACAGGAATGACTGACAGATCCATGTCAGTTCAGTGATTGCATCTCCCTAGTGTCCACTGCTGTCACCACTTCTCACCGCCCAGTGTGGTCACCGCATTCCTTCTTCGCTGTCTAATCTACTAAGTCATCTGTGCCTCTGAGGGTGTAACCACTTGACTTGATCCTAGAGAGTGTGTGAGTCAGGCACAGAGAGAGCCATAACCTCAAAAATCCCTTTGGCTTGTCGTTAATCACGAGACAGCTGTGGGTCCTGCCTGTGCGAGGCTCCATGCTCCTCTCCCTCCGCCCTCCCCAAGGACGCACACGGAGCTGTGGAAATACCTGCTGGGGACAGGCACCTCCACCAGAGGCGGAGAGAAAGCTGAGGGCCGCGCTCGTGACAGTCTGGCCGTGAGCAGCGCTGGCTCTCAGGCTCTCAGCGGGGCTGGAGCACATTCGCAATACATAAGGCCATGTGGCCTCTCCCTGTGCCTAAGGAGCAGAAGCCAGGACGGCTGGCTTGCTATTCCATGTGGGGGGAATCCAACAATGAGAATCAGGTGATTCGCCTAGGGTGGCACTGTTTGTCCACTGCAAAGCCTAGACAGGAACCCGAGCCTCCCGGCTTGCCGAGTGGTCCCTGCTGCTTGGTACATTCTGGCTTTTTTTTTTTTTTTTTTTTTGACAGGCAGAGTTAGACAGTGAGAGGGAGAGAGACGGAGAGAAAGGTCTTCCTTTTCCATTGGTTCACCCCCCAAATGGGTGCTACGGCTGGTGTGCTGCACCGATTCAAAGCCAGGAGCCAGGTGCTTCCTCCTGGTCTCCCATGTGGGTGCAGGGCCTAGGCACTTGGGCCATCCTCCACTGCACTCCTGGGCCACAGCAGAGAGCTGGCCTGGAAGAGGAGCAACCGGGACAGAATCCAGTGCCCCAACCGGGACTAGAACCTGGGGTGCTGGCGCTGCAGGCGGAGGATTAGCCTAGTGAGCTGTGGCGCCGGCCATACATTCTGGCTTTGTCAGTTGTTGGGGACAGCTCCCTAGCAGGTTTTTCCTCTGCCTTCATTGACCACTGGAACTCAGGGTTAGTCTGGGAACACGAATGCAGGCATGAAATAGTGGATGCCTTAGTCCTCTTCAAGGAGTCTAACCTTGCAGAGTGAGTCACTTATTTCTAGGTGGCACCAGTGACACCACACACGTGATTTGGGATACTGGCGTGTAATAATCTCAGGTCCTCTAAAACTAGCTGTCTCACTTTGGGTACAGCATCTCTGCAGCAGGGTTTGGAACGTGTGGACTGACAATGTCTGCGGACGGTGTCAGAGACAAAGCCAGGGCTGATGGTCAGAGCAGCCCCGCCTCCCTGCTCGCACGCACCTCACAGCCTCCTCCTTGGCTCTGGATGTTTCTCATCTTGCGCACCAAGGTCAAGTAGAAGCCCGTGCCAAAGCAGTTCTTCAGGAAGAGGGGGGTGCCCGAGCAGTAGAGCCTTCCCTGGGAGATGATGGCGATGCGGTCCCCGAGCAGGTCAGCCTCGTCCATGTGGTGAGTGGACATGATGATGGTTCTGCCTGTGGGCATGGGGGAGGAGGCATCACCGGGCAGAGCCTGGGCTAGGGGTGGTTGGTACACGATGCTCAGCTATGCAGTCACAAAAACGGGGGCTTAATAAAGAGAAAACGGGGGAGGAGGGGCTGATTCTGCAGGATGGCCCTGCGGAATGTTAGGATTGTGACAAGAACCACAGAGCGCTGTCACCCACACCGAGCACAGGCTCTGATTCAAACGGACCGCCACAGGGGGGACCCATCTGTTAGTCAGCGGCTACTGAGCTCCATATATGCCGTGTGCTCTCTGGATCACTAAGCACTGCGTTTACGATATTTGTAAAGAACAAGCACGCACGACGCACACGCTTGCTCTCATGGCCTGGAGACGTCAGAAGACGACAGCAATGAGGAGTTGTGATGGCGATGGGATGCTGAGCAGCAGGGGGAGGGGAAGGGTCCAGCTGGACCACGGGGCTGGGCCGCACTCCCGCACGGGCACTCTGAGCTCTGCCTGCTGCTCCGCCTCTGTCTGGGAGGTGCCATGAAAGAGAACGCCCATTCTGGGACATTCCCCTCTGCAGCGGTGCTGAGACAGTGGTCCCATGGCCACCCCGCAGCCGTTAAGTGGCTCAGGATGGGTGTAGCTGACTTGGGTCCCTGCAGTCAAAAGGAAATTTCTCCTAGAGCTGCACCCCTTGCTCCACACAGGGGCGCTGCAGGTTGATAGAACTTTCGGGGATTCTTTGGGTGGGGGGCTGACCCTTCAGTGACTCCATGATCAGATTTGTATGAACCACTTTGGAGCTTGCACTCAAGCTTAGAGTCACGGATGAAGGCCCCGCTGAGTGTGGTTGTGCAAAGTGCCAGGCATGACAGTGGGGCCCACGAAGAAGCCTGCGTGCGAGCACAGGGCCTGAGCCATGGCTGTTACTACCTGGGCGGTACTTCAGGAGCAGGTCCCAGATGGAGCGTCTGGAGTAGGGATCCACCCCCGAGGTGGGTTCATCCAGGACGACCACCTTGGCCTCTCCCACAAACGCGATGGCGACCGACAGCTTCCTCTGCATGCCGCCTGGAAGCACAGAGAAGCTGGGGGTTACAGGGCTGCGGGGGACAGGACAGAGGAAGGCCTGGGGCCGGCAGCAGAAGTGGGGGGCCTCCAATCTGGAGCACCCAGGCTGCCACCTTCAAAGCTGATGTGGTGTTCGAAGCTCTAGCGGTGGACAGGCCTCGCAACACAGCAAAGGCGACGCTTGCCTCCTGGGACCCGGCCATTTGAAGGTCTTTGAATCTGAACACACAGACATCGGCACACGTGAGCCCAGGCTGCTGCAGGACAGAGCCGCGTGTTGGACATGGCCCCGGGGTGGGCAGCTCCTAGAGCCTCGGAATAACCTCCCGGAGAGTTCCCGCTGCTGGGAGCCCTCCGTTACCAGCCTCCCCCTGCCTCCCGGGGCACAGGAAAGACCTGGTGTGTCATCCGCAGCCCAGTGCCAAGCACCTGAGAGATCCTGAGCTTCCTCGTTCCTCTTGTGGTGGAGGCCCGTGTCCTCCAGCATGGCTTCCATCTCCAGCTGGGCCTCCTCCCAGGACCTCCCTTTCAGCTGGGCGTAGAACAGGATGTGCTCTGCCACCGTGAGGCTGCGGGGGCAGGACAAGGAGGGCGAGGGCTCAGCAATGCCACCGCCAGCAGCTCACCTCCCGGACTAGAGAGGAGAACTAGCATTTTAGTGACCAGGATCCACGTGGTGTTGGTTATGACACAGAACAAACAACGGACCCTGACTAAATACCTAGCAAGAAGCCATGGCTATGGAGTTCGCTCATACAGTGGAATAATCCGCAATCAATCAAAATATCTTATGGAAGAATATGTAATGACGTGATAGCAACTAAAAATAGCAGGTAACACATTTATATGCATAGTTTTATTCTCCTTTGTAGTTTAAAAATATGTCTGCCTATACATGTATAGGAGAAAGTCCCCAAAAGGATACTAGATGTTAATGGTGGTTATCTCCGGCTGGTGAAATCGCAGGTGACTTTTACTCCTTGTTTATCTATATTTCCTCCTTCCCTCACTCCCCCTTTCTTCTCAGTGACTATACATAGATTTTCTCAATAAGAAGAAAAAATTTTAATGGGGAAAAAAAGAACTGAAAAGCTTTCGGGTCTTCAGCCTGGGACTTCCGGGGAAAGCACACGATGGTCTGCATGTCTGGTCCCCGACAGGAAGCGTTTCGGGGCCGAGCACAGGAATCAGGGCACGGCTACTGGGGGGGGGGGGAGCCGGCATCACTCTCTGAGGCAGGGGCCCTCAGCTCTGAGCCCCAGAGCCACAGTTCTCAGTGCAGGCAGAACCAAGGGCTTTGACCACGGGGGACCCAAACAGGCACATCCCTGCCTGGGTCCAGACCCAACGCCCCGGCTGGGCCGCGGAGGACATGCGTGTTGGGGCCGTCTCGGCTCCTGTTTTACTCACTGGTGGAAGAGGATGTTGTGCTGGGGGCACATGCCGAGGCTCCGCCGGATGGCATCCAGGCTGGTTTCAATGTCCTTTCCTCCGATGAGCACTGTGCCTGCTGTCGGCGGCAACAGACCCGTTAGGATGGACCTGCCAAATCCAAGGGTGGTGGCGAGGAGACATCAGTGCATTGAGGTTGATGAAGACACCTGCGGGGACGCCTGCCAGTGGCTCTGAATCAAATCCAGGCCATCACGAGCGACGGGGACCCCCAGTTTCCCACGCAGGGCTTAGCCACTGGATGTCCACCCAGGCCCTGATACAGAGGACCACATCTGTTTTCCTTCTCTGCTTCTGTTTAACTCCCAGGGGTCCCAGGCAGGTGCCAAGAGGCCTCTGCGGTCCCCAGCTTCAGAACTGGTGGCCCCCCACTCGTCCATCCCAGTGCCTGCGACCAGAGGCGCCACCGCGTGGCTCAGTGCCATGCCTGCTAGGTGAGCAGTTGTGGGTGCTGAAAAGCCAGAGGCTGCCACGCCAAAGCCGCAGGGCGAGGTCCCGGTGGTGGCAGTGAGAAGCACAACCAGTCATTCATTGTGCATTTATTGACTGATTGCAGAAGGCGGGGCAGTTACCACTGCCACCATCAGTGGATCCAAAGCCCAGGAGCTCCACCAGCTCCATCGGGCTTCTTTTGCTAAAGAGGAGCGAGTGACTGCTGCCTCCTTGGGTTGCTCAGAGGACTAAACGAGGGGCAAGAGGTAGAACACTTAGAACAGCAGCAGCCTGAAGTTAAACTCGAACACCCGTGCCACTCTTATTAGACCTGGTGCTTCCATCCCCCAGGGGAAGGTGCATTTCAGCAGTCGAGGAAGTGCTGGGTTTGCCCCTGGGGAGCCTGGGTCCTGGGTGGAGGCTGAACGAGGAGAGAGATCCCTTGGCTCTAGAGCTGCCACGCCCCGCTCTGTCCCTGAGTTCCCCTACTATCTCCAGCTCTCCAGACTTGGACTCAGAAACTGAAACCCCTGTCCATCAGCCACTAGAGGGAAACAGAACCAAATGCAATGGCACCAGCCCCACATTCCATTAGCGCAGAACCCCGCCCGAGTGCATTCCAGAGCAGGGTGGACACTGCTGTTCCTTCCTGGGGCTCTGCAAGAAGCCAGAGGCCTGGGAGGCGGGATCACTGTGGCGGCTGTCTCCCAGGGGCTCCTCATCTGCCTTTCCCAGGGAAAACCTGATGCTCAGGGCCCCTCGGAGAAGCCGGGGAGCCTTCTGGCCTGAGAGGTCCCTGCTGTTACCTCACAGGCCCCTCTGGACTCTGCCTGTTTTTTATTTTCTCCCTAACCCTGAGCAAGCCTCCCTACGAGCCCCAGGTTGAAGCTGAAGTCTGTCAAATCATTGGTAGCAGAAGCAATGCCCACTGGTATTAAGTAGTGTCCTGCAGATCCCGCATGGGGCGGGTAGGGGGACGGGCAGGGGGAGGGGTGATGGCCGTGACCGTGTCACCACCACATGTGACAGAAACACTGGAGAGGCTGGGGATCAGGTAAGGGACTCAAGCGTTGGAAACAAGAGGCAATGTTGGTGGGAGGACCTGGCTCTTGAGCCACTGAACCGTTAAATTTGGTGGACTCGGGAAAGTCACTTCAACTCTTGTAGTGTCCATACAAAGGGGCAATAAACTTGCTCCATCTTCCTCTTGGACTTCTTCAATTTTATGATTTACTGATTTATATATTTTAAAGGCTGTGTGTGTGTGTGTGTGTGTGTGTATGAGAGAGTGTGAGAGCGAGAGAGAGAGCACTTTCAATTACTGTTTCGGCCCCAAATGCCTACAATAGCCAGGGCTGGGCCAGGTTGAAGCTAGGAGCCCAGAGTCTCCCACCTGGGTTGCAGGAACCAAGTACTCGGGCCTTCATCTGCTGCCTCCCAGAGTGCACATTAGCAGGGAGCTGGATCAGAAGCAGAGGCGGGATTCAAACCCAGGCACTCCACTATGGACTGCTGTCATTGCAAGCAGGGTGGCTTCTCCCTCTGCCACAAGCCACCCCACCCACCAGGCTTCTGGGGAGGATGAAATACAACAATATATGTGAGGGAGTTTTATGAATTCTCGGAACCCCAAATACAGAGTGTATTTTTTTGGCACAAAAATTCATGGGCAAGCGTGGACTGTGGCCAACAGAGAAGGAACGAAGCCGGAGAGCGACGGGTAGCAGGGCTGTGACCCAGCCTCCCCGGCAGGGCACTCACAGGGTGGTGGTCTTCCCGGCGCCGTTGTGACCAAGGAAGGCGGTGATCTGGTTCTCATAGAAGGTAATGTTAAGGTGGTCCACGGCCGGCCGGCCAAAGGGCTCAAAAATCTTCACCAGATTCTTCACACATACCCCAGGAACCAACCCCGGGAGTTCACGTTCAAAGAAGGAGTCTTGGAGAAAAAGAACAATGAATATGGTATAAACACGAGGCCATCACGGACACTGTCCCCATTGTTTTGAAACCATGTCTTCTGCCTGTCCTTTTTCCTGCCGCTATGGCCTCAGCCATGACCATTGCAAGGAAAACCTCAGAACAGTAGTGATGATGATAGCATCAAACATTTATTTAGCACTTACTATGCACCATGCACCGTTTCTAGTGCCTTCCATGCATTATCCCCTTGCACCCTGCTAACAGCTCTGTGGGACTGATATTACAGCCACTTCTCCAGATAGCATACCTAAAACACAGACATCACTCAAGTGTCCTATCCAGGTGACGCAGCTCCTGAGTGGCAGCACTGGGATTCGAACCCTGAGCACACACTCATCAGAGTGCACTCAGTGTCTGTGGGGAGCCAGCCCTACGCCGGCCTCCAGCGGGATGCTGGGGATTCTCATGCACTGATGCTAGCAGTCCAGCCCCTCCCCTTCCCCAAACCGCCTTTTCCTTCAGTGCCCTGGAGCCCATACCTGGCACCACCATTCTCCTCCCAGTCGTCTTGGCTCAGGTCTGGGTCAACTTCCACTGAAATGGACTTCTCGCCCCCCAGGACCCGAGTTTCCCAGTGAACTGGTGGGTAGGACAGTCCCTTCTTCCTCATCACTGACTCTCAAAACCCCCACGCTCGCTGCAGAGCAGACCCTCAGTGCGTACATGGTGTCTCTCCGGCCCCCAGTCTCTCCCTGTTTCCAATTGTGCTGCAGGGCACAACTTTGTCACCTCAATATGGCAGTTATGAGCAACTGACCGCTGTGCATGTTTGTGTGTGTGTGTGTGTGTGTGTGTGTGATTCCTTTGTTGCTTCCCGTGTGCCTCCTGGCCTTGCCTGTGGCTGACGTGGGGCCGGTTCCCAGGCCCCAGGTTGCAGCCCTGTCACTCTCCTTGTGGAGGAGTGGCTTCCAGAGGCACCTGCTGCGGGCAAACTGGCTCTGTGAGGAGCTTTCTGGAATGGCACAGCCTCTCACGCAAGGTCAAGTCCAGAGACCATGTGCCTCTCTCAACCTGAAGCCTTTTGGTGTCCTCAGAGCAAAGCATAGGCTTAGGGACTGAACAACCTTGTGAGACAGAATCAGTTCCAGAGTTAAGGGCAAGGCAGGAAAGGCCCGGGGAACAGCCCTTGTGGGCCTGGTCCGTCAGCTCGGGAATGAGGAGGTAACTTCCACCGTCAGGAAAACCTTCCGCTGATCCCAATGAATGGGCTGCAGGATTCGTAACCCAGGAGCGAAGGCTCGGCAGCTCCCCTTGTACACAGAAGCATTTATTTTTGTCTTTCCTTGCAGCTCATATCCGCTTTCTGTCCCAGTGACCCCAGTTATTGTTCTTGCTAAATCCTCGGAAGTCAGCACGTTTGTGTGACTCGCTGGGGATTTGCCTAACAAGGGCACAAACCCACCACATGCTCCAGGAAATATGTGTTCACGTCTGGCCTGGGCCCTTCAGTCTGCACACGTGCAGCCGGACCCTGGCGGAAGGCTCGGGCTTAGCGCTGCCCACAGTCCCTCCTCCACCCTTGGCCTGAGCGGGTTGGCCCTGGCCCTTGTGGGAGGAGGGGGTCAGGCTTTCCTCCTTGCCTCTGCTTGTGTTTTTTATTGGGGTTTTACCGTTTGTTCCTCCGGGGTGTTCCGGGTCCTCCATCTCCTCTGTTATGGGCTCAGTCTTTTCCAGGGCCCGTTCTTCTCTGGTTGAACACCCTGCACCAACCAGAAGCCAATGTTACTCTCGGGTGACTGCTGAGAACCCAAGAAGGCAGGGGAGGAGGGGAGAAGGAGGGTGGCTGAGGAGTCTCCCACTGCCACAGGAAGACAGGAGGCCGAGTCCATGTCTCCCGTGAGCCCAGCCCCATGCAGGGACCCCTCCCAGCCTCTGACCTGCAAGAGGTGGGGAAGCACTCTGGCCCTGACTGTGCAATCTTTGCCCAACCCAGAAGGAGTTTTGTTAACACGAGCTTGAGGCCAAGAGTTTCACCTCATTCTCTTCACGTGCCAGGAGGGGCCCACAATGTCAGACATTGTGATTTGAAAAGAACGGACAAAACTCAGATTGGATTTGAAGGGAGTTCATTTTCTTCGGCCCATCACCAGTGCTATTCACCCCAGTTCCAAGCACGTCAAGGTCACGGTGAACCTTGACTGCAAGTCTGTTCGAGGTGCCATGATGGGCAGCCAGCTTCAATTACAACTGGAGAAACAGCTCACCCGCAAGGTACACCACATGGGCATTCAGCTGTCTCGGGATAAATGGTGAGGTGGGTGTACGAGCCTGGATAAACTGTGGCATGTGGCATGAAACCATCACACACACACACACACACACACGCATGCACAGTTTGGTTGGAAAGGCCTCCAGGACATCCTGGAAGGGGAAGAGGAGCAGAAGGACCAGGCGGCCAGAGAGGAAGCAGGGGCAGGAGGAAGCCACTGTCGCCCAGCCTCTCAAGGCTCGGGTCTCACGTGCACCTGTGTAAGCAGGACCAGATTTCTTAATGCAGCAGCCACCAGGGCCTCTCTGCCCTCTCCTGAATTGCAGGAAGTGCAATGGGCCTGCTGGTCAGGGAGGTGCCCCCTTCAGCATGTCTGCCTCCGCTCGCCCTCAACTCCTCTGCCTGCCTGGCTAGCTATCATCCTGCACACGTGTGTAATAAAACAGCAAGGGGAAACAGCCTTCTAAATAGCTTCGTCACTGCAAGTGAGCGGCTCCCCAGGAAATGAGTCCAAGTCCCAGGTTTTATCCTGAGAACCTGCACAAGACCCTGACACCTCCTGGGCTCCCCCTCTCCCTCCGTGAAAGCAGGGGGCAAGGCAGAGAGACTCAGCTCTTCGCAGATTTCAGAGCATTTCAGGAATCATTTTTGGTCTAGCCTGTGAGACAGGTGAAAAGCATTTGGCTGATGCCCTCAGCAGTATCTGGATTCACATTGGAAGAAGCACATTTCTTTAGCCTACTTTATTTTCTTGAAATGCTGAGTATCAGTTGAGATTGGAGGGCGTAGGGGAAATGCCCACAAGGCCCCAGAGTTTTTGACTGTTGAAATGTTCCCAGAACACACTCCTGGGTTGAAAATTCCCATTGATGGTGGGATGATAACTGTATTGTGTTGTAATTTAGAAGTTAATAGATACCATGGACAAACTAATATAATGGAAAACACTGAACTGTTGAAGGGCTGTTTGTTTGAACCATCAAAAACAAAACAAAACAAAACAAAACAACCTGCCCAAGCCCTTTAAAACCCAAGACTAATCCGCTGGAGAAAACAAACAGCTATGTCAGGGTTTAAAGGCTAAATCCCGGCCCGGGCCCAAGGATGTGAAGCAAGGAGCAGGTGGTGAGCGATGCATCGCAAAGTGTTTCCTTTGGTTCCAAAGTCTCTAGTTCCAAGGCAGCCCCCGGGTCTCAGCTCCTCCTCAGATCTCACAAGAGTGTGCGCCCCTCCTCACCCCTTGTAAGACTTTGCCCAGGCCTCCTGTGTTGTTCAGCAGGAGAGTAAACTTGATTTAAGATGTACTGTGGGCCAATGGCCTCTTAGCCTTTGCCTGGTCGCCAGAAGGAGCACCACTTGGACAGCCTGCAAGTATTTGCCTTGAAGGTCAACAGATCTGCCCCAGGCTCTGGATGAGTCTTTGTCTTGGGGGAATGAACGAGTTTTTATTTCAAAAAGGTGGACAGGAATCCGAAAGCAGGAGGGGAGGCAGCAGAGTCTGAATGCAACGTGTCCCTCATAACACCCCCAATCTCAGCTTTAATCTGAGAAGTTGCAAAAATCCTTTGAACCCCAAAGTGGTTTGGCTTTGTACAAATAGGGCAATTTAAGCCAATGGGACAAGTCGTACAGGACCCAAGAATCTATCCATTCTCATTTACTTTAGCCAAGAGATTCATGAATGGTAGGCTCCCAGCATGGCAGTGGCGGAACCTCCAGGAGGCAGCCGACTGATCAAGAATGATGTCCTTGAGGCGAAGGGCCATGGCCACAAGCACACATAACTTGCACCTGACCCCAGCAGCCGGATTCAGATATTAAGGCTTAAGTTTTAAATGACTCACCTTCACCACCGAGCCAGTAAGACTCTTGTAGGAGGAAGTACCAAGGAAGTGGGGTTCCGTGGTCCCCTAAAAACAAGCAAATAAAGAGAAAAGTCCAGGTAGTCTCCCTGTCTCATCCTATCAGAGTTCTCTAAGACCTAGAACCTGTTTATCTAAATCTCAAATTGTAACTATCGATTTTACACTTCCCAGACCACCAGGAGGCCATAAAGACCACTCTTTCCAACCTGTTTTAATCCAAAAGGTCATGTTTTTCGGGTGTTACCAGCAATACTAAGACTGACGATCTTGGTTGACATCAGTGTTTTCCAAGAAAATATTTTATTAAAGAATTAAATCATGTCCTTTTTCAGCTCTTGCCAGATAATGATAACAGGGATAATCGCTAACATTTGTTGGATGCTCTTCCCATGTGTTAAATGCCTTAGTCCTCAAAACAACCCCAGGAAATAGGTTGTAAACTTGTTCTTGCAAAGCAAGAAACCAAGGTGCAGCCGAGTTTGAGCCATCTGTCCCAGGCCACAGCTGATTGCAGAGGCACACGGGAATTCTAGCTCAGGGAATGTGGGTCTCAGGTCACTGTTCTTAAACCTCCCACCCCAGTTCTACTGGATCCATCTGGGTTTCAAAAAAAAAAAAAAAAATTCTCTTTGCAAGTCTTGCTGCCTACAAAACGTTGGTTTCCTGAACATACCATCTTTGCTTTTCAAATAGCTGTTGTCACGTGTCTCAGTGGCCTTTGTGGGTCTATCTTTTCCATCCCTCTGTACCCAGAACCTGGCCCTGCTGAGCCTCGCCCATAGGGCTGCTCAGTGAACAGTTGTTGAGCAATGAAAGTCAACTAGGCTAAAAGAAAGCTCTTGAATTATGCACAAGTTTTAATTTGAGTCCAGCTTTCACTTATTGTATCTCCTTCCAGTGGCCCAGTTGGAGACCTGATTATAAAAACCCTGGGACGACAAGATTTGGAAAACTTTGGGTTGGTGAGCTGTCACAGGACAAGCAGGCTGCTGGTGGAAGCAGGGACCACTCAAAGATGGGGCTCCTCCAGCTCTGAGGAAATGCTAATCTTCAGGAAAATCTGATTTTCTGCAGGGCAAATACACAACTGCACAGCAGCCAGTTTTGATCTAGGAGCTTCTTTTCTATGCTGCAGATTGGTGAGATATTTACTCAGTGCCCACCAACTGTCAGGCACTATTCTGGGCACCGAAACTACCACAGTGAGTGAAGCAGACCAGACGCCTGCTCCCATGGCTCCGCTGCTGAGGGTAGAGGCAATGGACACCACAGAAAGATCCATCAGGTCAGGTGGTGACGAGAGTCTCCAGAACGTGAGGAGGAGGCAGCACGAGGCTCTGCAGCAATGGGTATCGAGACCTCTTCCTTCTGGAAAGATTCCAGTGATAAGACAGAGACTCCAAAGAGGGAGAAAGCAAGCCTGCAGGTATGTGGGGTGGGGTGGGTGCGCAACAGGCCTCTGTGAGAAGAGCAGGTGCAGAGGCCCTGAGGCGGGAATGTGCTGGGGGGAGGGGTTGCGTAGTTAGTGAGGAGGCTGATGTGGCTGGAGCAGAGAAACATGGAGCAGAGGAACAGTCGGAGGCCAGATAATGAGGCATCCCTCAGGCCAGGGCTGGGCCACTGCTTTTCACTCTGAATGAGAAGAAAAGTCAACTGGCGGGGTTGGCACGGAGAGGGCTGCTGCCGCGTGACTTGGATTCTGGAAGGATCGCTCTGAATACAGTGTGGGCAGCAGACTGTTGGAGGTGATAGTACAAGATACAGGATTGTCTGGGTAGTGCAGTTGACAAAGGATCAGACTGTAGATCTGTTTCTAAAGCAGAGCCAGTAGGATTTGGTGGTGGATTTTTGACTTCTACATTTGAATTTCAAATGTTAGTTCTGAGAAACAAAATTCAAAGAGCACAGAAGGGACACACTCGATGCTAGATGAAGGCGGACGTGGTGGCAGATCTGAAGATCCAGATCACCGTGACTCTACGGAGGGAGACACTGACCTGGGAACACCTGGTCCAGGTACCAGGCAAGCAAGCCGTAGAGAGCAGCATCAAAGAGCATCATCTTCATGGACAGCAGGAAGCTGAATTCATCCCCTTCCATGGGGCTGTTGCCAATGTTGCTCCACTGTAGCCCCAGGCCTTGCTCTTCAAAGCGAACCAGGTACTCAGTGCCAAACCCAAAGGCTACAGGAGACAGCAGGCTCTGCAGTGGGGCAGGCAGAGCACAGAAGCTAAGCATAAGGTCTTTTAGCCACCCAACAGCACCCAGACGCTCACAGTGAGGGAGGAGGGCCAGAAGTCCATGTTTCAGCTGAGCATAAGGCAGAGTTCCCACAGGAAGAGAATTCTGGGAATGCTTCTCAGGTCCCAGGGACCTCTGCCCAACACCCATGGGGCTACCCCTCACCTGTTAGATGGAACGTAGCTGAGCTATAGGGTAAAGGGGAAGACAAACAGCACCCAGCATTGCACACCAGAGGCCCAAAGGTGCTCTCGTTCCCTCTGCTACCTCTTTTGCAAGAGCATAGCTGACTTGAGCTGCTGTGTGACACTCTTACTGGAAGGGTCCAGTCTTCAGGTTTCCAGGGCAGGCCAGGGGGTGGGCTTGTGACCTCCTGAGGTCTATCAGAGAAAAGCCTCCCCATCGCCAGACTGGGGACTATTCCTTTCTTAGGATCTCTGTATGGAGAACAAGTCAACTGAGCACGAAGATGCAGGGTGGGAGGTCTGAAGGGGACGTTTCCCAACCAAGGCACAAAACCAAAGGCAGGGGGATTTGCTGATCCCATTTCCTCTGAGCAGAGGTCCCTGCGGTTGGGAGGGCCCTGGGGGGATGCCAGAGAGTCTTTCTGCAAAGGGCAGGGCTCCTCTTACTACACATTTACAAACACTGCTACAGAAACCCCAGTCCAGCTCTGGTCCTTGCCATTGCCAGACCCATAGCTTCGCAGATCTACACACCCAAGATGCTAGCCGAAGGCTTCCAAGCAGTGTCTGTTTACCCAGTGACTACCAAAATAGCCCAGTTCTGCCCACAGGCTGAGTCACAGGACTTCTCACTACCAGCCACTGTGAACATCTTTGAAAACTGGGAGCTATAAATGGCTGCAATTAATTTCTTACTTAGCAGGAGAAACAAAAGGATATGCCCTGGCAGCTCTAGAGTCAAGTACGCTGGAGCCGTGAGAACAAGTTAGACTTTACATCTTGCCCAGCCAGGGGCCAGCATCATCCTTTCTTGTCCCTACGGCACAGAGACAGGGAAATTCTGGACGACATGGAGAACTGTACCCTCCAGGGCCCGAGGCTGATTTGCCTGGGCTAATGAGAGCAGAAATAACCCATTTGAAAAGGATGAGGAGGAAAAAAAAAAAAAAAAGACAGTGCTGTTAGTTTGGGCATCATGAACCAGGAGGTTTTTCTGGCAATCAAAAGTCAAGCTCTGGAGTCCTCTCCCGGGGAGGAGTGGTGGACTCTGCATGGGCTTAGCCTGCTGGCTTTCTCGGTGCACCAGCAGGCCATATCAAAAGCCCATGTACAGCAAGTCCAATTCCAGTGCTTTTAGCGCATAACAAACATTTTTAACTCATGGATGCATGTTTCTGGACAGGCAGTAAGGGGCAAGCTCCTCCTTTCTGATTCTTTTCAAATAGCAGGGAAAGAAAAGCCAGTGACATGGGTCCAGCTTGTTCTTCTCTTGTGGATAAGCCCAGGGGCCCCCGAGCTGACCAGTTTTCCAGGGACTTCCCAGGGCAGGAAAACGGAGCAGGTGTGGTGTGGAGTGACTGCTCGGTTGCTCAAGGTGAGAACACTCCCTCTCTTGCCCTTGCACCTCTTAACCTTACATTAAGCTTTGAACCTTGTGTCCTTTTGCATCCAAAGGCAGAGCAGACGCCCTGAGAGGGTGGCTGGGCTTCAGGACTGCCTCAGACGCCCAAGAGGAACCGCGCCACAGGCTGGCCCGAGTCCAGCGCCCCTCACCGCAGCCTTCTTCAGCTCGGCAGTCAGCCGGTCCTGCCAGGCGAAGCACAGGATGTGGGGCAGGTAGAGCGTGAAGTAGATGACGCCGCTGCAGGCTGCTGCCAGGCTGGCTTTGGAGAAGAAGGTGCTGAGCAGGAAGCACTGCATGATGGTGGCCGTGGAGAAAGCCAACAGGAACAGGAACAGGATGAACGGATCGCTGTAGTGGAGGATTCTCCCATGCTGGAAGCAGAGACCGCGTCAGCAATCCCCACCCGGGTCCAGGGCACCACCCTCCACGGGGGTGACCCCTGCATCATGACACGGGGCCCCCCGAAGCCCTCTGCCTTGGGAGGGTCTCTCCCACCAGCCCCTTATTAGTGCCTGGATTCCACAGCGCAGACTCGAGGTGCTGAGCTCCTTCAATCCAATGCACGCCATTTTCCCTGGGAGGGACAACACCTCATGTTGCTTACCAGTCATTAGCCATGGAAAAGAAAATTAATTGGGGGGAGGGGAGTTTGGCACAGTGATTAAGACACTGCTTGAGATGCCTACATCGTATATCAGAGTGCCTGGGTTTGAGTCCTGGCTCCTCTCCTGATTCCAGCTTCCTGCTAATGTGCACCCTGGGAGGCAACAGGTGATGGCCCATGGACTTGGCTCCTTGCCTTCTATGTGGGAGACCCAGTTAAGTTTTCAACTCCTGACTTTACCTGGCCCAGTTCTGGCTGTTGCAGGCATTTAGGGGGTGAACCATCAGACGACAGATTTCTTTGTCTGCCTCTGTCTTTCTATGTCTCTCTGCCTTTCATAGAAGTAAAAAAAAGTTAGTAAAGAATGAATTAGGAGACCGTTAGGCCTAGAGGCCCCAACATTCTGGGTTTCCGCATAAGCAAACTAAAGCCCAATCCAGTAACTTAATCAGAAGCCATAACTAACCGTGAACCAGGGACTTCCCCTTCCACCAAATATTTCTTTGTCTTTGCTTCCGTGTCCCCTTCAGTGGAGACTTCAGAGCCCTCAAGCAGTTGTGGTCTGGAACTGCCCAATTCATAAACTGCTGTTCACACAAATCAGCTCACTAAAATTTTAAAGGATGGAACTGGAGGACATCATCATGTTGCATGAAATAAGCCAGATACAGAAAGATAAAAAACATGTCCTCTCTTATATGTGGGAGTTAACATTCAAAAAACCTTAAAAAAAAAAAAACCTGAAAAAACAACCCCAATCTGAAACAGAATATCAATTACTGGAGTATGGAAGGAATAAAAAAGAGTTTAGATTAAAAAAAAAAATAGGGGAAGCTGGATGTGGTACATTAATTGTGGCAAAGATACTAATATGAGGTGTTAATAATAGAAGTGCGGTAAGGGGTATATGGGAACTCTGTATTACTACCTCACAAGTAAATTTAGAACTGAGATAAAATGTTAAAAAAATTTGATGTGCCTAGATTTATTTTGTAACAGTCATTATTTATGTGAAGTGAGCTGGGCCTTGGTAAGAGGGTGATAGTGCTGAGAATATACCGAGAGCCTGGAAGGAAGCCTTGAGCAGGGATCACGGAGCATCAATAGCACCGAGCGGATGAGGGACGGGAAAGGGGTCGGGAGCTGTTCACAGGTCAGCACTGTGCCTAGGGCCTGGCCTTCCGACGCCACCATTCACATTTGTATTCCAAGACAGGTCACTCACACAGATGAGTAACAGGAATTAATCCAAATCACTTGGAAGTGGATGGATCTTCCCTGTCCATGAACATTGTATATATAAATATCATAGAACCTGCAGGCAACACTCTGCATCTGTCACAACAAGGGGAGTAGCCTTGGCTAGGTGGAAAACAGGGCCACGCTAGCAATTTGTGCTCAGCAAGCTACTGCCCAAGTATACTCTAGGATACACTGAGATGTTCAAATGTATGAGATCTTCTTAGGTCTCCTCTACCACAGGCATGTGATGAGTTGTACCCTTTAAACACATTTTTAAAAACAGATCATCCCATGCTTCCCTCAGGAACATAAGAGGACAAACAGGCTCATTTCACGAATAGGTTCCTCTCCACAGAAAAGAAACCAATTAGCAGTATCTGTGATGAGCCTGCAAGAGGTTAGCAGAGCAAATGTGCCATCTCTCATGCCTGCCGGGCCTGGACAGATGTAGAAACAAAGCGACAAAGCAGCATGGAAGAGACCCTGCTTAGCTAAAGTCAAAATTAAGACTTGGTGTTCCTGATTTTTTGTGACAATAAGTACTCTGTATCACCTTGGAGAGCCTCAGATCTCCTTAATCATGTGCAATTCCATAAAAACAAATCCCTGGCTGAACCTGTGACTTTTGGCTGGAGGACCTTGAAGATAGTTATTGTTATTTGAAGAATGCTGTTAGGGCTGGCATTTTGTGGCAGAGCAGAGAAAGCCACCACCTGCAACATTGGCATCCCATAAGGGTGCTGGTTTGAGTCCCAACTACTCCACTTCTGATCCAGCTCCCTGCTAATGGCCTGGGAAAGCAGCAAAAGATGGCCCAAGTGCTTGGGCCCGTGCACCCATGTCAGAAATCTGGAAGAAGCTCCTGGCTCCTGGCTTCAATCTGGCCCAGCCTTGGCCATTGCGGCCATTTGGGAAATGAACCAGTGGAAAAAAGATCTATCTCTTTCTGCCTCTCCCTCTATCTCTGTAACTCTGCCTTTCAAATAAAATAAAATAAATCTTAAGCAAGCAAACAAACAAACACAAAAGAATGAAGTCGATTTCTTATCCCAGATCAAAGCAAAGTTCTCCAAACTTCTAAAGTCACTTGACAGACCCTACAATTCCACTGGCCTTGACTTCCACTAACGAATACTTTTCTTTTTTGTTCCTGAGCACTTAAATAACAGTGGAACCTTCCCATTGTCCCTGTTTCCAGCTTCTTTCCTGCAAAGTTGTGGGGGGAGGAAGGGACAGGGGAAAGATGGGAGAGTCATTCAAAGGAAAACTCTATTTTGGTGTGGCGAGCTCTGTTTCCGTCATCACTGGAACAATGTTCTGGTTCCCACAAGGATAAATCCTTTTAAGCAAGAAACCCTTGGTGAACCCGCTTCGCCTCACATCCTAAAGCTTTGAAGTGCTAATGGCTCATGCTCAGAAAGGCAGATCTCACTCACTCGGCAGCACCAAGTGAGACAGAGTCTCAGGGTATGTCAGAGGCTTATGCGTTCTGACGCCTTCAATTTTGAGGACACAAGAGATGTCGGTACCGGGAAAGCAGCAAACGGAGGTGGGAGGGAACAACGGGCCTCTGGAGAAGCAAAAAGGGCTCAGCTCCTCCCCTCGTCTCCACACAGCTTTGGTGCCCTTTGCAAATTTGAAGCCTTATCCAGGTGGGCGCAGGTTGTCTGACCAGAATGACCTCTGAGTCAGCATTGTTTTTGATAGGGCTCCAGAACCGGGTGTGGCCATGGCCACAGCTCACTGGATCACAGTGCAACATCTGAAAACGTACCCTTCTGACTTAGGACTTTACTGCAACGAGAAGGGGCGAGAGTTGATTTAACTGGATGTACGCTGGGACAGCCTTGGTTTAGGTAGGCAGCAGGTGCGGTCTGGCATGAGAAGGGGGCCGCTCATTCAGCCTGTGGGTCACCACAAGTGCTGCCTGGTGCTAAGAGGGACTTAATATGGTGGCGGTGAAGAAGTACAACAAGCTTTAGGAGACCATACTGGGAGCCTGCAAAGACTGAAGTCTGAAGATTATACCAAATTCCACCCAATAAAACATTACAACTAGCCAAGTGTATGTCCTTATCATTCAACAAATACAAACTGTCATCTACTGAGGAGGAGCTTACAATGAAAAATAGCAGTGTACTGTGAAATGATGCTTTATGTCAGTCTAGCTCACAAGAGAGCTGCAAGCTTGTAGTGGATGAACTGATGCAGTCTACATGCGGCTGTAAAAATTCCTTATCTCTGAGCAAGGATGCACTCCAAATTCCAGCCTCAAAAACACAGAGGTCTTGGAGACTTCATAGGCAGCAGCTTTGTGGTGAAGCCATGAATGGTGTGACCATGACACAATGATTAAACAGTTCAAGTCTTCTCTCCTAATACCACTGCCAAGGGCTCTGCACATTCCAACCCTGGCCAGCTATTGGAAAGGTAATCCCAGGAAAATACTCCCTGAGCCCGTTCCTTCTGTGTTTGGAGAGAGAGGACACCTTTGAAGACACACTCACCCTGTGCTGGGCTCTGCTAATCCCAGCTTCTCCAGATAGTCACGGAATGGGGCTGGAAAAATCCACGTAAACTGTCAACATGTGGTTGGGGGTGAGGGGGATGCTAGTGGCTCCTCGGGCAAGGAGATCTTGCCTTTCTGCATGTCTTCCATCTTGGCAGAAAGGGTGGGGAAGCTAGAGGTCATGTCCTCTTGGGTGGCCAGATGACTCATTCAGGCACAAGTTCATTCCCAGGAGGGAAGGTAGGGGGAACAAAATTATTCGATATTTTCTGGGCCTTCTCCGGGTGGCTTACCATGATGAATAGCGTCAGGAGGAAGATGCTCATTGACATGATGGAGAAGCTGTCCAGGAACCAGGTACACCAAATCACTGCATTGGAGACGCCCTGATTTTTCAAGGTCTCCTTCAGTCTCAACTCCTTTTCCAAGACAATGCCCTTTACCGTCATGGAGACTGAGTAAATCCATGCCAGCACCATGAAGATAGGGAAACAGCGGTTCAGGATGATCATAAAACTGAAGCAAGAGGAGAAAAGCAGAACAATAGAGTGCCCTGTACCTGGTGGAAGCAGATAATGCTTGTCAGATACCTGTGTTGAGAACAGAACCCAGATGGAGGGAAAGGCAAAACAGGTGAACCTTCATTGGGCAATGCAATAGGATGGAATCTCCAATTCAGTCCACGTTTGCCCAGAAGGATTACTTTGCCTTTTAAAGCAAGATGGTGGCCTTCTGGTGAGTCCAGATGAATGCTTTGTAAGTAAAACGTTTAAATAAAATCATACCATCTATGTCACATATTCTAGACTTTCCCTGTTAGACCCTGTGGGGGAGAGACTGCAAAGCTGATGCTGTGGGAACTGACCAGGAAGGATACAAGCCTTGCACCAACACTGATGTCCAAGAGGGCAGAGCACAGACAAGAGGGCCTGCCGGTAGTGGGATCAATAATTAGGCTCCCCAAGGGCGGGTCAGCCTGCCTAGTACTAACTGCCCAGAAAAGTCAGACTCAAGCTAGGACGGAAAAGGCAGTCTATGGAGCTTTCAGAAGGCACCTGACCTCCCAATAAATCAGTCCAATGGCCACTGACTCCGCTAGCCATGAGCGGATGGAGTCGATTCTTAGCTACTGCAGCAAGCAGCACAGATTTGCTATCTTGGAATTACATGGTGGTGGACCTTACACATTTTCCCTGATGTGCCAGCAAGTCCCTCGGGGGGTTATTATCTATTGAAAACTGCGGTGTGTAGCTACAGCAGGAGCCCAATTCCAAAGTGGGAGGGTTTCACTCAAGATGGCCCTAGGAACAGAACCACACATCCATAAAGCATGCACTTCAGGGACTGGCCACCAGAGGACTCTCTCACACTGAATGACCTCAGTCCCTGCGGCTTCCCCACATCCACACCAGCTCCCCACGGTCCCTCCCACTCTGAGCCTAACAGTGGACCTGAGCTTTGGCCACTGGCTCCAGTGCCCATGCCCTGCCTGTTGTCCAAACTAAACTAGCTGCAGAGCACCACTGTTAGCACTTTGCTCTTCTGCTGCGGGACTGGAGAGTCGAGAGAGGGCTTCCTGTGTCCATCCCGGGTTTTATTTGACTTTGCAGCTGGCAGCTGCCCTCGCCTTTCTTCAGGCTGTGCGTGTTTCTGAGCCCCCTGAACTCCACAGACACACACGTATGCTGTGGTAAACGTACCAGTTTTTTGTTTATTTATTTTTTTCCCTAGCAATTGGGTACCTGGGCTGATTGTAGGTCTCTACTACCTGGGAGTGTTTCCAACCCACGCTGGCCCGGTAAATGAGCCCTTCCAGCCCCCTCTCCCTTTCTGTCCCTCAAATCCACGTTCAGCCAAGACAGCGACTTGCTCAGCAAGTTGCTACTGGCCAACAGATGTCCAGGCTGGGCATGAGGGTGGTCAAGAAGGAAAAGCGAGCTCACCCAACACATTCCTCCACCTTTTCATTAAGCACGCATCATGGGAATGCTAATTAGGAAGCAGACACATTACTCTGCAACTCCTAGGAACCAGACCTACTTGCCATGCAGAATCCAAATGTGCTGATTTGGCAATCATTGGGCAAACTCTCTCACCAGAGCCCTTCCACATACCAAACACATTACGTAGTGGGAAACTGCACTAGACCTCATCCCCTCCCCCACCCTCACTTCCCTTGCTCTAATTTTCACCTTTGCTTTGCCACCTGCTCTCTTCTTTCTCCCTGCCCTTCCCTTCTCTTTGGCGCCTGCTGGAAGTTGGCAGAAGCAGGCTCTTCCGTGAGAATGTCACCGACCCTGGTCTGGCCCTGGTCACTCGGGTTCTCTCCAAAGATGCTCAAGCCTGGAGAGCTCCCGCTGCCTCCACCCTGGGATTAGCTCTTGGGGGGGGGGGTGCCTCAGGACTCACGAGTCATCCACGAAGCAGGGGTAAGGCATCTGCTGCAGGTAGATCCCAAGTGGAGCTCCAGCGGGGACCTGGCTCCTTGTGATTCCCTGTTCAACCATGTCCTGCAGATAGGCAAAGCCTCCCCAGATGTACCGCAAATCTTCCACAGGATCAGCCCTGGGGCCAGAATCCCAGTACCTAAGAGGACAGGAGGGAGGAAGGCAGGATGTGAATGGGCATGCACCTTCCCGGTTTATGTCTGTTCCCAATGGTAGCCACACATGACTCCAAAATGGCTTTCCCTCCAAGACTCTACTTGGAGTTTTACAAAAATACCTTATTTTCTCTTATATAACTTGATTTGATTGATTTGTAGGCTGAGTCCAGTCTCAATACTCGCTCTCTGCCAACTGTCATTTCCCACTGCCTTTGGAGAAAGCCAGCGAGTTCTGCCCGGAACATCACCTGTCTTTGATCTTATTGGTTTTCTCCACCACATCAATGTCCATCCGGATCTTGTACTTGATGTGGGGTGGCAGGGAGCTGGTCCAGGGATACATGTCCGGGAACACCACGCCAGCCCAGAACCTGTTCTCCTCCAGCAGAGACAGGGCCCGTTGGGTGAGCTGAACTTCATTGTCGTAGCTTTCAAACTTGTCCAGGACCAAGCACTGCAGATAAGCACAGAGGTTGGGGAGAGATGAGGAGCCCCAGCTGCAAAGATTCAGCTGCCCCAAATGGCAGAGGACAAGAGCTGATCCCCAGGAGACGAGTCAAAGGCAAAGAGACCTATAAACCCGGTGTTTGCTTAACTCCAGAGTCTGGTGTTAATTTTTCAATGTGTCCAGAGGTAGGGGCGCAAGGGGGCTCAGAAATGCTGACTCGCTCTCATCCCTGCAGAGTGAGCGGGGAACCGCACTTTGCAGCTGGCCAGGGCTGTCCAAACATGCGAGTCCTCAAAATGACACAAATACTCAGCGGCTCTCACTCCCCAGCGTGGGGAGGTGAGGGAGTGGGGTCACGTTGGATACAGGCTACTTTGAAGATCAGAAAGCCTGACAATAAAAGAGTTTTAAAGCGAGTGAGAGAGAGAGAGAGAGACATTCCTGGTGTGGAACTTTCCTGGCCCTCTCTGGCTCACGAGAGCGGCCAGTGGAGGGAAGAGCAGGGAGGAAGAAAGCAAACAAGAGCCAGCCAACATGGTTTAGTCAGAGAGCTCATTTCCAGTCACAGTTTTATGACAAGTCATTCTGGAAGAGAAAGAACTTCCCTAATAAGAGAGAGATTCTTGCCTCCTCTGGGAAGAGAAGAAAGCATCACTAACAAAAAAGCCAAACCAAGAGCTCTTTTTCACTTGCATTTGAGGGGGTGTCCACTTGCACAGATGTGTGAACGCGTTTCTATTCTGCTTGTGCGTGTGCCTTCCCTCGACCTCTGCTCCTGCCGGGGGCCAGGGGTACGCGTGTGCCGGTGTTTCTTTCTTTTTTCTTTTTTCGACAGGCAGAGTGGACAGTGAGAGAGAGAGACAGAGAGAAAGGTCTTCCTTTGCCGTTGGTTCACCCTCCCTCCAATGGCCGCCGCGGCCGGCGCACTGCGGCCGGCGTAACGCGTTGATCCGATGGCAGGAGCCAGGTGCTTCTCCTGGTCTCCCATGGGGTGCAGGGCCCAAACACTTGGGCCATCCTCCACTGCACTCCCGGACCACAGCAGAGAGCTGGCCTGGAAGAAGGGCAACCGGGACAGAATCCGGCGCCCCGACCGGGACTAGAACCCAGTGTGCCGGTGCCGCTAGGTGGAGGATTAGCCTAGTGAGCCGCGGCGCCGGCCCGGTGTTTCTTTCTTAGAATGTAACTCACAAGAGGTCAGATGGCCTTGCCTCCGCTCATTGGTTCACCCAATACTGGCAGCCTGCGAGGTGCCAGAGCCTGCTCAGCTCTGGAATACAAGGAAGGAAGAGAAAATCTCTCCCTCAAAGAAACTCAAGGCCTAGTGAGGGAGAGGGCTGGAGTCAACCACCAATCCATGGCCAAAGGAGCAGGTGCGAATGAAAGCAAGCCTCTTGTACTCTGGAGCCCAGTGGAAAGACACAGCTAAGTCTACCAGGGGAGGAAGAGACTCCTGGGTAGAAGAGAGACAAGCAGGAGTTAGCTGAAGGGAGGAAAGAGAAGGGAAACCTAGCTGGGGCACAAGGCGCAGCAGGTGGGATGCCTGGGCCTGCAGGAATGCAGCAGTGCCTGCCATCCTTGGCTGGGCGTTAGAGACAGCTGCACCTGGCCCCACCCTGTATCATCACATCAGAATCTCGAGAGGCAGGGCCAGGGCATCAGCACTTTGTAGCTATCTTCTGGGTCGTGGCAAGGCACAGAGAAGGGAGTAGGGTGGGCAGAGGTGAGTGGTGGAGACCAGACCATTGGTGCTGCTGGACTTAGCAGCATGGTCAACCAAGTAGGGGCCTCAGGGGGTTTGGTGCTGAAAATGGGATTGTGAGCCAACGCTCCAAAGCCAAAAGGGCCACTGCAGGGTTTTAGGCAGGAGTGGGACACACAGGATGAGTGCGATTCTACAAGATCACTAGAGAAGGCAAAAGGGGATGTGGGGAATTGGGCTATTGATGAAATGTAGGCTTCAAGCAACAAACTACTTCAACCAGAGCCTTGGGAGTGGCTGGAACCTCATCTTACTGAGGAGGACCCTGAACTGGGGGAGGAGACGGTCTGAGTCGTCCACACAGGGAGTGGGAGAGTCTGGATCTCTTACCCCTTTCTGACTGCAGGCCCGGGATCCTTGCCCGACGCCAGGAGCCAGGGCACAGCCTGCTGTGCAGGCACAGGGCGGGCCACGTGCTCACAGCCTGCACAAGCAGCAGATCCTTATGGCGCAGCCCCGGAGGCCGGTGGAACCCGCGTGACCCCCCTGCTTGTGTGATTCTACAGCAGTCACTGGCAGAAATGAAGACACAACCACGGCCGGCCCGTGCAGACCCCACTGCGGAGCCAAGGGGCCTGGCGCCGGCACGAGGCGGGTGAAGCATCGCCCTCCCAGGAACCCCTCACTTCCGAATCCCTCCACAGGGACCGGGGTGTGCGTGCGTGCGCGCAGGCCGCTTAGGTGGGAGGGGCTGCAAACCCACACGAGGCTATCCGGCCGCAGCTCCCCACGCACGGTTCTCGGTCTCGTAGGTGGAAGGAAGGAGCTGGCGCCACAGCCGCTGAGGCGAGGGCACGCAGTTATGCAGGAAGAACTGCGGGGCCCAGGCTTAAAGGCCAGCATGCGCAGAAGAGAATCATTCTATCGGGAAACTGGACTGGTATTTCTTCAACAAATAGCAGCGCGTGTAGTCGCACGTCTCAGGGTTAAGGGAGACAGAGAGCTTGCTTTAGTCGGCTGTCTCTCCCAAACAGGCACGGCCCGGCCTGACCCCGGCCAATCCGTAAATCAGATGGACTTAAGCAGGTCACGCCCCAAAGGTTCTCGTGAACTGTTTGTTTCTTCTGGACAGAAATGAAAAGCTGTATTATTTTGTAAACAGGGTTTTGTTTGGTTTGGTGTGGTGGGGATCTAATATCCAACCTCTCCCCACCATCCCAGATCAAGGGCCTGGCTCCAGTGTTTGCCAGGATTCGATCTGATGACACTGCCGTGGGGACAGGAGGCTGCTGGCCTGCTGCTGGGGGCACGGAGGCTTCCAAAGGGAACTGCTTGGCTACGTTACAAAAATCCACATTTGGGACCTGCGCTGTGGTGCAGTGGGTTAGTGCCCTGGCCTGAGGTGACAGCATCCCATTCGGGCGCCAGTTCAAGGCCAGCTGCTCCACTTCTGATCCAGCTCTCTGCTATGGCCCGGGAGGGCAGTGGAGGATGGCCCAAGTCCTTGGGCCCCTGCACCCACGTGGGAGACCTGGAAGAAGCTCCTGGCTTCTGGCTTCGGATGGGTGCAGCTCCGGCCGATGCAGCCGTCTGGAGAGTGAAGATCTCTCTCTCTCTCTCTCTCTGCCTCTCCTTCTCTGTGTAACTCTTTCAGGTAAATAAATAAATCTTTAAAAAAATCCACATTTACATTTGCTTCATGGAAACCTAGATGTTGTACAAAGAGGAGTAATAAGACACTAATCTTGTTTTTATCAGTTAACCAGCTTAGAACTGCAGGCATCGACTTCAGTACTGGCAATGAGTGGATCTGAAATCAAGCTGATCAAAGTTCTCCTTTGTACTTCTTGTTGGGACATACACACAGACAGTTCTGCTAACTTGCTCAGAGTCCTGGGCGTTTGGACACAGTCTTAGAGATCTTGTCTGATGTCCTTGCCTTCCTGGTGAAGAAACTGGGATGAGAGGAGCAAAGGGCCCTGCCCGCTGTCAGCGTAGGTCAGAGGCAGAGGCTGCAGCCTATCTTTCGAGGGGGATGCTGTTCCCGGTGAGCGCCCCGAGAGAGCACCACGTGCCCGCCACAGAGTCGGCACAGCATGCCTGAACGAGCATGACCCAGAGCAGCATCGCCCAGAACAGCTTGCGTCAGTGACGGGGTTGCTCTGTATCTGCCCTGGTCAATATGGCAGTCCGCTCAAGGGTACTTCAAGAAGCTTGTGGGAAAATGGAATTAAAAGGAAAGTTTAGGGGCAAGCTTTCAATGCTGCAGTTAAGTCACCACTTGGGACACTCATATTCTATATTAGAGCACTTGATTTGAAGCCTGGCTTTTTTTTTTTTTTTTTTTTTTTTTGTGACAGGCAGAGTGGACAGCGAGAGAGAGAGAGACAGAGAGAAAGGTCGTCCTTTTCCGTTGGTTCACCCTCCAATGGCCGCCGAGGCCGGCGCATCGCGCTGATCTGAAGCCAGGAGCCAGGTGCTTCTCCTGGTCTCCCATGCAGGTGCAGGGCCCAAGGACTTGGGCCATCCTCCACTGCACTCCCGGGCCACAGCAGAGAGCTGGACTGGAAGAGGGGCAACCGGGACAGAATCCGGCGCCCTGACCCGGACTAGAACACGGTGTGCCGGTGCCGCAAAGTGGAGGATTAGCCTATTGAGCCACAGCGCCGGCTCTCTCATTCTTTTTAAAAGATTTGTTTATTTATTTATTTGAAAGGCAGAATTACAGAGAGGCAGAGACAGAGAGAGTCTTCCATTTGATTGTTCACTCCCCAGTTGGCAGTGATGGCTGGAGCTGTGCCAATCCAAAACCAGGAGCCAGGAGCTTCTTCCGGGTCTCCCATGTGTGTACAGGCCCAAGTGCCTTGGCCATCTTCTACTGCTTTCCCAGGCCACAGCAGAGAGCTGGATAGGAAGAGGAGCAGCCAGGACTCGAACCAGCGCCTATGCCACAGCACCAGCCCCTCCTCTGATTCTGATTCAGCTTCCTGATAATGAGCACCCGAGGTTACAGCAGATGATGGCTCAAGTGCTTGGGTCCCTGCCACCCATGTGGGAGTGCCTGATTGCGGTCTGGGCTCCTGGCTTCAGTCTGGCCCAGCCCTGGCTGTTGTAGACATTTAGGGATTGAACTGTGACTGGAAGATCTCTGTCTCTGCCTGTCAAATAAAATGAAAACAAATGCATTAGCAGCACTGTGGCGTAGTGGGTTAAAGCCCCGGCCTGCAGCGCCTGCATTCTATTTGGGCGTCGCTTTGAGTCCCAGCTGCTCCACTTCCAATCCAGCTTCCTGCTCATCCACCTGGGAAAGCAGTGGAGGATGACCCAAGTCCTTAGACCCCTGCACCCATGTGGGAGACCCAGAAGCACTGGCTCCTGGCTTTGGATTGGCCCATCTCAGGCTGCGGTGGCCAGATGGGGAATGAACCAGCAGATGGAAGACCTCTCTCTGTCTCTACCTCTCTCTGTAACTCTTTCAAATAAACAAAATAAATCTTTAAAAAGAAAAGAAATGCATTAAATTTTTTAAAAGGTAAATTTGTTTTGGTGCAAAAAAAAACCTTAAACCTATGCATAGTTGTTTCATAACATGAATTTTCCATGAACGTTTTGAAGAACTCTCATACACATGGGTTTCAAACCATCTCACATTGAAATCAGCTCATGATTCCATTATTCACAAACTATTTGAAATCCCTTGTATGTGGCTATTGAGCACTTGAAATGTGGCTTAACGTGATGTACTGTGTATGCCCCGGAACAGTACTTTCTTGTATTGGGACCTCAGCAAGTGTTTACTGGGTTGGATTGACTGAAATTTAGGAGTCCCAAATGCTGCAGGGAGGATAGCTTTACCACTGCACGTTTTGAACATGCTCCTGTGTATCCGAGCCACGTGATGACCTAAGAGCAATCTGACAAAAGTGACTTTTTGCTGTGAGAGAGAGAGCTTGAAACAAACAAACAAAAAGCTAATGACAGCAAACACATTTGAATAAGGCGAGTTTCAGAGCTGCAAGCTCCTTCTCTTTGAACTCTCCTTTCTGGGAAGTCTGCGCTGGAATAAAGGGCTGATTTTTCAGTGCTGACCGCTGTGATGACGTGGGCTCCATCCTGGCTGATTTATCAGGCAGCTGATTCATAATCACGCTTCCTGATGCACCCCCCCTCCCCAGCTTGCTACCCTGACAATGAAGAAAAAAACACTTAAAACGTTCCCGAGCATTCACTTCTACCCTGCAGCATCTGACCTGCTTTCAAAGTTGTTCCCTGTCCCTCCTCGTGGGAAGCCATGGAGCCGAATGTTTCAGAGTCACGCAGACCTGCACGCCTGCAGGTCCCCTACTCGCGAAAACAAGGGTGCTCTACCTCGCAGGTTTGTTCTCAGAAACACAGGAGACAGCACGCGGGAAGTACGCACCAAGTCCTCCCTCTAACAGTGAGAGCTGGTGCTCACCGAAGCCCCACTGTGTGCTGCACACTGGTCCAAGGTCTTTACGAACCCCTGGCATCTTCACAGCAGCCATAGATCAGCTACTGAGATCACTCACAAGGCACATGAAGGAAGGCAAACTTCCTCTGCAGAGAGTATGCGCTTTTAACCACTCTACTACGCTAAAAACTCTCCTAAATAACAGGGACTCGGTGAGTACTATTTTTATTACTGCCTTTGCCAAAATATGTTGAAAGTTAACAGCGTCAAAGTGACTTTTAAGCTCCTGCCACGTTACTTTTATTCACAACAGCTGTTTCTGAAGGGAGGCAGTTATTTTCTTTAAACAAAAGGTCTGGGAACACAGCCCATCTTGGGCTGATCCACAGCACCCCATCTGGTTACAACAGTGCTGTGGACAGAAGCCAGAGCCCACGTCCACCTGAGCCACAGGGTTTGTGACCACAGGTCCTCACTCGTGGTGTCTACTAGTTGCTCACTGGCTGTCAGGGAGGGAAAGGTAGGCAGAGGCAGGTCTTACTGAGCTAACCCAGAATGTCTTCCTCACCAAAGCTCCCCGCGCTCAAGGCAGAGCAACGTGGAAGCTGCTTTGGCCATGAGTCAGAGTCCCTGGGTCGTCCTCTGAGGTCTGTCTGAGTCACCGTGCAGCCCTGCATGCTCTCGGGGAGGCCACCTGCCCCACAGCGAATGACCTCATTCCCTCTTGGTTGTTCTGATTCCTCAAGTTAAACTCTTGGCTCATGGGCATACACATGAGGGCGAGTGTGTGTGTGTGTGTGGGTTTGGGAGGCAGCAATGACTGATGTTTGATCTGATAGGCGTGTCAGCTAGGACACAATAGCTTCTGATGAGCCTGAGGCCCTGAAGTCTATCTATAGAGAGCCATCTGGTTTTACACGGAAAGAAACTACAATCCTGAATGCTACAGAAGAAAACAGGGAGAGGGGCCGGCACTGTGGTGTAGAGGGTAAAGCCACTGCCTGTGGTGTGGGCATCCCCTATGGGCACTGGTTCTAGTCTTGGTTGCTCCACTTCCAATCCAGCTCTCTGCTATGGCCTCGGAAAGCAGTAGAAGATGGCCCAAGTCCTTGCGTCCCTGCACCTGCATGAGAGACCCAGAGGAAGCTCCTGGCTCCTGGTTTCAGATTGGCACAGCTCTAGTCATTGTGGCCAATGGGGAAGTGAAACAATGGATGGAAGATATCTCTCTCTCTCTCTCTCTCTGACTCTCCTTCTGTCTTGAAATAAAATAAATAAATCTTAAAAAGAAGACAGGGAGAAAGGAACTGGCCAGCATATGTGGCTCAACATAAATCCAGCACCACTACTGGGAAAAGAATTCAAAGAGCATCTTCAGCAAATGAAAAAAGACAGTGTCTTAGGCCCTTGGAGGCAGATTCTGGGCAAAGACTACAGCCAGAGTTGAGAGCTTCAATGAGAACCATTACCGTGCTCTCTGCCAGCCAACAGCACTAAAGCAACACACGAGGTATCCCAGCCCCGTTCAGTTCCCCACCGCTGCAACCAGACCTGTGCGGCAGGGCCACCTCTGCTGGAAGTCCACACCATCCTACAGCTCAGGAAGTGGTTCGTTCTGGCGGAAGAGGGGTCAAGGGCCCTGGAGAACGCAGCCATCTGTTGACACAGCTAAAGCAAGCGCCACCTTGGGAGGAGAAGCCATAGCGACAGCAGGCTTCCTTCTCCAACTGTGATCTCTCTGTGTCCAACCCAAACACGGTGAGTAATAGAGACATTAAATTATCTCTCAGGTGGGACATGATGTCCAGTGGAGACCAAGAAATAAAGAAAATCTGTGTTTTTGTTGGAACTCGATAAGCACAGGGGGCTGGCACCCTGTGCGGATGCCGTGGCACAAGCAGGCGTGTTTTGATTAGTACACCTGGGTTGGGACAGGGATAAGGCCTTCCAGGAGCGGGTAGGGCGGCCCCTCGTTCCATGATCTTGCCTCTCTCGCGCATCTTTAACTTTCGAACTCAGGCTGAGAATAGAGCGGCTGGGGAATGCCAGGGGAGGCTTCCAGCGGTCCTGCCCGTGTTAATACAGACACCTGGGGTTACTTTTGAAAAGTGCCAGCAAACGTGGGCACTCATCCCAGAATGAATTTCCTGGCCGATGGAAGCTGTAACATTTACGATTTATTTCCCACTACATGGAAAATGCCACTGGATAGAATAGCCCTGGGCTGCTTGGGTTGGTTGGGATGGTGAGGTAGAGGCCAGAGGCACTGCAGTAAATTTTGTCATGCACGTTGGGCCTGGTGAACAGGCATCTGAAACATTCACCCACAGAGCGCAAGGAAACACGCCTGGCTGGAAAACAAAGCGACAGGAAGTGCACAGCTGTTTAAAAAATGTGTGTTTCTAAAATAAATAAATTAAATGCAAGAATGAAACAAGTTAAAAGGTCAAGTTGGAGTACAAAGATGCTGGCTGGAGCTGGTCACCCAGGCCATCATCTCCCGGCTGACAGGTGGTGGGCCCTTCAGCTCTCAAAGTTTCTGTTTTCTCAAAGTTTTTTTTTTTTTTTGATACTATTTGTCTTAAAGGATTATTTATTGAAAGGCAGAGTTAGAGAGAGTGAGAGACAGAAAGAAAGAGAGAGAGAGAGAGAGAGAGAGAACAAGCAGGCTTCCATCTTGCCAGTTCACTCCCCAAAAGATCACAATGGCCAGGGCTAGGCCAGGCTGAAGCCAGGAGCCAGGAACTCCATCTAGGCCTCCCATGTGGCTGCAGGGGACCGAAGACTTGAGTCATCCTCTGCTGCTTTCCCAAGCGCATTAGCAGGGAAGGGAGCAGGATTGGAAGTGGAGCTGCCGGGACTTGAACTGGTATCCATGTGAGATACTGTCATTCAAGGCAGCGGCTTAATCTACTGCACCACAACATTGGCCCCTCAAAGTTTCTTATGTAATGGTTCCACCAACTCCAGGAGGTGGATGCTCCTCTATTCAAAACATTCAAGAGTCCCCAGAACTGGGCACCGAACAATCAGACCACATTCCAGTCAGGAACAGCTAGAACGGCCGGCTCAGCCACACCCTTTTTTATTTTTTATTTTATTTTTTTTTGACAGGCAGAGTGGACAGTGAGAGAGAGAGAGAGAAAAGTCTTCCTTTACCGTTGGTTCACCCTCCAATGGCTGCCGCGGCCGGCGCACCGCGCTGATCCGATGGCAGGAGCCAGGAGCCAGGTGCTTTTCCTGGTCTCCCATGGGGTGCAGGGCCCAAGCACCTGGGCCATCCTCCACTGCACTCCCTGGCCACAGCAGAGGGCTGGCCTGGAAGAGGGGCAACCGGGACAGAATCCGGCGCCCAACCCAGTGTGCTGGTGCTGCAGGCGGAAGATAAGCCTAGTAAGCCGCGGCGCCGGCCCTCAGCCACACCCTTGATAGCGCCTCTGCGAGCAGGGGTCATGCTCCTGTTTCAGGCAGTGGGACAGGGATGTGGGCCTGGCCACAGAGCCCATACACAGGGGCTGGAGAGGGTGTCCTGTCACCCACAGGCTGCAGCGTCCACGAGCCACACTGCCCTGCCACTACAGCCCCGGCTCTGCCCGGAACAGCTGCCTCTCTTGAACTTGTCCCACAGGTTCCCAGCTCTGCACTTGGCCGGGCTCTTCCTTCTGTCCGAAACAGACACTCCGCCTTTCTGAGATGGCAGTGCTGACCTTAAGACCCACACGAATGTTATTTTCAGTTTTAGTTTGGCATTGATGACTGTCTACTTTGTGCTGCTGAGCTTGTCGGGAAGTGAATAAAATAAACAGGACAGTCCTGAGGTCCCGAGGGGCTCAGGCTTGCGGAGATGGGGAGGCAGAGGAGCTGAGGAGGATCCAGAGCTCCGTGGAAGCCGAGGAGTGCATAAGTGCAGGCTGGAACCGCAGGGGCGTGGGGCCAGGAAGGGGAAGGCTCAACTTCCCCCGGGTGGGAGCCTGAGGCAGAAACACAGACCGTGGCGGGGTTGTGAAGAGGTGAGGCTGGAAGGGACGTGGTTCCCGAGTCAGGAGGAGCTGCTGGCGAGCCTGGGTCTCAGGAAGCTCTCGCTGCAGGCCCCGTGGGAGCTGTGCAGGGGAGAGTGGAGGAGGCCAGGCAAGCAGCTGGGAAGACGGCAGAGGCCCTGCACAGGGAGGCAGAGGCACAAACGCGTGTGGACAGAACTCAGGGCATAATGGACAGCACTTGGAAGATGGATGATGGCTGATGTTTTGAATTTGGGTTTGTGCCACCTGTTTCTACCCCATCGTGTCCAACCTATCAACCCACCCCGTGAGGTTGCACGGCTGTGGCCTTACTGAAGCCCTGCCACGGTCCCCATAGAGCATGAGCTTCTAGGCGGAGGGGATGAGCGCACTTGTGGGGTAGTGCGTGGTTCAGGGCGTGCAAGTGCCTGAGGGACTGAATGACCTCCAATCTGTCTGGTTTTCTCCCCTCATCCAGTTACTTTCAAGCAGAGAAGACCCCCCTCTCCCCCATAATAGTGCCTATTATCCTGAATATTGCAAAATAATTGCTGTCTTCATCGGGCTCATTACGTAATTTATCCAAACAATGCTCACGGAGCCCCCTGTTAACGTGCCCTCATCCCAGGAGAGCTTTCTTGTTGGAGCCAGGCGGATCCGCATTAGCGCTCTGGCCCCCCTACCCACCAGCTGTGGAACATTGGGCAATCGGCCTCTTTGAGGCTGTGCTTTGAATTCTCTAAAATGACAGCAATTATGCCCACCGGGCAGGCAGTGAGGAGTGCGGCATGAGGTGGCATGCAGAAATGCCCAAGACGGTGTCTGACTCACGGCATGCTCTCCACCTGCCCCGTCCCTCCATCCGCGACCCCGGCACCCCCCTGCCTGCGTTCTCCTTCCTCAGCCCAGTTCTGAGTCTCTGAGAGACCGGAGGCTGCGACCCATTAGTTGCCTAGGGTTTAGTTCGTGGCCCTTGAAATACTACTTCTCCCCTGTGCAGACTTCTATACTCCTCTGAACTCCCCTGATTTCTCGCTAGCCTCCCAATGCTTGTTTAGTCAGTTAAGAGCAGGGCAGCTGACCACTGCTGAATCTCAAGCGCCTCCTGTGACCAGCGGCTTTATCTTCCTAACCTTAGTCTCACTTTGGCCAGCCTGAAAAATGCACTGTGTGGGCACCTTCCAGTTGGACCGTGGTGGCATGTGGCCAGCAGTGTGCATGGGACAGAGGAAAAAAGGTCCCCGGACTCCAGCTCCTGAGGCTCATGAACAAGAGAGTCCCCACGCAGAGAAGACAGTGCGCAGACACACTGCTGTGGTGCCGGCAGGAGAGCGGGGAATGAATGCATGACTTTTTTTTTTTCAAGACTTAGAGAAAGGCAGTTGCACAGCTAAAGTACAATTATATGCCTTGATCGGAAGCATTTTTCAAATTAAAATTTGGCTGGATACAGCTTCCTGATATGAAATTCAAGACCTGAAATGCAAATATATTATGAAACTAAAACACACTGTGAACTCCAGACAGCATTTCACCCGGGCCAGGCCTAATCTTTGGCTACACGAAGAAATCAAAGGGGAAGAGTGTGCATGTTTGTTTCCATGCAAGTGTAATCAGAGAAATAAGTGTTTAAGTTTTCTAATCGTGCTTTTCTCCACAAGCGAAATCTGTGTGAAAACAGACATTCCAGCTTAAGGTGTTGACCTGGGAGGGTGCTTCAAAAAAGTGCGTGGAAAATGAAATTAAACATTTCTTTTGGTCCAAAAAAATCCTGAAATCAGTGCCTAGTTTTTTCCATAATGCACATTCCCAAGGACTTCAGAAGACCCTCTAGATATGATTTTAATTTTTTTCTGCACCAAAAATAATTTATCTTTCAATTCCAGTTTTCCACACACTTCTGGAAGAGCCCAGGTGTATGAGGTCTCATTCGCCCTCCACCTCCTCAGCTCTGGAGAAGGGACCGAGCAGAGAGGAGACAGTCTGAGGACAAGAAGGTCCTGAACCACTGTGGCCGTCCAGGGGTCGCCGGAGCCACGCCCCTGGGCCTGAGGAGGGGCCGAGGCCGTCCTGACTCTGAGCCAGTTCACCAAGGCTTTCCTCTCCCTGGCTGATGTTTACAGCGACCTGGAGCCTGAGGAAAAGGGCACATTCCTCACATGGTCTGCGGTCAGGGCTGGCGGTCCGTGCCGTCACAGCATCGGCTGCCGCACACGGGCGTCCCCATGTCCCACCTGGCGCGCTCCCGTCTCACCCTCTCACCCCACCTGTGAGACAAGCAGTCGAGGGTGGAGAAGTCATTCAGTGCGTGGATGTGCCCGGTGCTCTGTGCACTTCTCTCATTCTGCCCTCAACCACCCTAGGAGCTCCCTGGCACCGCCGAGCTTGAGAGGGACTAAGTGGCTTTCCAAGAGTGACACGCAGCTCATAGGAAACAGAGATCCCAGCCCAGTCGTCCTCACAGGACAGGTGGGGTGGCCTGACACGCCACAGTGATGCCACAGAATGGGGTACCCCCTAGGTCACTCCATGGGATGTTCAGAAACTAGGGTGGAAGGAATGGTTTTAAGCCCTGGTCCTGATACAGGCTAGGCAGGGAGTCAGGAACAAAGGAGCTGAGAGCCTTCCAGCAGTTTCTGGGTCAGCAGCCACACCCCCACCCCAGCTCCACCCCCTTCCATGCAAATTCAGCACACCACGTTCCCATGATGCACCCAAGCCTCCATCATGGAGAAGACGTCATGATGACTGTGTGTATCTGAGCTCCACGTGGAGAGACCACACAAACCTTCCCAGAAGTTATCACGGGCACAGAATCCTGCTCAAACTCCACCCCGTCTGTACAGTCAATCTGGGCACCACCCCTCACACGATAAAGGGGGCCCTGAACTGGGGAGGGACGCGTCTCTCTCCTCATGGAGCTGCCCACATTCATGTCTGAATGTGTACTCACTGCCCCTCTACATAAACCCAGCTCCCACTCCTGACCTTTGTGTCTCTGCTTTGAATTCTTATCTCACACCGAGGTGAGAACCTGGAATAAATACAGTGGTGGGAACACATCTGTACCGCTCTAACTGGACAGAACCCACTGGATCCCTCTCATCTCCTGTAGGGACTAAAGACATAAAGATTTTCTCTTAACTCTCAGAGCTGCTCCTATTTTTCAGTCTCACAACTGAACGTCACATTGGCCTGGTAGACATAGTTTTTAACTTAAGGCATATTTTTGCTGAATTTTCCTTAAATGATTTCTTTTTCTTCTCTGGAAAGGCAGTGGGGTAGGCACAGAGGCAGGCCAAAGGGAAGTTTCTAAACCTCTTTAAAACAAGCCCTACTATCACAACAGAGCCCTAACCCTAGGCCAGCTTTCAGCATGGCTGCTCTGTCTTAGAGAGACTTTTTGCAGCATCAGAGAAGGGTATGAGGGGCCGGCACTGTGGCTTAGTGGGCTAAGCCTCCGCCTATGGCACCAGAATTCCTTATTGGTGCCGGTTCAAGTCCTGGCTGCTCCTCTTCTGATCCAGCTCTCTGCTATGGCCTGGGAAAGCAGTAGAAGATGGCCCAAGTGCTTGGGCCCCTGCACCCGTGTGGGAGACCTGGAAGAAGCTCCTGACTTCTGGTTTTGGATCGGCTCAGCTCTGGCCATTGCAGCCATCTGTGGAGTGAACCAGCAAATGAAAGACCTTTCTGTCTGTCTTTCCCTCTCTCTGTAACTCTACCTCTCAAATAAATAAATAAAATCTTAAAAAGAGAGAGAGAGAGAAAATGACATGCATGCATGGCCTGTGTGCCCCTGAGAGGCCTTCAGGGAGGATTTCCAAGGCTCTTCCAGACTTTCCCAAACACAAGGACGAAAGCAGAAAAATCCAGGACATTTTGCTTCTTCCTGGCTGCACACTAGCCCTGCTCTCCCCTCCCTTCAGCTCATTGTTCCCCTGCTTTCTCCCCTTCCTCCGCCCCACAGGGCAGAAACCCCATCATCACACCTGCTTCAGCCACCATCCAAACTCGTAGGGGTGGCCCTTGACCTGTGGCCCTGGAGAGGTCCTGGTGGCCTCAGTGGGCTGTGATTGGCAACCTCAGCCGCTCACCAGCTGGGTGACAGGGAGGTACCAGGCCGCTCCTCCACCTCAGCAGTTACTTCGTTTGTACTTTGTCAGAAAGTTAATATTTGTTAAGTGCTTACGATATGCCTGTGCTTTGCATGAAGTAGCACCTCCGACTCTCACAACAGCCCTATTAGGTTAAGTACTATTATCACCAAACCCATTTTCACAGATGTGGAAATGGAAGCATAATGAACAGAGAGTTGAGCCCAGGGAAGTCTCCTTCAAGACACTGAGGTCTTGACCATGTAGGCAATTAATACATGCTAAGTATCTGTCGGATACCTGGTGCTGTACTATCCACAAACTACATGGAAATAATAATCCTTCAAGAAAACAATACCTTTATATCAAGATACGCAAATGGTATGTCCAACCAACAAACACAGGAAGCATCCTTAGAGCGTTTCACACAAACATTATGAGAAGCACCGAGGTCCATTGTGCAAGAACAGGACGAGAGCCGTTCTCCTTCGGCCACGCCCCTCTCCTGGGTGGGTGGTGGTGGTGGGCCTGGCTGGGGCTGTGGGCTTGGCAGGTGGAAGGACCATGACAGGAGGGCCATGTCAACTGAGCTGCTAAGGGAATTCCCAGGCCCTGCAAATCTAAGAGTTCTAGGAGTCTAGAGATGTCCAGGCCTGTTTCTTAGAGATTCTGAGCCCGGCTGCTGCCTAGGAAGGGGTTTTGTAAGAAGCACTCTGGTCCTTCTTGTCTTCAGACAAGTTGGGAATCACTTCATGGCCATCCGAGCTTTGGTGTTGCTGTCACACCTGGTGCCTTGGGAGTCTGTGCTGCCACTTCCAAGGTTCTGGGGCAGGGGGTGGGGGGACAACATGCTCTGGAGAGATTCTGGTGGCACCTGGGCAGCACACAGCCCTGAAGGGCACCTGGTAACAGACGGAGCCAAGCTTTTGCCCAGTGGTTAGCCTGGGACAGGGATGGCTCACCCCAGGGATTCTCATCCTGTTCCTCCTCTTGTTGCTAGGAGCGTCTTCTACCTTCTGATGGTTCCAGATGACACCAGGAGGCCCAGGTGGGTGTGAGCAGCCCTGACCGAGACATTCCCTGGGTAAGGAGTTGAGAATTTGAACATGACCAAGACTTGCTCCCTGACACTCAGTGGCCCCAGTTTGGCCGTTCAGTCAGAGCTGGACACCTTGACACCTTGGAGAGATGTGGAGAGAGGGCCAGGAAGTCGGACATGAATGGCCTAACCTATGGCAAACCGGAAGCGACCTTTGCAGACTGAGACTCAAAGAAAGAGTGAGTAGAAAACAGACGGGAAAGGAAAAGTCATTTCAGGCTTTAGCGGACGTGAGTTTCACCACCTTGTGTTTTTTCTCTCTGAGAAACGCCCTCCCCTCCTTCACCGCGATCCAACTCATTCTCATGCTCCCCGTGCTGAGTAGAGAGGGATCTTCAAAAAGGTCATGAAAATCTGTAGTACGAAAAAAACTATGGGCGGATATCAAACACATTTTTTGCAGCAAAATGAAGTTATGTCTCAATTCCATTTTCCCTGCGCTTGTAAGATCTGTCGTGACTCAGAGTATGCAACCCCCTGAGGTACTCGGTGCTAGGAACTACATCAGTCAACATTTTTTCTCTGTCAGTAAAAAGGCTTGTGAGCACCAGAGCTGTTTAATCAATGGGCAGAAATCAGCATTGCTGAGGGTGAGATCATAAGAGGTCATGGGGTACTTGAGGGTGTGAAAGGCCGGGGGCCAAGATGGATGAGTGGGCATTGCTGGGAAGGCGGGTGGGAAGACTTCGAAGGGGGCTGTATTCTTTGAGGGTTGAGTCACTGAGGTTTTAAATGTGGAGTGATGCAAGCAGATGTGTATTAGGAATGTTAACTCTGGTATCAGTGTGAAAAAATGCCTGTGCCAACAGAGACGGAACCCTGGAATCCAGGGAGGAGCCCCTAGGACCGGCTGGTGCGAGATGACAGGGCCTCTAGTCCTCTGAGAGCCTGGGGAAGCAAGAGGCAGGGCGGAGGGGCATTGTGGGGGAGGGGGAGACACAGCCCAGTGACTGGACACGGCAGGGGTAGCAGAGAGGTCAGGAGGGCAGCTCTGAACTCAGGCACACCCAGATCTGGATCCTGTTTGCTAGTCCCAAAGCCTGTGGCACGAGGTCTTTGGTGAGTCTCAGTTTTGCATCTATAAACTAGCCATTCTCATGTATCCTCCATGGAGGTGTGAGAACTGAATGAAGCTAATGGGAAAACGCAAATCAAAGCCACAATGAGATATCATCTCACTCCAGTTGGAAAAGCTATCATCAAAAAGACAAACAAACAAAGCTGGTGAGGATGTGGGGAAAGGGGAACTCTCATCCACTGCTAGTGGGAATGTGAGTTATCACAGCCATTGTGGAAAACAGCCTGAAGCTTCTATCTGATCCAGCCATCCCACCACTGAGTATACACCCAGAGGAACTGAAGCCAGCATTTCAGAGAGACATCTGCACTCACGTGCGTCCTAACAATAGCCAAAATATGGAATCAGTTTAGGTGTGTACCCTCGATGGATGAGTGGATAAATTGACCCCCCCCCACACACACATTGGAATATTATTCAGCCATTAAAGAATGAGATTCAGGTGTTGGCACTATGGCACGGTAGGTTAAGCCTCTGCCTGCAGCGCCAGCATCCCACATGGGTGCCGGTTTGTATCCTGGCTGCTCCTCTTCTGATCCCGCTCTCTGCTTATGACCTGGGAAAGCAGTGGAAGATGGCCCAAGTGCTTGGGCCCCTGTACACGTGTGGGAGACTCAGAAGAAGCTCCTGGCTCTTGGCTTCCACCTGGCCCAGCCCTGGCCATTGTGGCCATTTGGGGAGTGAACTAGCAGATGGAAGATCTCTCTCTCTCTGTCTCTCCCTCTCTCTGTAACTCTGCCTCTCAAATAAATAAATAAATCTTAAAAAAAAAAAAAAAAGAATGAGAACACAGAAACATGGATGGTGGACATTGTTTTAAGTTAAATAAATCAGGCATAGAAAATCAGTCAATCCATGTTCTCCCACATTTGTGGAAATTAAAAAGTGGTCGCAAAGAAGGGGAGGATAGAATTGTGGCTGTCAGAACCTAGGAAGGGTATAGGGCTGAGAGGGATGGAAAGTGGTTGGTTAACGGGTACAGGGGTCAAGTCCGATAGCAGGATAACTATGGCTGGCAGCAATTAGTTGACTATTTCAAAAAGAGTAGAAAGGATTTTGAATGTTCCCATGACAAAAAAAAATTAATGTGTGAGTTAGTAGATATGCCAATTACCCTGGTCTGATCATGACACATGGTATACATATATTAAAATGCACACGGTACCCCATAAATATGCATAATTACTCTGTCAATTAAAATAAAATATATTAAAAATAAAAATGAAATAAATGAAGGTAACATACATGAAAGTACTTAGCACAGTGTTGACACCAAGAACCACTCAGTAAATGAGAGTGATAGCTGTTTGTATGAAGGGCAAAGAAAGAAAACCAAGGATGACCCTAAATTCCCTAGCTTGGGAATGGGTGTTGGGCCTGAGGTTTAGATGCTGCTTTGGTGGTCGGAATTCCCTATGAGCGTGCCTAGGTGCCGGTCCTGGCTTGCTCCTGATTCCAGCTTCTGCCTAATGCACACCCTGGGAGGCAGCAGGTGATCCCTCAACTACTTGGATCCCTCCCATCCATAATGGGAGACCCAGATGGAGTTCTTGGCTCTTGATTTTGGCCTGGCCCAGCCCCGGCTATTGTGGGCATTTGGAAAGTGAACCAGTTAATGGGAGATCTGTCTTTCTCTGTCTCTCTCTCTCTGCCTTCCGAATAAAAACAAATTAAAAAAAATTTTCCAAGCTTGAGAATTTGGACAAATGCTGATGCTTTTGATCAGGACAAGAAATGCAGGAGGACGGGTTTTACAGGGAGGGAGAACGCACGTTTAGTGTTTGGACATGTTGACTCTGAAGAGAACTCATGTGTGGGAGCCTCCAGCAACATGGAGGTTGATGGGCCCTGGCCAGTAGGTGGGCACTGAGGTAGTGGCAAACAGGAGAGGTTTTAGGACAGTGATGATTCTCTCAGGGATCCACAAGGGAGGAGGCAAGGGCAGCTGGCAGCAGGAAGTGTGGCGAGATCACGCTGTTAGAGAAGATGCCTGTCTGGGGACTGGGGGAATTTTTTTTTATTATTTGACAGGTAGAGTTATAGACAGTGACAGAGAGACAGAGAGAAAGGTCTTCCTTCCATTGGTTCACTCCCCAAATGGCCGCCATGGCCAGTGCTGCGCTGATCCAAAGCCAGGAGCCAGGTGCTTCCTCCTGGTCTCCCACGCGGGTACAGGGCCCAAGCACTTGGGCCATCCTCCACTGCCTTTCCGGGCCACAGCAGAGAGCTGGACTGGAAGAGGAGCAACTGGGACTAGAATCTGGTGCCCATATAGGATGCTGGTGCCGCAGGCGGAGGATTAACCAAGTCAGCCACTGCGCTGGCCCCTGAATTCTTGCTTCTTCACTGGGAAAATGAAAACTTCAACTTGAGACCACTTGCTAAGGGATCTGGCCACACCCACGGGGCCATTTCCAAGGGGTCCTCTGTGGACTCCTTGCCGCCCCTTACCTCCAGGTATTGGTGCACCAGGTGTAGTGTGCGATCAGTGACGTTGAACAGGTCCCTCCAGTTGAAGTTGGCCGTGTCGTCGGCCTGGCTCTCTTGAGGACCGTTATGCAGGAAGTTCAGCAGGGCTTCAACAGCAAGGCCTTCCTCACCAAGCTGCCTGTCCAGAAAACCTTTCACCGCTGGGTTCCTCAGGGTATTCTTGGGAAGGAGGAAACAGTCCCAGCTTAGAATCCCACATGACCTTTGGTCTCATTCTTAGCCATTTCCAATCTTCAAGGGCGAGGGTTACAGACTCTAAACCTCCCTAAACAGCTGGCAGCTTTTCTTCCACCAAACGCATACCTATTTCTATCCCTATTGCCCCAACAGATGGATCTCTATAACAGAGGGAAGGTGTGTGGAGGGTGGGGGAGGGGCAGGCGTGGGGCACTAACACGGTGTATAGGGGACTTTTCCTTGTGTAATTTTTGTTCTCTTGTCATTATCCCTGCTTTCTGAGGCTCTGGTGTTGGCACTGCAAAGCTGCATATGAGCCCAGAGAGGCACATTCAACCATCTTGGAAGTTCCAGAGCCAGCCCTTTGGGGGACAGTCTCCTTGGAATCTGAGCCCCTATGTGAATTCATAAAAGCAGGCACCCCAGGAAGCCACTGGAGCTGCGGCAGCTTTTAGCTCTCCTCCACCATTTACGAAAGATGCTTCCCTCCCAAAGCTGGGGGCTCCACTTGGTCACGGTGTCCACATTCAGAACTAGTGCCTTTGGCCCTGCTGGTTATATGTTGACTGAACCACAGCAGTGATCGGCCCTTTCAAGGGAAAGGGAAACAAGTGGAGCCTCCCCAGCCTGTGTCCCCCTCTCCCTGGCCCTGCCATGCCCTCCGTACCCTGATCATGTGCATCTGTGGGCTCTTGTCAAAGAAGTACCAGATCTGGGGCCCTATTTCTTCCCAGGCTTTCACCAGATTCCTAAGGCGCTCCAGCTCTTCAAAAGTCGAGTTGGCCTGAGACCACGAGACAGAGACAGAGGCAAGAAGGAAGAGAATAAAGTGAGGAAGGGTCTTTGGCTGTGTCTTTCCTGTTCTACCTCTAACCCCACCCCACCCTGCCCCCCAAACCCTTCAAGCTCAGGAAAGGCTTCTCAAGGACATGTGAGATATTTTGCAGAACCACCTACCATTCCCCATATTGACGACACTACTGTCCCAGAGCCTCACGAAGACTAGATTTGGAGAAATACTCCTCCCCCTTCCTGTCTGTCTTTGCTCTGGGGGAGTAGGGATGCAGAGACGCACGATCCCTTCCAGGAGGGGTATAACTCAAGCAGAGGGAAAGAACCCTCACTGTCAGCCGCGGTGGAGAGGGGAGGGCCCAGGCAGGGGCAGTGGGGCCAAGCATTCCATTAATGGCCGGGGGTGGGAGGCTGGAAGTCCACTAAGCAAAGAGCAATCAGGAGACGGGCTGCCAGGAGGGTGCACACGTGCCTGTGCCTGCACACACACACACACACACACACTCATGCACCACGCATCCTTCTTGGAGGTCTGAGGCGGAAGCCACGAGGCTGGCTGGGATCTTACATTCTTCAGTATCCTTCGTGTTGCAGGGGAATTGGGAGTAAAGAGGATTTTTCCCATCAGCAGAGGCTTTGCGGCCCTCCAGGCTATTTTGGTTAGAGGGCTGGACTCCAGGTTCTGGATCAACGCGTTACAAAAGGGTGCTGGCAAGAAAGAAGGGACAGGTTTCATGGGAGCCCCTCTTCCCTCTTCCCCATGGCGGAGGTAGCTGAGCAAAGTGATTAGTAGAGCCAGATCACATGTCCCATCCCACCCCACGCTGGGGAGTTGGCCAGTCACCCGAGTTAACAGGCTCAGCCCCAGCCATGGGCGAGCTCATCGTTAGTAACAAAACGCCACCGTGCCTCTGGATCATGACCTCCTCAGAGAAATAAAGGAAGGGGCTTGCCCTGTGGGTTAGGCTGCTTTAGAACAGGGAGGCTGAGAAGGCCGCTTGCCATTATTGCAAGGGACAGAGGCCATTCTCAGATGAAAGGAACTGAGTGGCTAAACAGCCCC